CCAAAGAAGAGCGGAGAAGGAGAAGAAAAAAGGGGAAATTCGGTTTTGAGGAAGAAGAAGAGAAATTGGCGGAATTTTTATAGATTAGATTAGAATTTAGAAAGATAAGATTTGATGGGAAGAGCATTTGTTTACGTGATTCTGGGAGGTGGAGTAGCAGCTGGATATGCAGCTCTCGAATTCACCAGGAAAGGCGTCGCTCCTGGCGAACTCTGCATCATTTCTGAAGAACCTGTAAGTTTTCCCCAAGAATGATGATTCCTGTTTCTTCCTAAAAATGGAGGGCTTTGATTCTCTGAGTTAGCTTTGTTGGGTCGTTTCCTGAGATGGGTAATCAGGATTCTTGTTTTTCACGGTGGAAAGTTTGCTTCTTTCAAGCCGTTGAAGGATTTTCAAATTTCAGTTTTGTCCGTTATTGCTGGCCAGTATGATTGCATGGAGTAGATAGGTGGCTTTGGATGGGATTGTTGCAGATGAGGTTCATTCGTTGAATTACAGCACAGAAAGAGCATTGCTTTTGATGGAATTTGATTGGGGTTTTCTTGGTTTTGCATAAAGACGGTTCCTTTAAGTTAAGGCAATAAGCCAATGACTACTACTACCCTATGTCTGCAGTTTGTTTATCTCTTGAATCTAGCTTAAGTTTAGGGGCAGTTCGAGGATGAGGAAGCTTAAGGCCGATGTCTAGTCTCGATTTAATGATGAAATAGGAACTTTTCGTTGCATTCATATTGTAGGAATATTGTGGAATGTGATGGGGTCTGATGTCTTTCAAGCCTATGTACTGAGAAACATTGCTGCTGGAATTCCTTCTATTGTAGGATTTTAAGGTTTCAAATAGCCCTGCATAAATGTGACAAGGTTTACAACTTTCTTTCAGGTTGCACCTTATGAGAGACCTGCTCTGAGCAAGGGTTATTTACTTCCAGAAGGTAAAAGGGTTCTTATCGTTTATGTAGAGTCTGTTTTAGGTTTCTCGTAGTTCTCTTCTTACTTGGCCAGAAAGAGTGGTTTTTCCTGTTTCTGTCTATTTTGCCTGTTTGAATTTCACTGGGTAACAGCGAACAAACTTGGAGTTCTACTGGCCCAAAAATTAAGATGAAATAGTTGAGTACCAGGTTATATTAAGAACTTTAAGCCATTGGGTGCTCCTATTGAATAAGTTGGTTTACTCTGGATTGTTGTTTGTTCTTTTCTTTTGTTACTCCTGGTCACTTGTGCTTGAAGACTGAAAATTTTGATAATATGCAGCTCCCGCACGCCTCCCATCGTTCCACACCTGCGTTGGAGCTAATGAAGAGAGGTTGTCTCCAAAATGGTATAAAGAACATGGTAATTTTCCTTGCAGGCAATGATTACTCTGCTAGACAATGTCGTCATCATCTCACTAACTTCGCTGGTTAGGCCTAAGCTTTTTTTCATTCAAGTGCTATTTATCATGTTACATATAATGTCAAGTTATTTAGATTTAGCTAAGAATGTTTCTCTGGCCTCTTAATTTATCATTTGTGTTCATGCTCTTGCTCATCAGGGATTGAGTTGGTGCTTGGTACTCGAGTTATATCTGCTGATGTCAGGCGCAAAACATTGCTCACTGCTGCAGGGGAGACTATCAGTTTCAAGTTTCTCATCATTGCAACAGGTGCTCGGGTATTGAAACCACTCTTTTTAACCGTTTCAAGTTCAATTTACAAATCACCAAAATATCGATAGATGATTGCAGATAATCACATTCATGGTTAGTGAAGACTGATTGTCAGTCCACCAAGAAGTTGGAATTGTATGGGATCACAAAATCTATGGTTTCTCTAAACTTCTTACCGACGTCAAATTCGTGGCATGCAGGCTCTGAAGCTGGAAGAATTTGGAGTCACAGGATCGGATGCTCCAAATGTGTGTTACTTACGAAACTTAGCTGATGCAAACAGGCTAGTCGATGTGATCGGATCCCGAACTGGTGGGAATGCTGTAGTGATCGGTGGAGGCTACATAGGAATGGAATGTGCCGCGTCTTTGGTGATCAATAAGATGAACGTGACCATGGTTTTTCCGGAACCACATTGCAGTATGCAACTATGACCTTTCGTAATTTATTTTGGCTGTTCTTTCATCCAATGTCAAGCATCAAATCACAGTCACCATATCTTCTTTCCTTTTCTCAGTGGCAAGGCTGTTTTCGCCCAAGATAGCAGGATATTATGAGGAGTACTATAAATCCAAAGGAGTACAATTCGTCAAAGGCACTGTCTTGTCATCTTTTGATTTTGACTCTGATGGACAAGTAAGAAAAGACCCTGTTTATTGTAATGCTATTCAGAATCATGTCTTGGATAAGGATTAGTGTTACTTGAGTTTGCAATGAATGGAAGAAAGACTGGCATGTTACTTGCTATCATCCATCCCTCTATGGCGTAGTGAAGTTAATCCACTATCATATTGCTTGATTTGCTTCTACAGGTTACATCTGTGAACCTAAGAGATGGAACTCAGCTACCAGCAGATGTAGTTGTGGTTGGAATCGGGATACGACCAAACACAAGTCTCTTCGAGGGTCAACTGACTCTCGACAAGGGTGGAATCAAGACGAACGGTAAAATGCAGACAAGCAACGCTTCAGTCTACGCAGTTGGTGATGTGGCAGCATTTCCAGTCAAGCTGTTTGGAGAGACACGGAGGCTGGAGCACGTGGACTCTGCCAGGAAATCAGCGATACACGCTGTTGCCTCGATATTGGATCCCCAGAAAGCAGATGAATTCGACTACCTCCCATTTTTCTACTCCAGGGTCTTCGCCTTCTCCTGGCAGTTCTATGGGGACAATGCAGGGGAAGTGGTCCACTTTGGGGACTTCTCCGGGAGCAGAATCGGGGCCTACTGGGTCAGCAAGGGGCACCTGGTGGGGTCGTTCCTCGAAGGTGGAACCAAAGAGGAGTATGATGCTATCGCCCTGGCCACAAAGGTGAAACCAGCAGTTGAGGATTTGGCCAAGCTGGAAGAGCTGGGGTTGGAGTTTGCATTGGCAATCAGCGAGGGACCGGTGGAAGCTTCTCCCCCATCTGGTGACAATGTCGAGAATCCCCCTGGATTGGCAGTGGAGAAGCCAACGGTGTATCCTTGGCATGCGGCAGCTGGTGTTGCTGTTGCTGCGTCGGTGGCTGCATTTGCTTATTGGTACGGGAGAAGGCGTAGAAGGTGGTGAACAGTCGTGGAGGAAAGTTATGTAATCTGTTGAATGGTGTAGGTTACTTGAAATTGAAAACTTGTACCTTGTGTCACAAGTTTCCACTTGTTGTACCAAATCATATAGGAAGTCTTAGGATATGTTGAAAGATACATCTTGATCATGATGAGACTACGATTTGGGGATATACCATTTTCATTCAAGCACCGAAGAGTTGTGTTCTTATCATCAAGCACAAAATTAATGCATCACAAAATTAAAGTGGAGGTCAAAGAACTTGATTAGGTGGTAGGTAAATGTATTGCTAAATTTGTACCAAACTAGAAATGATACATACAGAGGTATGATGGATGAGGATTTCATGTTAAGTGGGAATCAAGTTAGGTTCTATACTTCTAATTGATTGGGCTCTATCTATTCTAATATGTTATTCAAAGAAAACTATCAAATAATTTAACTTTCTTATCCAAAAATACTATCCAAACAACATAAAGAGATAGTGATTTGAGTAATGATGTTTAATTATTCAAAAGATAGAGATTCATACATGGTTTTAAGTGGGAATTTTACTACAAAGAGAAGTTATAAAATAAGTACAATATGAGTAAATATTAAGAAAGCCGAGATAAAATTATTTGAAAAAAGTGTAGAACTAGATGACTCTTCATAAATAAAAAACAAATAAGTAGGGCATTTGGTCTAGTGGTATGATTCTCGCTTTGGGTGCGAGAGGTCCCGAGTTCGATTCTCGGAATGCCCCTTTTGTATAATTTTTTGACTTTTTTCCATTTATACCCTCTCCAGCCACATACTCTACACAACCAGCTAAGGGCACTGATGTCTTTCCACCCACCCTATCATCCATAAACTCCAATCACAGTATCACACTTCCAATCTTCCTGTGCGTCTCTTATCCTCTCCAATCCCTTCCATCTGCTTTCCCCATTTCCCTCAACCTCTGCTTCTTCTCCCCAGAATTCCAACAATGGCGTCGACGGCAGCTTCCCTCTCAATCTCCGCCGCCTCCACCAAGTGCGGAATGGTGGGATTCCACTCAGCTCCTTCCGCCGTAGTTCTCGATTTCCCGCTCCGCAGCTCCCCTTTCCCATCCCTCACCACCACCCGCCGCTCCACCTCCCACGTCCGCCCCATCTCCGCCGTCGCCGCCCCGGAGAAAATCGAGAACCTGGGCGCCGAAATCTCCTCCTTGACCCTCGAGGAGGCCCGAATTCTCGTCGACTACCTGCAGGACAAGCTGGGCGTCTCCGCGGCCGCATTCGCCCCCGCAGCCGTGGCCGTCGCGCCAGGGGCCGCCGTCGCCGAGGCTGAGGCGCCTGCGGAGAAGACAGAGTTCGATGTGGTCATCGAGGAGGTGCCCAGCAACGCGAGGATTGCGGTGATCAAGGCGGTTAGGGCGTTGACGAGCTTGGCGTTGAAGGAGGCCAAAGAGCTCATTGAAGGGCTGCCGAAGAAGTTCAAGGAAGGGGCTTCCAAGGAGGAGGCGGAAGAGGCCAAGAAGCAGCTCGAAGAAGCTGGAGCTAAGATTGCCATTGTATGATGTGGTAATCTAATTTGAAAGTTTAGAACTTTAAAGAGGAAGACAGGGAAATGCTTTGAATTTGGAATCTGTGTAATTGTAGCATTTTCCGATTTGAGGGTTTTAGGGTCCAAGAGTACAGTAGTTTGTTGTGATTTGTAATGTGGCTTGTTTTTGTCTCTGCAATGTTATGTGAAATTCACAATAACAAATGAACTGCCATTGGGAATGTTGCCAAGTTGTGAATTGAATTGAATTTCTGCAGGCCGGTTCTTGAAATTGCATCAGTCGGTTGCGTTTGTTAAACCATGTAATAGAGCTAAGTTGTTAGTCTCATCTAGAGCTAAATCAACAATGCTATAATAAGGTTTAGAAGAAAGTTGCAGTAGTTGGATAAGATTTAAGATGGAGAGATAGAGAGCTATATGAACTTTGGTATAGTTTTTGCGATGTACTTTACACACAGATAGGAATCTGCAGGTGACCCTTGTGCGAACTATACATTTTCACTGCAACTCCTTTAAAAAAGGTACAAGTTTAATCTCACTGAAGAGAAGTATGCTAACTTTTTATCAGAAGCTCAAAAATAGAATGGTAAAGCACAAATTGAATGAAGAACACCATGAAATGGTGGCATCTCGGGTCTAATTGGCCCTTTCAGGCCGACTTCAATGGAGTAAGACTAGGCTTCTAAGCAGATCAATGATGGAGAACAAGTTTCTCTCTCCTTGCTTACTCGCTTGGAATTCTTTGTCATAGCCTGGATCGTGTACATGAAAGTCAAGCTACTGGGTTTATAGCCTACCTTCGACATCCTCTGTTGCAGCTTCATCATATCACCACCTTCTTCGGACAGAACCCTAGCAACTTCATGGTAACTCTCATTGTCGAAGATGCCAACTCCCATAGCAAATGATTCCAACAATGCTTGTGCTTTGCCCACATCCCGTTCTTTGCAGTACCCGAATATCAAAGCTCTGCATATTTCTAAATCCAAAACTATCCCATCTAGAACCATCTCGTCGGCCAAAGATTTAGCTTCTGCACTTCTGCCTGTTCTACACAAGCTAAAGATGAGAGCTTTGTATGTCTCAACACCCAGTTTCCCTTCCCTACGAAGGATCTCGCATTTCATAAACAATGCATCAACCAAACAATCAACTTTGCAGAGAGAGACAATGAGCTTTTCGTAAACTAGCATGTCGGGTTCATAACCGTCGCGAGCCTTCCTTTCCACAAGACTCTTGGCTGCAAATGGTTTTTCTTCTTCACACAGACGAACTACTAGATAATCATAAACATCCCATGAAACCGGAACACCCAGTCTCTCAACCTCCACGGCCAAATTCAGAGCTGAAATCAACCTACCACCTTTCTTCCCGTATGCTAGGATCAAAACCCGGGAAGTAAAACTATCGGGACAAATCCCATTCCCTATCATCTGATACATCAATGCCTTAGCCTCTTGAACCCTTCCTTCCCTACAGTAACCCGAAATCAGAGTGTTGTAAGCCACTACATCCGGGTTCAACCCCCGGTGAACCATTCTGTGGAAGAACTGATGAGCATCCTTCATCTTCCCTTCTCTACAAAGACCATTCATCAATGAAGTATACGAAACCAAATCTGGCATCACGCCTCTTTTGTACATGATCTTATACAGGTAATAAGCATCAGCCATCTTCCCCTTCCTACAATAACTACTAATCAAAGTGTTATATGTTACAATGTCTGGCTCAAACCCTTCCTCCTCCATTTTCTCAAGGAATTCATTGATTTTACTAACGTCTCCATTCCTGCAGAATGCATGAGTCAAGATATTGAAAGTGAACTCATTTGGGCGGATCCCAGTTCTCCCCATTTCGTCATAAACATCCCAACATTGAGCAGTGAGATTCGATTTCAGAAGTCCATTCAAGAGGCAATTACATGAACTCACAGTGGGAACAAAGCCAGCTTCAATAGCCTTCATAAACGCATTGAAACCTTCTTTCACTCCGCCCAATTTCACATGAGCCTTGACAAGCATATCGAAAACCACAGGGTCCCAATTGCAATCTTCCGAGTGAAGCACCAAGCTCTGGAAAACATCTTCACCGGATGAAAGCTCTTCAACCGACTGAATCAATTCGGTGAGGAGTTTCATGGCCGGTTTGAACTCCTTGGACCATGCCAAGATGTGGACGATGAGGCAGTAGTTCCGGGGAGTGGGGCTGAGACCCAGATCGTATTTCACCCAATTGAAGAAGGATAGAGCTGAAACTGAATCGGACTGACATCGCAGCAGAACCCTCGAGATTTCGGCGGGACCCAGATGAGGGAGGAGGTGGTTGATCCGGGCTTGGAGAAGACAGAGATCGGCATTGGGTTGTTTGAGAGAGGAAGAGATGATATTGACTATTTCGTTAGGGTTTTGGGTTTGGGGGAGGAAGGTGTAGAGTGGGTTCGCGAGGGATTTGGAGCTTGGCGGAGTAATAAGTTGCAGGGAAGAAGAAGAAGAAGAAGAAGAAGAAGAAGAAGAAGAGGGGGGAATTGGGGTTATGGAAGGTACATCGGAGGAGAAAGGTGCTGCCTTTCTGATGAGTTTTGTTGAAGCTCTATTCATTCGCCGGCTTCAAAGGACGAGAATGAAATCGGAGTAAGTAACGACGAGGAGAGAAAGGGAGACCGGACGGGGAGCATCGAGCTTGAATGAGTGTGCCACCCACCAGTGACGCTGTAAACTTGGTGTCATTCTATATGTAACAAAAATACAAATGACTTACTAAATTTTGAAATCCTACCAACTAGTCACCGGAATCCTTGATTTGTTACAAAATGATCAGTTAGTCTATCAATCTAACTCAGTCTACTTAGATTGATCGTCCAATAAAATCAGATTTACGTCTAACATGTTATTAACACTCAATCAATCAAGTCCGACGTTCAATACTTTTACAGTAATGTGAGAATTGGATAGGATTGTTATGTTCCTTCCCCCACCAGTATGTTGGTATCTAACCTTTTATCATGATTCGTGCAAACAAAACAAATATTACACTAGATAAATTTAATGGTACAACATGATTCAATCAATTTCATATCGACGTAATAACATTGACGTAAAACCAACTAGCTTGAGCTTGCTTAAAACTTGCAAAAGGCCGAACTTTTCCACTCTTCACGGCTGAGTATCATAAGAGTACATCACAAATAGCGAGCAATGTCTTATGCGGATGTTACAATGTCACACTACGCTACAATCTCACTAGCCAAAGCCAATGAGCTAATCTCTACAGCTTAAGTTAGTATAGACACCGACGGTGTGAGGAGTTCCAACCCTAATGCTCGAACATTAAGTTGGCAAGTCGAAGCTGATTCTCGAGCGGCAGGAAATCTTTCAAACATATACAGGTACAATGCATAGTACGCAATAAGAATGGCGCGATTTCCTTCTCGCTCTCATCAATAGGTTGAGTGCTGAACAAGCTATACCTGGATGTAACCCAGCTGTGCACTCGTTCCAATGATACGAAGAGATTTGAAGCGATGGATTCTGCCACAACTTCCCAATTGGGTTCCTTGAGTAGAGCAGCAAGAGTGACTGGTAGATCGCTTAGTACGGTGAATGTGTCTATGGTCAGAAAGGGCATGTATTTGCAGCAGATGCCGGATAGGAGACCGATGAATCTCAGTGCCTGCAAAGAGTAAAGGGAGAAGACTTGCTGTTCAAATGTTTCAGCACAAAAACAAACATGTTTTCAATGGAAGACTGCAATTCTGATGTAAAAGTTACACATGCGAGCAACAGAAGTATTATACTCTCGTCTCATCTCACATCAATCAGGAGTACAGTATATAACTGTATGCTGCTGGACATTGAAGCTATAAGGTGTGTGTGAAGGACAACATAAATACCGTGGATGGATGGGTTGATACACAGCTTATTTCCACGGCATCAACTAGCCACTGTCTCTTCACACTTCCGTCTGCACGTTGCAAAGCTGCAACAACCTCGATGAGAACATTCCAAACACCTGTATCATGGAGACCCAAAGCCAGTGTGTAAAGCTTTTTTCGGGAGAAGCAGGAATGCATCAAGCAAAAACTAGATACCGTTTTGGCAATATGAATTAATGAACAAAATCACAAGTGAAGCTAACCATCTGATTTGGAGTTCAACAAACTAGATTTCAGTTTTCCCAGCTCAATAAAAGGGATGGAGCCTGTTCGGGCCAGCTTTGATTTCGCATGAATCTTCTTTAGGATTCTGAAGTCCCCTTCTGTGACACTCACCAAGGGAACCTATGAGATGTAAAACCAATCAAAAGATAAGTATAGAAAATAAGAGTTCTTATATGTTTGCTTGTACAAATTGCGGCCTATCAGGTACAATCAATGACTGCGTCTTTGATGCACGGCTACTATTATTACATCTGAAGCATTAATTAGAGTTCCTAGCGAAAACTTAAAGGCAATATCAGATTGAAATTAGAAAATCAAAAGCGGATACAAGATCGTCGGAAACATATCATCTTGAAAAATTTAATAAAGGTGGCAAGTCTAACCTGCAGAAAGTTTGATAGCCAGTCCCCTCGAGCCTTTGACAAACATCTAACAGCTTCAACCCATTCTTGAGAGGAACTAGGCCCATGATCACTAATCTCAGCAGAATCTGACGAGGGCAACAGAATAAACAGAACCTCCATGCACCGTTCAATACTAGATATACACTCTAGAGAGTCGAGGGAAGCTTCATCTAAACAGTCACATACACCCTTCCAGCATGATACCCTCAAGAACCTTTTCTGAACAAGGCTGCATGCTTCATATGATGAATCTGAGGAAAAGAAGTCCATGACATCATCTAATAGAGTCAGTAGCCTAGACCCTGAGAAAACCTGTATCAGGCCAGCCAGATGACTAAGGAGGCATGATTGAAGATTCAGCTCCAGTGTCCTGAACCTTGACAGGAGAGAGAGCTCGTCAAGGAATGTAAGAAGCTGATCAAATTGGTTTGCATGGGATATAGCGAAGTGCAGGCATTCCTCCCTAAGTGTTACTTTCTCAAAATCTGAATCTGAGGGCATAGATTGGGAAACTTGAGCCTCATATCTCATGCAGCGCCTAATGATAATTCCCCAATTAACAGCTGGAAGCCGTGGAGCTCGTGAAAGGCATCTTAGGGCAGCAGCTGCATTGCCAACAAGAGTAACCCTCCCAGCCTGAATTCAGAAGTTTGAAAGATTAATGACCATAACAAACATTCTTCGCATCAAGTACCTTTTTATTGCTAAAAAATATTTCTTATCTCATCAAATCTACTTTTTTGAAAACATAATCAAACACAATTCTTTTCTTCTCATTTAACTAGTCACTAAAGTTAAAAACAAACACCCAAAGCATCATCTTACGCTAATAATTGTGAAATTTGCAGCCTACCTCGGAAAAGTTCAAATTCAGAAGCCACATAGATAGCGTCAACACTAAACTATCTTCAGGAAAGCTGTTTGAAACTCTTCTGGAGTCATCAACATCAGACTGCTCAGTAGGTTCAATATTTTTACTTTCCTGTGACCATAAATGGTTTCGCAGGAAGGACAGCGCCCAAGCTGCATTCTGTTGCATCAGAAGATCGTTGGGATTCTGAGCTACAAGAAACATCTCTTGCACCAATGAAGTCAAATTTGCTTCGCAAACTGGACTCGAAAGCAAAGGACCTAAAAGATGAGATGAATCCTGCAATAGAAAATCAAATATTGCTAATCTTCATGAGACCAAATTCTTGATGTAAATCACAAGGTACTAAGAGAACAAAAAATATACCTGATCATAAGCACTCCTCATTTGAGATGAAAAGTCATGAACCAAAATCCCAACTGCTCCGCCCATGACATTAACTATTCCAAGCATCCCACCAAGATTTATCATTGAAGGATGAGGATTAGTATAGCATTTTCTAAACAAGTCAAGCAGACGTTGTATGTACTCGGCATCAACAGGGTGCACCCCTTCTTTTAAAATGCAGGCAAGAAGGCTTCCTGCTCCTATGCACGAGGCTGCCAACAAGCTTTGATGGAAAGTACCAGATTTCTTCACTGCTAAGAGTTCCACAATAAGATTCTCATATCCATGAAACAGATGATCCAGCTGATCATGATTCATCAATTCTACTTTCAGGCAGAAAGCAAGAATATTAGGAAGAATGAGACAGGATCCTACTGATAGAACCTTGTCCAGCTCCTCTCCAAGGAAACTACTGTTCAGTGGTGAAAAGTCTACATGTGGAATCCAGGAGATAATCAGGTCTTTTATCTTGAGTATGGCATCATATGCCCCAGCCTTGTAGATTGCACCAACAGAGGACCCCAAACCAAGAATGAGACCAGCAACACCCCATACATCTTCCCCAAATTCAACAGACTTTTCAACCAAAAACTTAGAGCTGAGATCTAATCTAGAGCCGCTATTACCCAGTGGGAGGCATGCAGATAAGCCTACCATTAAATCATGTGAAGCTTCACTAAGCGGACTTATCATCAGAAGCAGTGCCCTAACAATCCTAGATAGTAAGTCAAGCTCTTGCATCCTGTAGTTCTCTTTCTCTTTGTCATCCGATTCATCAACCCTGCTCAGGAGATCTTCACATGAAAAGCCCAAGCCAACACCGCATGCACCTTTCACAAGGGTGCTTCTGCTTGCACACAATATCTAATCTCACCAGCGCATGTTGATGATGCGACATTCAGTCAGTGAAAACAAAAGAAGAAAAAAGCTTTCACAGGGAAAAGCTCAAATAATAAAACAATAAGCAACAGCTTGTCTGTACCTCAAGCAGTCCATTGATGTTTTCATATTTCTGCTTATGATCGGTGACATGGAGGCCGGTTGAGGTCAGGCCGAGCGAAATTGCAGCTGACCATTGGCGATGTTCATGTTCATGCTGGAATAGCCAGTTCAATAGAAATTTTGAAGCAGTTGACTTAACAGTATGGGCAGATGTAGGCAAGACCTGACAAAAGTTGGCAAAACCAAGCATTGGACTAAGAAAACCATGCCTCTGCAGCATTTTAACGTCTAATCAAAGTGAAAAATGGGAAATCAAATAAACATTAAGGTTAGTTAGTATATTAGCGCCTTCAGCTGTATTAGTTGATTGCCGCTCAGCTAAGCCGTTATACTTATCAAGTTTTAGTTCATCTGGTAAACATATATCCATTTCCGGTGGTTCAATGACCACACATAAGTTTCCATCAGTGAAAATCCTTGAGGCAGTTGTGAGACATAATTGAATGTATTACCGCACAAAGTGCACCAACAGCAAGTGCAATGTTTTCAGCAGATCTTGGCAAAGAAGCTTCGGCCAATTTCATTGCACTCTGCACGATGAGAAACAGGAATGAGAGACCTTACACTGGATATAATCTCTTTAGTTGGTTCAATGATAAAGGAAAGGTTCATCCATATTATCCAAGAAGTTTAAGGAAAGAATGAACCTTCAAAATATCATTTGCAGCTTTAGAAATTCTGTCTACTCCAATAGTAGCTGCTTTAGCGTCATGAGAGGAAACATTAGCACTCATCCAACGGTGCATGAAGGATTTCCATGATTCAAGGGAAAGGAGGGCAACAAAAGTGTTTCTTGATAAATGAAGAGAGCCAGCAATTTCTGCAAGTGCATTCTCATACTTTGCATGGACATCCAATGCTACCTGGACCATAGCCAAGGCATGAATAACCCATTTAAAATATCAAGGGAAACCTCAATTTATGATGATCTTACATTGACGAGTCCTCGTTTGATCGATTCTTTAGGTGTAAATGACAGCAATAATAGAGCTGCACCAGGTAATTGTCCAGCATTGCCTTTACTCTCTGAAAAGTTAAATCACATAATGGGTGAATCTCCTATTTTTTGAAACCAACTCTGATGAGACAAACCAGTACCTCTGCCTTTTGCATCAAGAATACTATAAACTGAAGATACCTGAAGGAAAGATCGCCCGAGGAAGTACGTCCAACAACTTCTCGATTTTACTTCTTGCAACCCTTTTCTCCTTGACCAATCTCCGGCGAGTTCTAAAGAAACATAATCAAGGTATCAATGCATGATAGCTTATGTGATTTTGATAATTCAAAGCACCAAATTACAAGTTATTACAAGTGATCATGTCCAATGATCTTGACTTCAAGTCCTTCCATGGCTCTTAGAACATCATGATTTGTCTCAGAAAAGAGCAAACTTGTGTTGTCTTTCTTGAAATCTGGGATAGCATTTTGCAGATGAGGCACCTTTCAATCACAAGGAAATACATATGAGTGTACATGGCTATGTTCAAACTGAACAAGGAGCAGAAAAATTATTGAACATTACGATAAGAAACAATTAAACGTTTCCGGGACAGGAAAATTCTACCTCATACTGGGATAATGCTTCAAAGGCAGATGCCCTGGCCTTTGTCCATTGTTCCACATGATTAATATGTGAGGTCACAGCAACAACCCATAATATTTGCAAAACATTCGTTGAAGCTTCTAAATATAGCTCAGCATCCACTGCACCCCATCTCAGTAGAAAGCATAAGCTGTCATGGAGCAGAAATCAATGGTTGGTCTAAAAGCAGCAGGAAAATAAAATATTGAAAATGTTCCAAAGTGAAGGGATCTCAGAATAAGATATGTCAAGAAGCAAATGTCAAAGGAAAATTTCAAAATATGAGCCCTTCCTACAAACTCCCTATGTACACATGTCATGCACAACTGTATGCTTACCTTTGCGCTAGAACAGGGTCCACCGAGTAATCTAGCACATCCTTTGCAATGACATCCCAGGCAGTATAAAAGTCTGAAAAAAATTCATAAAATAATTGTTCATCATCTTGGCAAATATTGTTAATGTCAGAGTACTCATAATTTGAGAGCTTTTCCCCAGCTATAGTCTGGAATAGTTTTGCTGGAAAGTAAAAAACCACTGGGTTTCTAACTTGTTAGAGAACACTGTATGTGTGTACATATATATATGTTTGAAACCAATTCAGGTTTCCATGAAAAATCATATCCAGGGTATTTGTGACCATCAGTAATTCAGTATTCACAGGACACCAAAACAAAAGCAGTAAAACAGAAGATGCTACTGAAGCTGCCTCCTAGTTTATCCACATTGTTCACGCTTGCTATAGAAACACTGAGCACTTCGATGCCGATCAAAAGAAAATGTGATGCTAAGGTTTAGACAAGCAAGTTGAAAGCATAGAAAGAAGCAAGAAAATAAAAATAAAGGTGAAAATCAGTTCCCAGGGCATAAAATTTACCAACTACATCAGCTTCACAAAGATGTGCCAGGCCTTGGAAACCAAGAGCTTGAATGGTTGGGTCTTGGCTCTCAATGCAAGCCTAGTCAGTAACAGGAAACAAAAAAAAGAAATTATACTTGCATACACATGGTTTGAAAGTAAAAGATACAAGTGATTTCATCCACATACCGAGACAGACAAAATAAGATCAACACCCCTATCAGGGTTTTTCTGGCAAACATCTCTGATAGAAGCAGCTAAGCTTATACAGGTAATTCTCTCAGACTTGAATTCTGCAAAACCCTTTGGAAGAATTGCTGCCTACATACAAACAAGTCATGATTAGTAATTCATCACACATTACGAATTGAGATAGAGAGAGGGAGAAAGAGGAGGGAATGATGTTGTCTCATAACTAGAATCATAGCTTAACAAAAGAATCTTACCTGCAAACTCCCAAAAGCACGGCCATTCATAGCCCAGGTCTGATAAAGTAAACGGGTGCCTGTGGCATACAACACTCTGAATGTGATATGATAAGAATATGGTTAAAAATAACTAGACATAAGCAAAGCAATAGAATCACAGATATGCATACTGTTTCTCAGAAAAAACCATATACCCATTCTTAACCAACAAGAATAGCCCTGACAGAGTCATGACCTTAATGCTTTTTACAAAAAAAGACCTTTTACTTTGTCACCAATAGTTATTCCATGCTTTAGAGTAGCCAAAACTACAGGAAAGTAAGGAAAGATGCAACATGTGACAAAGACTGAATCCTAATGGGAATTCATACACATATGGCAAGCAAAATTAGGCAACGCTAACTGCATTCAAGCACAAATATGGAAAGAGGTTCCGAAAAATATTATAACAACACCAACTTGGCAACTTTCCATCAGACAGCTAAAGTAGCATCCATCTCCCATTTTCCGTCAACAAAAATATTGAGCACATATATCAAGGGATCAAATAGAAGAGGACAAATCAGATGAAAGCAAATTATTACTGACAAAGGGACATACTGTTTCCCCGGCTTCTGAAGCATTGGCGTAATTGTTTGAATTATAAATGGAACCATCATGTTGTGTGCAGCCAGTGATGGGAGCACTTTTAGAATTTGTGGCTGTGACATGGATGAATTGACAACAATAAAGGACAGCCAAATGAAGGAAACGGAAGATTAAATCGCATCCAAAATTTAGTAGTGAAAAGAAAGAGCAATGTTCACTAGGAAAACTCACCAGTATATTTTGGTAATTGACATCTTTTCTGGTGAAAATATTGATGTAAAATAGAACGGCGAGCAACAATCCAACTCCCTGTTTAGGATCCATAGTGCCAATAGCTGCCAACAAATCTATGGCAATGTTCCCCAGTGACTGATGGATCACCAACACCGCACCAGCAGCACTGAGTAGTGGTGCGATCTCTGGAGGTCAATGTGGATGATTAGGATACAAGTATTCTCTCAAGTCTCGATACATACTAAACATGTACCTTTGTAAAAGAGAAAAAGAACAAAGCCAAAACATGTTACGATGGCTTACCTGTCAAGGAAACTCCTTCAAACTGAGACAGAGGCAGTGAGGATTTCCGCTTGTCAACGACCCTCAAACAATAGTCTCGTACTTGAGACACCCAATCTGAAGGCCCCAATTTTTTCTTTTCTTCATTATAAGTTTCAGCAACAGAAACAAGATCCATATAGCACAGTGTAGACTTCGAAAACTTTTCCTGGGTATTTAGTGAAGTGTCAGTATCTACTAGAAGCCACTTACCTAAAATCAAAACTACACACTAGTACTGCAACACATGGTGCTACCATGAAAACCTGTTGCAGCCTTCTATATAGAAACAATTAATAGTATCTAAACCCTTACATTCATCTATTATATAAAAGTTGATGAAAACATAAATCTGGCCAATGTTCTTCTTATTTGAATATTGAAGAAGATGCACAAACTTAACGTTTAGCACAATAAAAAATGTCCAGACAAGTGACAACTATCATATTAGTAAATGACAGAAAGAAAAATGACGCAGCCTGAATAATTATAATTTATATGTACATTAACAGATAGTGAATGTGGAATCAAAAGAACAGATCAGGGGAAGAGAAAGAAACCAGACCTGAAACCAAAGATGTTGCAAAAGCCTATAAATGATAGTCCCCACTGTACTTATATGTGGAAATTTCCAGCTCATGCCTACCTCAGTCTTGGGTTCTTTTAATAATTGCACTATGCAGTTCTCTACCATGCTAACTAAATCAGCTACTGCAGCCTTAACAGGTTTGGAAGCTGACGACATAAGGTTAAGCACAGGACACATGAGAATGAGTTCTTCACTTAGAGCAGGTTGGATCAGTGAGACGGAATATCCTGGAAAACATATAGAAAAAATCAGATGCTATGAGGAAGGAATATATGCAGTGTAATAGAGAATATACACTGACAGGAACAAATTAAAATTACAAGGTACTTATGGTGGACAGATCCAATTCCAAGCCAATGCTCATTCAGGCACAACATCATCGGATGATCGAAGGCCTCAGTATAAATAAAAAAAAACATGTAGGATAAGCACCCCCTAATGCATTGTATAAGGTGAGGAACAGTTGAGATTGTTTGCCATGGTCCCTACTGGCTAGAATATGCCTCTTTGGAGCCCTATAGTGCAGGAATGAGTAGATAAGATATATATCCATTAACATAACTACTTTGTCCTATGTCTGAGGAACTCAAAGCTTCTAATGAAACTTAAGAGAAGGAAAATATCAAGAAAATAAATTTCCAGTGAAACTACTAGATGGGTTTGACATAGGGTCATCCGAGTTATCAAAGGCAAGAATAATTATGTGACTTTACCATTTCCATTCTTCCACCTAAGAAGGAAGATGAGGAGTTTGACTACAGAAAGCTGCTCGTGTTCAAGCTCAGACTGCGCAAGGGCAATAGACAAAGAAAGCAGTGTTGCTGACAATTCTGGTATGAATTCCAGTCCAAGATCCTTCTGAACAACAAATAGGCGCTTCAATAACTCATAAATTGCTTCACTGCCACCAGAACGGCCATGAAAACATGCCAACAGTGCAAGAACTGTTTCTGACAGGTCAACCCCAAGCAGCTGGGCCTTGCCAACTGACTGTATATCAAGATAAAAGAAATAGAAAATTTAACCAAACAAGAACGTTAAATTAGTGTGACAGTAGTGTAATACATATTAGAGAGACATTTCATTTACATAAGTACCAAATAACCAGAGGAAACATACCAGCCCTGTTTCAATCGCGTGTCTTAAAACCACTACATATGCATCAGCAGTACATTCTATAAAATAGTAGGAGTTCCGGAGCTCCTGCACTTGATAAATACAGAGAAACCCACGGACCATCAGATGCGAGAAGTCATCCAGCAGAATGTTCAGCTAGTATCGAAGATGGAAAAATGCTTTGATCCACTAAAACAGAAGGGACAGCGAAGGAATGAATAAAAGACGGTATTACTAACATCCGAAGTCTTATGTGGCAGATATTTTAGGCAGTCTATCAATAGCTTGAGAATAGCAATTCCCTCATTGGGGAATGAACAACAACACGACGCCACTGATGATATTAGCCGCCTTGCAAACAATGACGATGAGGAATCTGAAAAGGGTAATCTCAGAACTGAAAAGTTCAGCAAGGGTCTCAAGAATGCACAGACTTCCTCCATTCCTAGTCCCCTACTCTTAGCCATAAACAGTAAAACTTGCTGCACCAATTCAGACTGCACCTCGCTTCTGGACAGCAAAACCTGCATTCCAAGAATCCACGAACAATAATCATTCAGATTCTTCAGCCATGAAACAACCTTACGAACTCACCAAGGGGGCAAAAAAAGAAGCAAAATGGTTGACTAGGACTTAATCATGCACCTATCACATTAACCACAGCAATGTAAAAAGCGAGAATAAAATCTCAATTGATCATTTCACTGACCTTGACAAACGGATGATTCTCCGGGGAAGCGAACCGCCAAGAGCCATGGCTCTTCTCGAAGCCCAGCCGAACCAGAAACCCAATGCCTTTAACAAACAAGCCAACGAACTTCTCGTCTGTACCTTCGAGTGCTGACTGGAGCTCGAGCAAGCCCCGTGAGAGGTCCAATTTCGAATCCGAGACGAACCGGCAGAGCTCGCGGACCGCCTGGTCAACAACTGCCGGCGACCGAGACTGCAGGCACTGTGAGATTGCTTCTCTACCTGGTTCGGAATCGGAGTCCAGGTACCCCGGCGCCGAACGGAGCTTCGAGAAAATTGAAACAACCGCGAATTTCTGCAGAGACGGCTGCGGCACTTTCGTTTTATCTAGTAGCGGAGCGTAAGCGTCCATGATTGCTTTGCTTGCTTGCTTCACTGTGAATTGTAGAATTGAACTGCCGGAGAGGAATGTTATGAGAAAAGACGATCCCGGGAAACGTTTCGTTTCTGCCCGACCCGACTTAATATCCATGCCCTTTCTCGGGTTAGCACAACTGCACAAGGTATACATCATACATCACTACGTTGTCGTATTGCTCGCTCGCCTTCTCTTCTTCGTTTCTCTGTCCTTTCGGTTCTGGCACTAAATTCCTTCGTAAACGGCGGCCGCCACCGGCACCAGTGACGATTGATCCGGGGAATCCATCAATGGCGGCGGCGCTTTCGGAGCTTGATGAAGACACCGTGCGCAGCATGGCGGTCGGAGCTGTGTTCAACGACTTCGTAAGAAAAGCTTTTGATTTTTCTCGCCCCGAATTTGATAATCGGAGTTTTTCAAGCTGAGAAGCAGCTAGAAAATGGAGATTGAACTTTTGCTGTTTCTTTCAGGGAGGGAAGATAAACTCGGTTGATTTCCATCGTAAAGATGATTTGCTGGTGACGGCGAGCGACGATGATTCTGTTCGCCTGTACGACATTGCAAGCGCCAAGTAAGCTTTCTTTCAGTTCCCCATCTCGTTCTTCGCTTAGAACAGAATCCCATTGGAGGATGAAACAGAAGGCGCTGCTTGTTTTCTACAAAATATGAAAAGGGATCGTCTTTGCTTTAATCGGTGGCTTCCATTGCAGGTTACTGAAGACTACATTTCATAAGAAGCATGGAGCTGACCGCATTTGCTTTACTCACCATCCTAGCTCTGTGATTTGCTCTTCCAAATACAATTTGGAGACTTCTGGAGGTGAGTTGATGCGTTGCTTATGAATTGGTATTGTAGGTTATCTACGAATGAGAGGGCAGCCATTGATGGGTCTATTCTGCTTTGTGTTGTTGCTTTATTTGTTCAGAATCCTTAAGGTATCTATCGATGTATGATAACCGATGTCTTCGGTATTTCAAAGGACACAATGACAGGCGAGTACTTTCTTTGTTCTCCTCAAAACTATGCTTGAGAGGTGTTACTTCTGATTCATTTGTTATGCCATTGAAGCCTTTTATCTATGTTTTCTTTCTTTCCCACCAGGATTGTCTCCCTATGCATGTCTCCCATCAACGATAGCTTCATGTCTGGTTCTCTCGATCATAGCGCCCGAATATGGGATCTGCGTGTTAACGCATGCCAGGTAGGTTTCCTTTCTAAATGCAGCAAGAACACTAGCTTGTGTCAGCCATGGTAGCTTAGGGAGGTTAGGCCTAGAGCGTAGCGTGTCATTGTTCATGGTTGTGATTCATGCTTACTGGTATAGCTTTCAGGGAATCTTACGGCTGAGAGGTCGACCAACAGTTGCGTATGATCAACAAGGTCTAGTCTTTGCTGTGGCTATGGAAGGGGGTGCTATCAAATTGTTCGATTCTCGTTCCTATGACAAGGTACTGATCATCAGCAAAGAAACCAACATTTTCCCCTTTGTTGCGGTAGAATGGTGTGGATTGACATTGACATTGCTATGCAATTGGCAGGGGCCTTTCGATACATTTTTAGTTGGGGGAGACACTGCTGAGGTTTGCGATATCAAGTTCAGCAACGATGGGAAGTCAATGCTGTTGACAACAAGCAACAATAACGTTTATGTGCTTGATGCATATGCAGGAGAAAAGGTTAGCTTACCTGTCAATGCAATTCTACGATCTTTAGCCACAAGTTTATGAGCATTTTGTGAATGGGATGATCGACTGATTAATTCATCGACTTCTATTCTTCAGCGCTGTGGATTCAGCATGGAACCATCTCCAAACACAACCATAGAGGCGACTTTCACCCCGGATGGCCAGTATGTAGTATCAGGTAATCCACCTTCCTCATTTCCTTTTCATCTCCCCAACGAAAGACCATAACTTTTCTCATTTCAAGCTCAACCAGTATAAATTCAGCCAAATACCGTTCATTTATCACTAATTACGGGGATATATGTTCAGTCTGAGAAGGATGATCCTGTTCTTACCAGCTACGATCTCATGTTCTTGTTAGGCTCGGGAGATGGGACATTGCGTGCTTGGAACATCAACAAACCAAACGAGGTACATTGAAAACTAATGGTGTGTTCTTCTACAATATACATGGATGTCACAATTTCTGATTCTGGGGTTTTGTGGGCTATCTTTTTGTTTCTTTAGCCGGTGGCATGCTGGAGCAGCCATATAGGTGTTCCGTCTTGCTTGAAATGGGCTCCTCGACGGGTAATGTTCGTCGCTGCATCTTCCGTTCTTACGTTCTGGATCCCCGATACTACCAAACCATCATCGTTGGCAGAGGCACCAGCACCACCAGTCGAGGGCGGCAGTGGAGCCATGCCCAACCATCCTCCCCTGTGACCCTTTTCGTGTCTTGTTCTTCCCAGTTAAGAGGCTAATCAGTAGTTTAATCAAGGTCCTCGCTTTTGTAGAATATCAAGAGTTGTTGTAATAGTTCGGTTTCATCACCAACTAAACGAAAACAGAGGAAACAGAGTCGAACAGTAGAAAGGAGGAAAACAGAGCGATTCAGAAAGAAAAGAAAAAAACTAAACCACCAAATGTTGCTTGCTTACATTCACAACCCAGAAAGAAAGGAAGAAAACGAGAAAAGACCTTAAAAAACTCATCAAACTACACGCAAAATAAACCCAACTCCGGAATTCGAAGCAGCATCCCATCTCGGATCTTCTTCGTCGTTCCTTCATTTCGTCTCCTGAGCTTTCCTCTGGATCTCCTGCCCGACCTCCTTGGTCTTCTGGCCGGCATACCCAGCTGCATCCTGCATGCGCCTCTTGGCCTGCTCCATAGTCTCGGGCACAGCCTGGCTTGCATTAGGAGCAATAGCACGCACAGCTTGCCGTAGGTACATAGCAAACCACGACAAAGCAGTCAGCCCCGTGGCCCCAGCAAGCCCCGAGGTCAAGAAAGCAGTGACGGCAAACGCAACGAGCAGAGCAGCAGGGACGATCACAGGGCTGCAGATGATGAACACGGGAGTGGCGACAGCCAATCCGATGAGAGTCCCGACGAGGATTATCCCGGCCAGCGCCAGGAGAGTGCCGCCCACGGGGAGCATGGTGACGACTGCAAGTACCTTGGAAGGTGAAGGTCCTGTTCTCTGGTGTGGGTCGCCCTTGAGGCCGCCTCCATAACGGCCTCCACCACCATAAGCATCGAAGCGGTGCTGCTGTCCACGATCCCCCATTGTCGCCATTTTTTCTTTTGCGGGTAAAAAGCTTGGGCCTTTACAAGCACAATGAAGAGCTTTGGAAGTTTTTTAGATGAATGATGAGAGGAATCGGTGAGAGGGAGAAGGGGTGGTGGGGGAGTTATACAGTGAGTAAAGGAGGGGCGAGGGAGTGACACGTAGAGAGGTGAGATGGCGAGCAAGCGGTTTGCATGACAAACAAGTTTCAAAACTTACAGAGGAGGGGGAAGAAAAGAGGTGTAGTCTGAAGGGAAAAGGAAGAAGACAAGGGGGCTGGCTCTGCTCTCCATCATGCAGTGGACCAGTGGTAAATAGTAAATACAAAACTGAGCACCCAATTCACTCATATGGCTCAATTAGCTCTCATAATTATTTTTTTCTACGATTTGGTACTTCTAAATTCCAACTCAATCTCTTTGGTTATAGTGGGTTTGCTCAGGAACTACTCAACATTTATATTGTTGTCTAGTTAAGCAATTGGCTTGCACTCTTTAGGAGGGTTTAGGATAGGGTCAGTAATCATTGGTTACTAACCTATGAGTAACTAAAGAGATCTTATGTTCATAATGATGTCATGCTTGCGGGACCCAAAAAAACAAATCTTGATTGAACCCATATTTGCCCAATGGATTCAATCTGCTCATGGTAAAACTTCATATGGGTTTGATGTATCTGGACCTTTAGATCTAAGTGGGTCTAGAAAATTCAGATATAAGGGTTGTCAATAAAATGCATTTTAGTTTCCCTATTTTCTTAATCGGCTCTTATCTTCTTCGTTCTAACTTGGATTTCAATTTTTTTTTTTTTTTTGCACAAATGGAACGAGTTCGTTGTGCTCTACAAAATGAGATCAATTTTCAATATATTTCGAGAATTTTTTTTACCAACTACATACCATATGGTAACTTCTTCGTTTTTAAGTCGTTTTTGAAAACGTTTGCTCAGAAGGAACGAGTTCATCATGATCTATTGGATCTATAAATTTCTGGGTGAAAAAAATACTGGATAAAAATTATCATACTTTACCACTATGGTATGTTGGTGGTAACTTGTGGTAACTTGTAGTAAACAATGATGAAAGTAGTAAATGACAATTAGTATACTCCTACTATCATGTATTCAATCTTCTTATCATATTGGTATGTTTATACCATCATGATACGCTTTCTTATCATATGATATTAAATATGAGCATACCATATGGTAATGACTAGTAAAAAATTATTCAATTTTTTGTACTAAAAAAATCAAAGTGGATATTATTTTGAAGAGCACATTTAATCTGATTAATCTGTGCAAAAAAAATAAATTTCGACTTAAAACGAGAGAGTAATCGTCCGTTAAAGATTAAAGGAGAATAGATAAAAGACTTTCAGGAGAGAGAATACTGATGTCATGTTGATGTGGACAGATTATTCATATTTACTGATCATAGGTTACTGAGTTATCCTTCCCTTTTAGGAGTCTAGAGTTATAACCTAAAGAAAATACCAATAGCACATTTTGTACATCTGACATATGATCAAGTGCTTAAATTAGTACCAAGAACTTCAAATTTAACCAACTACAGTTACAACAGAAGAAAAGGCCATGCAATAATCTTCCACCACAAAAAACTTCCAAAAAAGGGCAGTAAACAATTAATTTCCCGGTGGTGGCTGGCAACTGGCAAATAACAACTGCATAGATGCAGAGCATAGCCATAGCCAAGCCGACCTTTCCTATTTCCCCTTCTCTTCCCCTTCCGTTCGATCAAATCTCTTTTTTCTTTCTTTGTTTTTCGTCATGTGTAGCCTGTAGGTCTCTTTTGAAACTTGTTTGTCATGCAAAGCCCTTACCAGTCACGTCACCACCCTACGTGTCACTTCCTCACCCTTCCTCCCCTGCTTTATATTCCTCCCTCTCTCTATACCTCTCTTAATTCCCTTCCACACTACCCTCTCTATCCCACAACTCAAAAGCAATCTCATCAAGCTCCAGAATTCTTCAACAACAACAACAATGGATCGTACACACCCGCACCAAGTCCAGGTCCACTCCCAGTTCCCAGGCCGCTACGAAGGCGGATTCAAGGGCGGCAGACCTGATTACCAGCGAACCGGTCCGTCCGCTTCGACCATACTGGCTGTCATGACCGGGCTCCCAATCGGTGGAACCCTCCTCGCGCTGGCAGGGTTAACCCTTTTTGGAACGCTCATTGGACTGGCGGTGGCGACCCCTGTGTTCCTAATCTGCAGCCCTGTCATCGTCCCTGCTGCTCTGACCATCGCGTTTGCAGTCACCGCTTTCTTGTCCTCCGGGCTGGTCGGGCTGACCGGTCTCACCTCGCTGTCGTGGTTTGCTCGATACCTCCGGATGGCGACGGAGGAGGTGCCTGGGCAGCTCGAGGAGGCGAGGAAGAGGGTGCATGATGCGGCAGGGTATGTCGGGCAGAAGACCAAGGAAGTCGGGCAGGAGATCCAGAGGAAAGCTCAGGAAACAAAACCATGAAAATGGGAAATAAAATAAAAAAAAGAAGGGTTTATTTGCATGTAATGGATTCAGTTCCAATGTTGTTTTCTTTTTCCCGGTTTCCTGAATGTTAAGAGGGAGAATTTGATGTTCTAGTTTGCTTCTTTTGGTTCTTTGGGGTTAATTACTATGTATCTTCTTCACTGTTATATTACTACTTACTAAACACTACTCTGTTTCCCTTGGTTTCCTCTGTTTCACGAACAAGGCCTTCGTTTTCTTGCTCTGGTGTACACTTAGCACACTGGTTTGGTTCTGTAGGGGATTTTCTGAACTTGATGCTAAAGATGGAAATAGATGTTGCAACAATAGCAGAACATAAGCTAGAGATAAATTTTGCTCCTCAAAGAGGAGGTTGTAAAGAATGCGGAAAGTAGAGAAGACGATGATTTACGTGGTTTCCCCGAAGATCGGGACTAGTCCACGGAGAGCTTGGAGCTCTCAGTTAGGTTTCACTATATGCGGCTGATTAGGTTTAGCCGAGATAATTACAGAGTGAGGCCAAGTGCCTCTAAATATACCTTCGACAATTAACTAGGTGAAAAAGGAAAATAACCAAACAACACACCCAAGTACAAAGGCTGTACAAATCAGTCCAATACTCCCCCTCAAGCTGGAGCATGAAGATCCCGAATGCCAAGCTTGGATAAGAGATGGTGGAATTGATCTGTACCGAGAGCCTTGGTGAAAATGTCAGCAAGCTGTTGAGTGGTTTTAACCTTCTGAGGAAGTATCTCACCAGAACTAACGCGCTCCCGGACGAAGTAGCAATCCATTTCAACGTGCTTAGTGCGCTCATGGAAAACCGGATTAGCCGAGATGTGAAGCGCTGCTTGATTATCACAATAGAGAGGAGTGGGAGCTCGCTGCACAACCTGCAACTCACGAAGCAAGAAGCGTAGCCATAGAACCTCACTAGTAGCACTGGCCATGGCTCGATACTCAGCCTCCGCAGAGGAACGGGACACGACTCTCTGCTTCTTGGCCCGCCAGGAAATTGGCGCACCTCCCAACTGAACAAAGTAGCCGGTAGTAGATCGACGGGTCGACTGGCAACCAGCCCAATCAGAGTCGCAGTACGCGATAAGCTCCAAAGACCCTGCGGAAGGCAAGAACAAACCTTGCCCCGGTGCAGTCTTAAGGTAACGCAAGACACGATGAGCGGCTGCAATGTGATCAGGACTAGGAGAATGAACAAACTGGCTCAACACGTTGACAGAGTAAGCAATGTCCGGACGTGTAATGGTAAGGTACAGGAGACGACCCACGAGGCGCCGATAGGAGCTAACATCGTCGGCACGATCATCGGTGGGGCGTGTGAGAGTGTGGTTCTGCTCCATAGGGAAACTGCTGGGCCGAGCTGCGCCTAAACCGGAGTCCTTCAGAATGTCCAGAGTGTACTTTCGCTGACTAAGAACAATGCCATCAGGGGAGCGAGCAACTTCGATACCCAAAAAATATTTCAGCACGCCCAAGTCTTTGATGCTGAATCGCTGATGGAGGAAGGTCTTAACACTCTGAATGACCTCCGGAGCATCTCCAGTCAAGACCACATCATCAACATAGATAAGGACGGCAACAAATGCTTCCGGGGTGTGATATATGAAGAGAGAGTTATCAGCCCGGGACATAGTAAACCCAAAGTCCACAAGAGCGGAAGCAAATTTAGCATACCAGTTCCGCGAAGCCTGCCGGAGACCGTACAAGGACTTCCGAAGCCGACACACCCTGGTGTCGCCATCCCGAGCGAACCCTTGAGGAACTCGCATATACACCTCCTCATCAAGATCGCCATGGAGAAAGGCGTTATTCACATCTAGTTGGTGGAGGGACCAGTTGCGCTGAGCCGCCACGGCGAGGAGAACACGAACTGTGACAAGCTTGGCAACAGGAGCAAAAGTGTCGTGGAAGTCGATCCCCTCTAGCTGTGTAAACCCCTTGGCAACCAATCGAGCTTTGAAGCGCTCGATGGAACCGTCTGGCTGATATTTGATCTTATAGACCCATTTGGAATCTATGAGCCGTTTCCCGGGAGGCAATGGCTCCAGAGTCCATGTTCCGTTAGCTACAAGAGCATCAATCTCCTTCTGCATAGCGACCCGCCAATACTCATACTGAACAGCCTCGGAGAAATGTCGGGGCTCGTCCAATTTGGTGATGGAAGCCAAAAAAGCACAGTGGTCAGAAGAGAAGCGGTGGTAACTAACATGATTGGATATAGGAAACTGAACATGATGGGAGGACTTAGGATAAGTTACCTCGTACACATCGAGCTTGGAAGGAGGCCGTTTGTCTCGATGGCTGCGACGAAGAGCATCGGGAGGATCGGCTTGGTGTGAGGGCGAGTCACCGCCAGTATGTGAGTCGGGAAGAACATTGACTTGATCAAGACCTTCTTGCTGGGTAGAGACATGCGGAGGGGAAGGAGAGGTGGACACGTCTACATCGTCAAGGAGCTCCCCCTGTTGCATAGAAGTGCTCGAGGTAGATGGCAAAGGGGATGTGATGGGGAGTTCTTTCCACCCCACTTCATCCATGGGATCATTATCAGAATTTGGCACATCATTAAGTGCCTCAACGTGACCTGCAGGAGGCAAGTCAAACAAAGCTTGCATGGGAGAAGGACCATGCACGTGAGTAGGGTCTTTTTGTGAGCCACTAGTGGACGACCGGAAAGGGAACGTATTCTCCACAAAATGTACATCACGGGATGTATAAATCTTCCGTGTGTGCAAATCGTAAACACGATAACCCTTCTGGGTGCCTGGATAACCAATGAAAACCCCCGCTCGCCCTCGTTCAGCAAATTTGTCCAAGGTATAATGTGTGTCTTTAGCATACACGAGACAACCAAAACTCCGTATGTGTGTATAGGCAGGAACCCGTCCCAACAAGATTTCGAACGGTGTCTTTTGAGACAAAGGCACCAAAGGAAGGCGATTGATGAGATAGGCCGCCGTAAGAACACACTCGCCCCAAAAACGCACCGAAAGATTAGCATGGAACATGAGCGACCTAGCTGTGTCTAGTAAATGCCGATGCTTTCGTTCCACCACGCCATTTTGCTGCGGCGTATCCGTACAAGTCGTTTGAAGAACAATTCCCTGCTCTTCATAGTAATTACGGAGAGATGCAGTCTGAAATTCCGGACCATTGTCCGCCTTGAGACGTCGAACCTTCTTTCCATACTGAGTACGCACCAATGCAAAGAACGACCGCAAATAGCGCTCAGTGTCGGATTTGAATTTCATTAAGTAAACCCAAGTCCCCCGACTGTAGTCATCGACCATGGTCAAGAAATAGTGTGACCCATCCGTGGCTGGTGTTTTATAAGGCCCCCATATATCAAGGTGTATAAGATCAAAGCAAGTACTAGTCTTGATTGAGCTTAAAAGAAACGAGTTTCGTGCTTGCTTAGCACGGACACAAGGATCACAATGAAAGGAGCTGCGGGAATCAAAGCTACAACCAACAAGGTCCTTTAATAAAAATAACTTGTCCAAAGATGGGTGGCCAAGCCGAACATGCCACAGTTCTCTAGAAGCTGCTTGACGATCAACTCTGCAAGCCTGTGGCAGGGGATCACGAGTTGTACCCAACTCCTCACCAAAACGCTGCAAATAATATAAGCCGTCTCGCAGTTTACCCACGCCAATCAGAGTCTTGGAATGTGAGTCCTGAATCATACACACATCATTCAAGAAAATTACTTCCACGTTGTGCTCCTGAGTCAAACGACTAACAGACAAGAGATTGCATTTGAACTCTGGGACATGCAAAACTCGCTGCAAAGTAAGAGAATCAGAGAGTTTGACTGTGCCCATGTTCTTAACTGGAATACCCGTCCCATCCGGAATACGAACTTGTGAATGAACAATGTTGTCATCAACTGAAGTTAACCATCTGGAATCTCGCACTATATGTTCATTACAACCTGAATCTATCAACCATTCGTAAAGATCAGGATAATTACCCGCCATGTGTGCTGTGGGTTCGGAACGAGCGTCCGATGCAGAAGAAAGCAGCTGTTGAAGTTGCGCAAACTGCGCCGCAGTTAACCCAGGAACCGGGATCGTCTCTCTCTCTACGTGTGCTACCTTGGAACGCCGACCAGAATTGCCGGATCGATCTTCAGTCGGCTTGTGTTTGGGATGGCCAGGTGGGAACCCAATCAATTTGTAGCATGTCTCTTTCAAGTGTCCCTTTCGGTTGCAATGGGAGCAACGAGGAGAGTCTTGTTCCTCATTTGAGTCCCTAGCAATTTGTGTATGGAAAGCACTCGTTTCAATAGGAGGGCGCCTTGCATTAGTGATATGGCGGTGTTGTTCCTCTGCTGCCACCATTTGATAAGCATCGGCGAGAGTTGGTGTGGGCTTGGTGCCTAATATTTGGGACTGTATGACAGAATATGCATCATCTAACCCCATCAGGAACTCGAACAGTCGTGCGATGTCCTGTTTCTCACGTTGCTTTTGAACCAAATCGCAGCTGCACCCGCCACAAGTGCAACCACCACAGCTGCAGTGTGCGACTCCTTCTACAGCTTGCATCTCATCCCACAATGAACGCAGATGGGTATAAAATGACGAGACAGTTTGCTTTTCTTGTCTCGTCGAGCTGATGGTCCGACGTAACTCGTAGGCACGTTGTGCGGATCCTTTGCTGAAGCGGCGCTGAAGGTCGATCCATATGGCACGAGCTGTAGTAGCAGTTCGCACACTGTTGCGGACCTCCTTGGTCATCGCAGTCTTCAGCCAACCTTTGACGTTGGCGTCACAACGGTCCCAAGAGGATTGGCGCTCTCCTGACCCCGCTTGATTCCGCGGAAGAGAACCATCAACAAACGCCATTTTGTTTTTGGCGATTAGGGTTTCAGTCATGTCACTGACTCATTCTCCATAGTTGGAATCATTCAAGAGATCACTACCGAATAGCTGTGCAGGATTCTCCGACGGATGCAGATACAAGGGCGAGCTAATGGGGATCGTATCCGTGCCAGAGGTCACGTTCTTGACGTCCTTTGCCTCGTCTTCCTTGCTCATGATGCGAAAACGTATTGATATGAATCTATAGCTCTGATACCATGTAAAGAATGCGGAAAGTAGAGAAGAAGATGATTTACGTGGTTTCCCCGAAGATCGGGACTAGTCCACGGAGAGCTTGGAGCTCTCAGTTAGGTTTCACTATATGCGGCTGATTAGGTTTAGCCGAGATAATTACAGAGTGAGGCCAAGTGCCTCTAAATATACCTTCGACAATTAACTAGGTGAAAAAGGAAAATAACCAAACAACACACCCAAGTACAAAGGCTGTACAAATCAGTCCAATAGAGGTCACCAAAAGCTTCACTGTGGCATGTCACAGCTCCAACTAGGGTTTGCTCCATAAATCGAATACTAAAACGGGATCCATTAATCCGTGTTCTGTGTAGACGTCTGTTCACTTAACCCGTTTTTACACTCTGGAACGGATATGAGCATTGACATACTCCGCTGATTTCTCTCTCTCACGAACTGGACAAAGCTACAGAGACCTTCATGGGCCGAAGGAGATAAGGTGAGCAGGCCCAGTAAGCGGTGAACAAACAATGGGCCCATTCATTAGATCTGTGCATAACTGGGCTTCGGGACTTGGATTCTTCAGTCACCATCCAAGGGGAATGGGCGTTTGAGATTAGATTAGATAATTACCATTTACCAGGACAGGTTAACTCTTGCTGGAGCTCTAATCTGTTCATGGGCCATAGGGGGGTACAGCCCAGTGGGCTTCTTTGAAAGGGGAAGAAAGAAAGGTCTAATCAGAGGCACAATCAAATCAATCAATCAATCACTCTGAATTTTTCTTTTTGTTTGGGAGCATTTGTAACAGAGCTGTCTCTGGTCAGGGTCATTTTGGAGGGGGCCTTCTTCTGTTTTACCCTCAACTTTTTGGGCGGTTGGAGGATCGGATGGGCCCATTCATTTCGAAACAGGGCTTTAATGACATGTATTAGAAAGTGACCCATTCTTGAAAAAAGAGTCATACAAGACTAAGGTGCTGGGCCATCGGGTCCAGGCCCATAGATGAGTACATCGGATGGGGACTTTTCGCTTTGACGGTGGGCCCAATAACACGCCATTCCGCCCGTGCGCATGCTCTGTTTGTTTCTTAGCTCCATTATTTACTTGTCATGTTTGTTAAGACGCAAATGAAATGGAATTTTAGGTGAAGAGTATCTTTTGTTTGACTTCCTGGCCACATTGACCCCATCTATACAGGCCTTTACACGAAATTGTGGTCTACATTATTAACGAGTTAATTAGTTATTAGTATGTATATATGCATATATAGCTCCTATCCATAGTTCCATACATTGTTTGAGAAAGTTTACTTGTTATGGGAATTAGACAAAAGTAAGTTTAATTTAGAGATATAATGTTGCAAAGGGAGACTAGGATACATTTTATCTGGTCTCATGAACTCTAATCTCACAGTCCCTCTGGTTTTTGCTTTATAGGTATTTATGACTGTTATGAGATGGTTGGATGAAGACTCTATTCAATGCTCATAGATATCGTCGAGATTTATAAATTTTGATGAAATTCAAACAACGAAATGATAATTTCGTCCAATTTTAAGACAGAATTATGTCTCCACATGTCAATAGCTCCACATAGAGCTCAACCTCAAATTATGTGAGCCAAAGCTTACAAACATATAGGGCGGTTCTTAGGGAGGGAAGGGGATGTTGGAGGAGATGCTGGTAGGCCAATGATTAGGAAGAGAAAGAAAAGAAGAGACAAGGAGGCAAAAGGGAATGTGCGATCATGTGCAAATAATTGCAATACATTAAAACAGTATATTCAAATATATAATTCCAGTTTGATTGATATGTCGATATAAATATCCGTTCGTATAAATTCGAAGTTTGCGAACTACACAATTAAGTGTTCTAAGTCGTTCGATGCATGTTGTTTAAATGACAGACAATACATGCACTCCAATAACTATTTAAGATAGTATCTATACCGGCTTGCCAGACATGTGATGTCTGCAGAGCGTGGACAGAGGAACTTGGGTTCTTGAGTACATGTGGCCTCATGAGGAAGGTGATCCGTCACAATTTTACAGCATGTATATAGCAGCAGACAGATGGGATTATCATCATTTATCTCAAAGAGTATAGCAGTACTACTGCTAGTGATGGACTAGTGTGGTACCTCAGTTTGCATATTCACCAACAGTATGCAAATTAGTGTACTGTTAGTACTGCATGTCGCCCTACCAAATGAAAGCTCAAACAGAAGGGGGACAATGGTGAAAACGAGTTGTCAGTAGAAAACGTTTGAAGAGCAGAAGAGAAGAGGGTCAACATGCATGCACTACCCATGAAGTTGCTTCATCTAAGCTTTGTCGGTGTCAAAACCAAATTAATTAAGGTGGTGGTGTGTGCAAGGTGTAATTTTTTGGCCACTCTAACAACTCGAATTATTGTGATTAATTAGTTCCCGCATGATACTGGCTAGCTAGAGGGTTCGACCTCTGTGTTCGAGTACCGAAGATCCTCAATATTGTTTAGCTTTTGATTGAGTAAAATGTATGAAGGGCTGAGAGCAAAGCTCAATATATTGAAATATACAAGATTCATTCCTAGACAATAACTAAAGTTGAAAGTTGAAAATGTATGAAGGGCTGAGAGAAATATGCATGATCCCCAAGCGAAAGTTGAAAATTGAAATATACTTGATTGCATGCATAGATCTCCGACACGCTATGTATTTATACCAACAATATTCTCTAATGTTGGTCCTGACTCATTAGGGATTGGACGTCAACCTTCAATACCCAACAACTCCAATACTTGATGCATAGGCCCAATCCACTATTTCGATTATGCACACATTTATCCTAGCTAATAACTCGAATTGTCAAAAGCACTATAAAAGATAAGGCTCCACCACTAGCTACCAAATGGGTCAGACCCAACTGTAGAAAACTGGTGAATAACTAGCAGTGAAGTTGGTAACTATTGTCCATTGGTTTGTATATATATAGGATGACCCCCTTGTCAATTTTGAGAGGGTACATTCTCACATGGGAAATAAACCCTTTTATGGTTTCCTATCAGAATAGCTTGCTAGCTACCTAGCTCCTAGCTAAGGCATCTTCGTGCTTAGAAAATGACATCGATCGTCCCTTTAATCCTATCTCTATCGATCGCTTCCACACATCCTCTCTTGAAAAGTCTAGTTGAAAGGGAATCTCGGCTGCCCAATTGCACAAAGACTAGCGCACTACGTACCAACGTTTCTACTTGCACCGCGGCCGACTGGTGGCCGACCCTTAAATTAGTCTAATCCGTAATCACCAATGTTAAAGCAAAACTATATCCTTAAAACTGTTATTATCAACACTTTCCTTGGGGCTGCTCACTTGAGGTCGGCCGGCCGGCGAATGCTCCCTGTATAGTTTAGTCGGCCGCCCGCATATGAAGTCTAAGAGAGCGGTTACGGTGCTAATTGTACAATAGTTAGCACCGTCCTAACTAAGGGAAAAAATACTACTAGTTTGAAGTAGTGATTTAGCTTAGATATTGTATTGATTTTATAATAATCCGTAGTGATTTCGTTATTTTTAGTAGCGTTTTTTGCTAGTTATCACGGTGCTAACTCCTATAAGGGTTAGCACCTAATCTCATCCCGAAGTCTAACTATATGTATCTCTTTGGGTCTAACTCCGGCGATCTAGACTTGGGGTAAAGTCCACCGGCCACCAACTCGGAGTCAAGGGTCAAGTCATTCTCCGGAAAGTTGTGATCAAGGTGCGCCAAGCCCTTGTGCTCTTGGTACTTGACACAATTCAGAACCAAAGAGCAACCTATAAATATTGGGTCTCAGTTCTGGCTGCTAATATAGTTTACACGGTTATCTATGTTAACGGTTAATTTAACTGCTAATTATTGTTTAACGGTTAATATAACTGTGAGTTCTTGGTTAACATAACCGCTAACCATCGGTTAATGGGTAATCGTTAGCCACTAAGGATGTGAAAGGTTGGCTAGCTGTATAGGTGTTTGGTTGGCGGTTAACCGCTAACTGACAAATTCGTTGACGATTGACATTTAACTGAGCCGACTAACTACTGACACAAACATAAAAATGTTCTTCGCTCTTTCCTATATACATTCTTGCATAACACAAAACAATACTTTTTTATTTATTTACAAAGGGTGATCCACACATTCTTTGAGATTACGTTCGAATTTGTACAATAAAGCACACATACATGTTAAATCGAATCCAAACAAATACGACGATTCATACGATTCTCAACAGTTTAATTGCACCAATTGATGAAGGCAAGAATCTAACACAAAACACTTCTACACAACAACTACAACTTCAAGATTTGAGGATCTTGTTGGCCTATTTGCATATTCGTGTATGATCAAATCTTGAAATGGAAAAGCATGGCCGAGAAGCGTAAGATTTGATGATGGCATGGGGTGAGAAAAAGAAAGTTGCAAGGGGACAAAGAAAATTTTCATTTTGTTCACACTCTCATTTAGAGGACTTATGAGTAATCGTTCAAGGGAACCGTCTCTATTTGTTTATTTCACTTTGGGGTTCATTTTCAGCTGCTTTTCGTGTAATTTTGAAGATCTCCTGTCGGCTTATGGGCTAACTCTAGGTTATAACTTATAATCTACTTGTGCATGCTACCCGTGGTATTTTTTGGAGTTATGCAACACACTTTCAACCATATTATCAGAAGTCAAACTAACTGTCCAAGGGTAGTTAAGATGATTAGTTTGATTATTAAAGAGCAATATTGATGCTATAGTTTGATAGTTTATTGATTGTAGCTCAATCAAAGGAAAAAAAAACCAGTATCGCTGAAATAGTGTATTGAAGGTTACTAGACTATGCTCCAACGGGTGTGTAACGGTTCGGTCCGGTCCGAATTGGACCAAACTCATGAGAATTGTGGTCTAATAGTAAAAGACATATCAGGACCAAAGATCGGATCAACATTGCATTCGGTCCAGGTTTGGTCCGATCCAAATAATGTTTACTTCGATCTATTTTTTTCGGCATTTATAAAATTCTTGGACCAAAGACTGAACCATATTATATTTGGTTCGATGTGGTCCGACCAAGTGTTGGTTTGATTCGGTACGATCTGGTACGAACCAACTCGTTGCATACCTCTACTCGTAAGTAGGGTTTGTTGAGAGTTTTGATTTCAATAATTTAAATAGTTTAAAGTCGTTAAATAATATATTATCTTATCAGTTTGAAGTTTGCACTGGCACACTATACCTGTGCTTATGCTTCCTTTTAACTCCTTCCTATGAATAAAAAGAAAAGCATAAAGAAAATCATCCACTAAAAAATAATAAGTTTCCCTTTGGAAGTACTTCTTTCTATTTTGCCAAAACAAAGAAGCCAAAAGACATAAAAGAGAAGTCGGAGAAGATTCATAAAAAGTTCATTTGCTCTAATACTATACAGATTAAGAAGTGGGCGCACCAATTATGCAATAGTTCATACTTGTAATTAAATAATTAATTAAGAGACCACTATAAGATAAGTTATCAATCATACAATGTTTTTTGGCAAGCAAATAATTGTACACCGTTCCTAAACTATACTATAATCATCACAATTAACAATAAGATTACAAATAAGAGAGAATCTTGATCATCAGTCATCTTTACAAAACCGTGGGTACCTTTAATTTTGTGAGGCAGAAAGTGAGATATTGGGTATAGCTCCAATTTTATGGTATCTACTTACATATATATATATATTATTAAGCCTGATTTCCAATTATATCTTAAGTAAGGGATTATTATAATTAATTATAGATACATACCATGGGAGCCCTACCATCATATAATTGCTGTACGTACATTAGTTAGGGCTAGCTGATTCGGTAGGTATGAGTGGATTGTGAGTATTTCAAAATAAATACTATACTAGCCTAGGCCCCGGCCATTGGCCGGAGGAAAGTGAGGTATGAAATTTGATAATAAAATGGGGTGTATGGCTTATTGTTGTATAGTTTTTTTTTTTTTTTGGGAAATCAGCCTTATGAACCAAAATCAAGTACCTGTTACCTTGTGAAACAATATTGTTTCTGGTAATATGGTGAGGTGGAGTAAGTTTTATAGAAACCGAATTCCAGAAAATCGAATAAAAAATCGCCTATCCCGTCGGTTTTCGGGAAATGAGCATCTCACAATCGTTGCTAGCTTTTACTCGGCCCGTTGGCCGATTAATTTGCTTTATAAAACTTTCATCTTGTCATCATTGTGCTTTCTGGTTTTTTGCCAAGCCATGATAAAATCTAAAGAAATCAAGAATGAACAACACGATTTGGGATAGGAACCACCGTTCCTGTATCCCTAGAAAATGGTGATAAACACGAACTCACCTGCCAAACTGGTTTGGATTGAGATTTTTATCGGGTATCAGGAAACCATGTGATTATAAATTAGACTTGATCAAAACGGACCAAAACTTGAAATTCAGCCTGCTTGACCGACCCATGCCAAACTCTAATTATTCTTTATTTTTAAACTTTCTATTTGAAAATAAAAAATAAAGAAAGAAAAGAGATGACTGCAATTCGCCATTTGCACATCACTGATTCGGGAATAAAACTATACAATTTCGAAAGGAAACTGAAAAAATTTAGGATCGTTTTAATGTTAAAAATAACCAAGTAGATCTTTCTGTTTAGTTTTTTACTAACGAATACCAAACGATTCCCTATAATTTAATCATTATGATATCAAATAATTACATAAAATATATTTGAAATGATAAAAATTGGACTAATTGGGTTGTCGAGGTTGAACCATTGAATAACTTTAAAATACATTATATTTTAGCCACTAAGATATGAAATAATAGCATAATATATATTATGCTAGAGAAAATAGCTTGTTTTAGAATGACAAACCCATAATGTTCATTTGTTTTACTTGATGGGCAAATCCTGTGTAGGTCAGACTCATTCAACTCTTTTATTTTATGATTAGCGGTTAGCCCATTAGAATCCATGCATTAGTTTATTGTTAATTTTTTTTCTTTTTAGCAATAAAAAGGAGTATTGTTTTTGCCTTTTCATATATATTTTACCACCATAGAGAAATAAAAGGACTTAAAGAAAAAAATTGACACTCCTGGACCCGTTTAAATCCGCATGTGTACGGTAAGTTGCCCCGTTCCACAGAGGAAAAAGAAAAAAAATTGACACTCCCTATTCTACCCTTCCTACAAACGCTCATGGAGCAGGGAATTTGAAATGGGGGAAGGGGTTTTTTTTTCTCAGCGATTATATGTTTTAATTTAAAAAGATACAACAAATGTACTTAGTGTGATTGGTTATGATCTTTGCTTTTCTTTAAAGTGGTCATGGTTCAAATCCTAGTATGTGTCTTTTTAATGAATAAAAAAAACGTAATTGTGAAGATCAAAACGTCCTTCCTACTTTCACTCTGGATGCAGAAAATTTGAAATGGGGCTTCAAGTTTTCTCGTTTGGCTTTTATTTATTACTAGCTTTTAACCCGGCCAGTTGGCCCGAACTTTTATAATTTTAATTTTTAGTGAATTGCACTTTCGGTTGGTAAATGCAATAATAAAATGGTTCTCATATAATTTTTACTATAGTATATCAGTAATCATTTTCGAAGTTAACTTAGATTATGAAAGTTAAATTAGTATTTGACAATAAAAATAAATAGTCTTATAAAACAATTCAATCATACAATCACATCATAAACAAAACTCTCAAACAAAATAAATATTTCACCATTAATCCTTAACTCTCAACTCAATCTTTTCCAAAGAACACATTAGTTTTTAGGTTATGTAGTCATTAGCCACTGATTGCCTACATATAATATATTAAGCTCAGAGCCCAAAATTTTGAAAAAACTAAATAAGTAAATGTTTCAAAAATAATTATGATAAATATTTTTTAAAATATATATTTATCTAATTTTCATCATAAATCTAAACCTCAAATTTGAATCCAAGTAAATATGTCTCTATTATCTTATACATATTCTCTTTCAGCCTATATGATTAACCATATATCCTCAAGTCAATACATTGAAAATATATAGTCTAAACTATTAATTCCCTAATTCTTAACACTAAAATCCACCGTACAACATCATAGCCCAAAATATGCGAATATGCAATAATTAACATAATTGTTAGATTCAACTTAATAAATGTATGATTGTGGTGATTCCTAGGAACTAAAGTGGAATTAATATCCTTTCAAGTAATTAATAAAGCTTATTTTGTCAACCATACATTTACTTACAACTTAATAAACCTCAAACCAAAAAAGTCTTCCTTTGCATAAAGTCACCTTCAAAACAAATCAATAGCAATTAAGAAGGCGAGTTTATACCTTGACATCTAGCTACACAAACTTCTTCACTATCTCTATCTAAAAGTTTGTGGTTATGAACACTAACGTAGTTGATTAATTCCAATCCGTGTAATCCAATAAATTCAACGTAGTTGTAATCACACACTGAAATAAACTTTTGCATATTTTAAAATAAAATTCGTTACGGCATCACCTGTTACTTCAGGCACCTAAAACTATCATGTAAATTGATGCTATGCAAATGCCTTCATTATATAAATTTATACCATGATCGTTCACAACTAATACTATGCTGCTATAATCTCATCCCCACATTACCATTAGATCAACCCTTGGGATTTGATGACCACATGTTGAGGAGACTCAAAATATTTTATTTTAAAACATATCAAAAGTATCTTGTGTACATAACAAAAAATAAGATTTTATCACACAAAAATATTAGAATTCGGAATTAGAATAAATGAAATACAAACCGATAATTATAATCGGAGAATTAAAGAAAAAGTAAAAATATAAAGTAACATGTGTCACACTATGAAAAGATGATTGAAAAATTAGGAATATTACAAAAATAAAGATAATTGTTATTATAATAAATAAATAAATAATGCTAACCTAAAAATTGAAGTTTGGTGGGGTAACTTCCCCACGTTTAAAAATATTTTTTATATTAACCATTTTTTAATTATTAAATTTTTTAATTACCACTACACCCCTATCTAAAATTAAGGAGAGAGCAAGAAATTTAAAATGGAGAAAAGTATACAAAAGTGTACTATTTATTATTGGTGGATGTAGATATATAACTAGATTTTTGTAGTGGATGTCCTAGTTGCGTATTTATGGTTTATTATACATCAGTCAAGATAAATCTATATTATAGGTCGTATATGGTTCATATTTGATTTGTTTAGACAATTAATTAGGTACACACAGGGTATGAGAGAGTTTGATAGAGGTTTCTTATTCAAGTCTTTGTGAATTACAATTGATAAGGTTATCATTTTCATACTCTACTAAACATTGTCAAGAATTAATTAGCTCCGGACTTAAATCAACTGTAAATATTGATTATTGTGAAAATTCAAAAACGAGACATCGAGATCAAGAATTAGTTAATCTCATTGGTTAAATATTTTTTTAGAAAATTGATCTTATATCATTCCTTTACAAATATAATGTATTTTGATGTTTTTCTCACTTAATTCAACTCCTACTTTGCTTCTTACTTTCCTCTGCCATAATTTCCAAGTTTTATATACCTAGGCCAAAAATATCGACAGACTAATAGTAGTGACAGAATGCCAACAATATAGTGCCCATATGAATCCAAATGATAGCTAGCCTCCAAAGAGAGGCATGATGTATATTTGTCAAAAATGCCAAAACAAGTGCCAACAAAAATTAAAAGTAGCCAAAAAGGGAAGAGAGCAAGTGTACATGCAAGAAGCCGCATCCTTTTATCTATATTTCAATTCAAAACTGAAGACCACTTCAATATATTGCTCTCTCCAATACACAAAATCCAAACTCCCATTCCCATACACCACCACTAGGGGGAAAGCATAAATAAAATAAAATAAAACAAGAGCAAAAAATGAAAGAAGAAAAAAAAACAATATGTCTCACCTTATAAGTATTCTCCATAAGCCCTTTATAGAGAAGAAAAAACACCCACAATCACATATATGAGTCTAAAACATTTGGTGCACACATAACACAAATTCAAAATCCTAACTAGACTTAACTTATGTCAAACAGGATTCCTCTACCTCTTCCATACGACATATAGTAATTACTGATTACGACACGACACGTCGATATATTTATATATATATAGTGTATAGCCACCGATATAGTCACATCATAAAAGATGGTATAAAGTACTCCTTTATCATATGATCAATCGTCTCATCATACGATACCACACAATAATTCACCTCATATACCAATATGCAAAAAGATTGACCAATTTTCAGGCAACAATCCAATAGTAAACTTGATGCATGATGATCCGCCATTTATATATAGAAGCTTCCATTTAGCCTCATTAATTCATGCCACCATTCCACGAACTGAAATTATTACCACCACTGTAATTACCATAATAACCCCCACCCGAAGAGTAACCCTGATGATGAAGAGTACCATAACCACCGCCATTCGTCATCGGTATTAGTGATAAATGATATTCTGTTATTTGCATTAATTCTTTTATTATTTACCCACAACTTTCTGTTCCTAAGTTTGTGGGTAGTGCCTACGTGCACCTATTCTTTCTCTTCTAAATCTGTATATTAGTTCTCAGAATCCAGAATAATAAACAACTTGGATTTTCCTCAATCATTCAAAATCTCCAAACTCTCACATGGTATCAGAGCAAGTTACGTTCAACTTGTCGATCCAGTGCTAAAATCAGATTGGTTTACCTCTCTTACGCCGTCATGTTAGAGTATGATATAAGATCCAGCAAACCTTTCTCCCAACAACTCGAGTTATTGGGAGCAACTGGTTCATGACATGGTATCAGAGCCTCGAACCAAAAGGTCATGTGTTCGAATCTCCACGACCCCCAATATTAACCGTTGTCTTTCAAGCACATGGTATGGTGGGCCTGTGCAAACTTCAAGCCCATGGGTTGGCTTTCGTTTGAGGGGGCGTGTTAGAGTATGATATAAGATCCAGCAAACCTTTCTCCCAACAACTCGAGTTATTGGGAGCAACTGGTTCATGACAAACTTTGCCAAGTATCAAAAAGCGGTTGATTTCGGTCGCTAAGCTTTGCCAAACTAATCCTGTGTCTGTGGAATTTTTTTCCACCCATTTTCTTGTGAAGGATCTTCGCACGGGGGCGCCTCTGCTGAGGGGGGAAAACAACGGTGATGTCTATGAGCTACCTCGGGAGGTGGAGAACGTTCGTCTGGCCTTGGTCACCACTCGCACCTCTACCACTTCGTGGCATGCCCGTCTTGGCCATCCATCACATTCATCTCTCACCAGTCTCATTCGGTCAAATTCTCTTCCTGTTTCGACGTCTCTGGCTAGTTTCCCCTGTGATGCTTGTCTTTCCAATAAGAGTCATAAACTCCCATTTTCTGTTTCTTCTTTGACCAGCACTCGTCCATTTGATCTTTTGTACACGGATGTTTGGGGTCCTGCTCCAGTTTCTTCCATTGATGGATTTCTTTACTATTTGATTATTGTGGATCATTTCACTCGGTATACGTGGTATTATCCTCTGCGAAAGAAATCTGATGTTCTACAGGTTTTTCTCGATTTTCGTAAAATGGTTGAGAACTATTTTTCTACCACCATCCGTCGTCTTTATACCGATGGTGGTGGTGAATTCATCAAATTGCGCTCCGAGCTTGTTACTCATGGGATAACTCATCTCCTCACTCCTCCTCATACCCCCGAACATAATGGGCTTGCCGAGAGGAAACACCGTCATTTGGTTGAAACTGGTATCACTCTTCTTCACTATGCTAAACTTCCGACATCATTTTGGTCGTTTGCTTTCTCCACTGCCATTTATCTCATTAATCGTCTTCCTTCGTCCGCCCTCCGTGGTAACATTCCTTACACCCTTCTTTTTAATCTCCGTCCCAATTATCATAAGCTTCGCATTTTTGGTTGCTTGTGTTATCCTTGGCTTCGACCCTATTCCTCCCACAAGCTTGATCCTCGCTCTCGGCCATGTATTTTTCTTGGTTATTGTCCCCAACGAAGTGCCTATCGCTGCTTTGATCCTAACACACAACGTCTGTTTGTATCCCGTCATGTTGTCTTCGTTGAATCTCAATTTCCAGGTTATTCTACTGCTCCTGCTGAGGCCCATTCCTCTGACTCTTGGCTCATGGATCTTTGCCCCAATTTCATTACTGTTCCGGCCCAAGTGCCATTTGGCCCCTCCCCTGCCGAGGCCCACGAGCCCGTTCCGCCTCCCAGCTCCCCCCTGGCGGTCTCTCCCGCGCGAGCTCCTTCCGAGACTGGGCCCCCGCCTCCGCCAGCGCCCTCCGGGCCCGCTTCCCCTGCTGCGTCCACATCCTCCGGGCCCGAGCCCTCCGCGGCCCACCAGGATCCTGCCACGCCGTCTCCTTCTCACAGGCCCCCGCGCCCCTCAGGCCCACCTCCGCCTCCGGCCCGCTCGCACCAGATGGTCACTAGGGCTCAACATGGCATATTTAGGCCCAAGAAACGCCTTTTTCACACTCACTTGGCTGTTGGGCCCCCTCCCCTTGAGCCGTTGTCTGTCCGTGAGGCTATGCAATATCCAGAGTGGAATGATGCACTCTATTCTGAGCACTCTGCATTACTGGCGAATAATACATGGGACTTGGTCCCTCGCCTTCCTCATTACCATGTGCTTGGTAATCGCTGGGTTTATCGTGTCAAGCATCATCCGGATGGCTCCATTTCCCGGTTCAAGACCCGTCTAGTTGCCAAGGGATATCACCAACGTCCCGGTCTTGACTTCACCGACACTTTCAGTCCTGTTGTCAAACCTGTCACCGTCCGCACAGTGTTCACTCTGGCTCTTTCTCAGTCCTGGCCCATCGCTCAGTTCGATGTAAACAATGCTTTTCTTCAGGGACCCTTACAGGAAGAAGTGTACATGGTTCAGCCGCCGGGTTTTGTCGACCCCTCTCGCCCTGATCATGTGTGTCGCCTTCGTCGTGCTATTTATGGCCTTCGGCAGGCTCCCCGTGCCTGGTACACTGCATTGAGTACCTTCCTTGTTGATTTTGGTTTCACACGGACGCACTCCGATGCTTCTCTTTTTGTCTACTCCCGGGGGCAGGTTCTTCTCTATTTCTTGGTATATGTTGATGATTTATTGCTCACGGGCAACGACCCTACTACTCTTACTGCCTTCCAGCAGGCTCTCTCTGCCCGTTTTTCACTCAAAGCACTCGGAGATGTCAATTATTTTCTCGGCATCGAGGTCATTCCCACCGGCACCGGTTATATCCTCTCCCAGCACAAGTACATGGTTGATGTTCTTAATCGCTTCATGATGACCGATGCTACTCCCGTTTCCACACCACTTGCTGCTTCCACTGTTCTCTCTCTTCATGATGGTACTCCGCCTACTGATGCTACTCGGTTTCGGCAGATTATTGGCGCTCTCCAGTATCTGGTTTACACTCGTCCGGACATTGCCTACTCCGTCAACAAACTATCACAGTACATGCACTCTCCGACTGCTTCGCACTGGCAGAGTGTGAAGCGGCTTCTTCGTTATGTCTCTGGCACCCTCACTTTTGGTCTCTCCATTCGCCGTTCGCCTGGTCCTTTGTCTCTCACTGCCTTTGCTGATGCTGACTGGGCCGGTGATCGTGATGATCGGTCGTCTACCTCTGGGTATCTTATCTACCTTGGCTCCACTCTTGTTTCTTGGCGCTCCCAGAAGCAACGGACTGTTGCTCGCTCCAGTACCGAGGCTGAGTATCGTGCCATAGCTAATGCCACTGCTGAGCTTGAATGGGTCCGCAATCTTCTCTCCGAGCTGCGTCAACCTCTAGCTGCTGCCCCAACTGTCTACTCCGACAATCTTGGTGCCACCTACTTCAGCTCCAACCCCGTGTTTCACTCCCGTATGAAGCATCTTGCGCTTGACTATCACTTTGTTCGGCAGCTTGTTCAATCAGGTCGTCTTCATGTTTCCTACATTCCCACGACGAATCAGCTTGCCGATGCTCTCACGAAGCCTCTGCCGTCTCCTCGCTTTCTTCTCCTCAGAGCCAAGATCGGAGTCGTTGATACCTCCTCCGTCTTGCGGGGGCGTATTAGTGATAAATGATATTCTGTTATTTGCATTAATTCTTTTATTATTTACCCACAACTTTCTGTTCCTAAGTTTGTGGGTAGTGCCTACGTGCACCTATTCTTTCTCTTCTAAATCTGTATATTAGTTCTCAGAATCCAGAATAATAAACAACTTGGATTTTCCTCAATCATTCAAAATCTCCAAACTCTCACAATCGGATCATCACTACTACTACTAGTGTTGTTGTTGTTAGTGTAGGCGAAGCGGATGAGGTGGGCGTTGGTGGCGTCGAGCTCCTTCTGGAGGCGGATGACCTGGCGCTGGAGCACGGAGATGGCGCCCACGCAGCCGTAGACGGGATCCTTGAGCCGGGCCTCCGCCTCGTACGCCAGCGAGTTCACGGCGTCCTCCCGCTGGTGCGGGAGCACCTCGTTCAGGAGCTTGCTCACGTTGCTGGCCCCGAAGATCTTGTGCACGTTCGCGAACTTCTGCGGCTCTTCCGGCGGGAAGTAGGGCGCGAAGATGCAGTCCGGCAGGCACTTGCGGCGGAGGAACTTGCACGCCGCGCACGGGGAGTTTGAGTAGGCTGTCGATGAGGAGGAGGATCCCGCCGCCGCTGATGCCATTTATATATATATATGTGTAAGCAGCCTAAGAAACGACAAGGATTTGATTATTTGCAAAATGTATATGTGACATCTTCAAATTAAAAATTAGTATAGCTATGGAGAGAATTATTGGTCTTAAAACAATCAAATATATCGTTATAGATATACAACCAACCAACAAACAAACGAAACTCAGATTTCGTGATCAGCAGTTCGTTTAAGTTATTTGAATTGTTGGGCCTGGAGAGTGCTGTAGAAATAAATGTTATGCGACTGAGTTAATTATACGGATGGATGGAGTAACAATAAACGATGAAAAATCGTTCGGAACAAATTGTTGCTTGCTTTCTCTTCTTCTTGTTGAAAGATTGAACATCTACGAATTGTTATAATAATTTAATATTATTGGGATATCTATGCGAGGAATATTAGGAAGAGGTTAAGAGATCGAGCTATGTTGTTAATTATGTGATTAAATCTAAGAATGCGAGGCTAATGATCGAGTACTTCATTTAGCTATACCATCGTTGATTTTTGACCTGAACATTCCTAGATAAGTTAAGAGGATAACATCTTATCACCTATATGCTGCCGCAAGTTGTTTTTGTTCTAATGTGGAAGTTTTGTGAGGGTGGGAGAGAAATTGAAGCAGTCTTTGTTGAATTCTTGCCCCCTCCAACTCCAAGACTTTGCTGTTCTATGAGTATAGAGCTGAGCACATATGTGTTTCATCTAAGCTTTTGGCGAGTCAAGACAGACAAATTTGTACAAAGTCAGCGTCGAAGATACATATATCAGATCCTTAAAACTGTGATTTTATTGCTAGATTTCTGCAAGAAATCATTCAAACAGTTCAAAATTTTCTTATCAATACTGTCCTATATTTAATTCCCAACCCAACTAGCCAGCCACAGAGATGATACTGTAGAATGAAGTGATGTTTTTCTTCCTATATATGTTGGGGGCACATATAGTATCTTCTATTTTCACCATCTCCAATCAAGTGGGTAAAGTAGTAAAGAAAAATCTGCAGAACCCAGATAACAAGAATTACTGCAGAAAGGACATGCATATATGTATATATGTCAATGATCTGAAGCCACAATCTTTGACTGGCCACCCACCATATATATATGTATCAACTGATCAATAAGGAAACAGACCCCCAAAAGTTCACACACAGGCGCAGGTATGAAAAAGGGGTGTTGCTTGAGAACTTACCTTTGTCTGATTATGCAAAGCTACAAAGCTATAGGGCTATAAGCTGCAGTCACACTTGCTTGCTTGCTGCAAATAGAAGGGAGGGGGTGAATAATTGGTTTGCTGCTGGTATATGAAAAGGGTGTTTGACAAAGAAAGGAAGCAGAAACCCTAGCTATATATATACTGCTGCTAGCTAGCTACTATACAAGAGGAAGAAGATCAATCAAGAGAGAGTAGGAGGGGCTGCAAATTAGGCAGAAGATTGCCAAAAAGGCAAAGTTTTTTGTGGGGAAGAAGAGAAGGGACTGGGGAGGGAGAGGGGGAAAGGATAAAAGGGGATGATGGTGATGATGATGATGAATGATCAGTAGGAGTAGAGTAGAAAAGAAAAAGAGAGACAAAGAGCATTTTAGTGAAGAGGAGGGGGGGAAAAGGCATAAAGACAATTGCAATAAATGGAAGAGGAGGAGGCAAGGAGGGTACCAATACACACACCCCAACATCATTTTCACTCTAATTAAAAAAGCTAAGGGAAGCCATTTCCCTCATATCACCATCTCTCTCACTCTTCTACTCTCCTCTCCACAACCTTCTCCTGTTACTTGCTCTTACTTACTGTGTAGTGATGTACACTATATATCAATCTATATAATAATAACCTGAAAGATCTAATTGAGCCGTTCTAAACTGATAGAAAAGTTTTTAAGTTCGAATCTAATAGTCTTTTCATCGAGAATACACATACCATAACCATAACTCTCGTTGTAGTTGTTGATTGTTAATTAAATTGATTGGAACTGCAAACAGCAGCAGCAAAATTGTGGCACACATACTTTTGGCATCCCTGGTTGAGTGTGACACACAGTGATAATTCCATGCACTGAATAATGAGATGATAGCTTCACTTTGTCCACAAAATTTCAAAGAGAAAACAACAAAGAAATTTGCATTCAATGTCTTGCCCACAATAAACCAACAACACCTCTCTCTGTACTGCTACTGTTCACTTCACTGTTATCAATTAAATTGTGTATGTATATAGAGAGAGGCCCTTTGAAATTAAATAGGCCAATAAATTACAAGACTTCTCAATTACCCTGAATATAACCGGGTAGATGTGTTTGGAGACAAAAACATAAATTAAAAGACATAACTATTTATGAGTTTCAGAGACAATCTGGAGGGATGATGAAAACCAGAAGAATTCTGACAACTGTCATGAAGAGCTAGATTGTCACTGTTAGCTTAGCCCCCCCTTCCATTATTGATTTATGTTTGCCAGTTCTGGTGTCTGCCAATAGTACAAACTAAAGTGCATAATCAAGTAGAATTAACAAAACAAATAATTAGGCAGACTTCTTGATCCCATTCTTTTTCCTAATTGATTTGAGGTGTAAGTAATTTGTATATGTTTGATCAGGTGGTTGGGGTGGGTCGCCCATCTCCTTCATTTCACTTTGTCTAATCAATATTATGTGATTCTCTTCATCAGCTTAATTGCCTGCCTTTTCCAGTACTATTGTCTGCCGTCAAAATAGTGGAGAAAGACAGAAAGTCAGGATTTATAATAAGCTAACTGAGGGTAGAAATAAAAAAAATAACAATTACATTTGTTCACAATTTATGATCTCAAATAAAAAAATAGAGATGGAGCTACAGCCCACCCCGAATTAAACGTACGTTTGTCACTCATCAAGAACAATAAAATGAGAGTGGGAGTGTGAAGATATACCCATATGTAGAGAAACATGATCTTCTCATTTGGGTAGATTCTATTTTGGTTTCCTAATCGATGATCTTCTCATTTGTGGATGGAACCAAATTCATGGATAAAAAGTGTCATTACACTTCAAATTCTCAAGTTAGCATCATGCATACAAATAGTTTGGATAGGATTTAGAGAGATTTAACAAAGTGCGTTATGTGTGTGGTCTAAAGGAATTATGATGCTTAAAGGATTAGGAAATCCTTACATAGCTTCGACTTGGGTCTACAAATCTTGCTCCCTGTAGATGAAAGTAAGTCTACTTGAGTAGATCCTTGTTTCTACTAAATTTTTGAATGAATTACATGACTTAGCAGATAAATTGGACATAACTTTGAACAGACACTGATAATAGGATAAGGATCATCTTTGTATCTCTCAAAACGTTGCACTATTTTTTATCAGAAAACTCAAATCCCATCATCACATTCAGAAATGTAACTATGAGATCATGTATCCACCACACCGGCCAACAGAATTTCTTTACTCTTCATCATCATAATTGATTAATGTGGTCTTGAACCATATAAATCGAATGTACTCTCATTTCCAAAAGAAGTAAAAGAAAGTAAAAAAAAAAATACTGCTTGACAACATTTGACTTATCAAGGTATTCAGATAGACGATATGTGCTCGATATGATTACTTCTTTAGTTGATCTTCATATTTTAGAATTTATCGTATTTAATTCGATCGTCTTCAGAGGTTATCGCATGACACTAATGTGTGAACTGGATGCTCTTCATTGATCACTTTTGTTTATCTCTTTTCCATAACTAAATGGTTAATCTATAGTCTAAGCTCTCATAAATCTTAGTTGTTAATCCTACCTATCGGACTCTGAATTCCACTGAGAACTAACCGAAACAAATACATACTTTGAAAAAATATTAAAAAAAAATGGTCGAATTCTCAACTCTGTGTACTTATTACTCATTTATAACTAGTTATAGATATATAGCAACAAGTGATTATTGAACTCGGATTTTTTTTTTTGTGAAAATTTTTCGCGTCGATACATATCACCTTCAATCACATCACATGAGAGCTAAGCCAAACCTTTGAGATGTTAAATGTATCACTCAAATACTACTACTAACGCTTCTGGTGTGCGAGGTGCGAAATGATGAACAAAGAGTCATAGGGCCTCGAATGTAACCTTTTAAATTATGATACTTGATTTACCATCATGACATATACAAAAATTTTAGTAACACTTCCATCAATTGATTCATTCATTATTCAAGATGATTGAAGTACAAATTATATTAACAAGTACCATAGTGTATATATAATGTTGCATTGATTACATTAACCAAACAGAAGGTTTTATATGTTGCATTGCTGGTGGCATCCCTAACTAGAGCGAAGGGTGTCGGCTGCCTAACAACACATTGTAATAATAGAGAGATTGGAATCGAGATAATTGATTATGATTGTTATGATCATAAATCAATAATTAGCACAAATCAATTAAGAAGTATCTTTTGATTTATTAGGGGGTTTCTATTCTAGTACATACATGAATCTCTACCTTTTCTTTATTGGTGATATGATATATGCATTATCATATTATTATGTACAAACGCGTGCGTGCAAACAAATGTTTCAATCCCAATGGGCAAATAGATACACAAACTTTCTTCTCAATCTCTTTTAGGCCAAGGAGGTTAGATCAATCAATAATGTAATTTTCATATCGAACAAACACACGTACATATAACTAATAAGTAAAAAATCAATAATTTTATACAAGTAATGCTATCTAATAGCGACAGTCTCACATATCACATCTCGATTCTTTCTTTAATTGCACTGCACATATTACAGCTTGTATCACATCACACTCATATGATAATAGAACAAAAAATCCTATTGAGAGACGGACAAACGTTTCTTTACCCTATTATAACATACAAAATTTCTCACAGTTATAGAAATTCCCGAAACCCCATTTTATAGCCATGCACTACAAAAATGCTCGAGCACGGGATGTCAATGTTAGTAGGGTTCTTTGTAAACATCGAGTGTAAAATTTTAGCTAAGCATACTTAATGTTATTGTTGGCATCAACTTCATACAATTGTTGACATGAGGGAGAGATAGAGATATAAATCAATAATAGAAAAATACCATATATACATATCTCAAAAAGCATGCATAAAAATGGACCATAAAGAATACATCATTTTTTTTTTTGCATTCCAAGGAGGCCGGAGCCAAGAAAAAGAGCGAGGTACAGGGAAAGATTAAGGGGGGAGGGGGGTAGAGGGAATTACAATGCGACGCTGGGAAGTAACTCCTAGCATATCATCCCTTAACACTTGTCTAAGTCCGTCTGGCGGTTCAGTAAGTTCATACACACCGTTGGGATAGACGAGACTGTGCTTCGAGAGCCAGTCCGCGGCTCTATTCCCTTCCCTGTATGTATGAACAATACGAACCAACCAGTCCCGACTGATCATCCTGCGAATACCTGCTAAGAGAGTGGCATACGGGTGGATCGGGTCATGTCTGTTCTCAATGAGATGAATAGCAAGCTGAGAGTCTGACTCAATTTTAATCGCCCTGTGGCCTTCCTTCCAAGCTAGCTCCATTCCGTGGTTGAACGCCCAGAGCTCTGCCAAAGCAGCAGTGGCGATGCCCAAGTTCGCCACAAAGCCCTTCAACCATTTCCCTGTACCATCACGCAACAGACCCCCGGCCCCTGCCGGTCCTGGGTTGCCATTGGAGGCGCCGTCGATATTAAGAGTAACCCAACCACTCTCTGGTCCGCCCCACCCAATGTCCGCCATCACTCGCGTCGCCGGCCGGTTCCTGTTATCTTGAAGGGGGGAGGGTGACCTCCAAGAATCGCTCCACAGCTTCGTCTTGGTGAGAATGGAAAACTCCAAAGTAGGCGGTGACATAGCCGCCCCAGCTCCTTTGAAACAGAAAACCGAGCGGTTCTTCCAGATGAGCCAAGTTGCAGTGCTAAAAAAAGCTGGCCATTCGACACCATTTCCCGCAGTAGCGCTGCTGGTGAGATTCATGCGCAGCCATTCCCGCAAATTGCAAGTGAAGAAGTAGGTATGATGCTGCTGGGGGACATGCCGAGCCCAGAAGAAGACGGCCGGGGGGCAGTCCCGGAGAAGATGAAGAGTGGTTTCCGGTTGGCCAGAACACCTCGCACAATCCGGGCTGTCCGCCACCCTCCTGCTGTAGCGCAAGGCGTTAGTTGCAAGTTTGTCCAGGAAGGCTTGCCACATGAAGCAGCGAACCCGCTCCGGGGTGGGCAGCTTCCAAATGATCTTCCAAGTAGTCTCATCTGGGTCTGGTTGTTGTCGAGATAAGAGGTGGAAGGCTGATTTGGTGGTGAAATTTCCATTTGCCGAGGCCGACCACAAAAGCCGGTCCTCCTCCTCAGAATCATTATCCACAGCCACGCTCAGGATCTTTTGGACCACGTCTTCGGGAAGATAATTCTCAAAGAGTTCCCTCCTCCAGCCGCCATCCTCCCCCACCATGTCCGCCACTTTAGCTCCTTCAAGGTCCAGCGGAATCTGCTCAGTCACCAGCTCCCGGAGGGGTACCTGCGAGACCCAACAATCAAGCCAAAAGTGAGTCTTTTTACCATCCTTAATATTCCACGCACACCCTTTCTTAAGAAGGCTAGCCACTTTGGCAATGCTAGCCCAGGAGAAAGAACTTCCCTTTATCGGCCGAATCATGTCCAAATCTTGACGATGGCGCGCATATTTGGCTTTCATCACTTGCGTCCAAATGCTCTCTTTATCATGGAGGAGTCTCCAGCCACTCTTCGCCAGCATAGCCAGGTTAGCCTGTCTCGTGGGCCGGATGCCCACCCCACCTTGTTTCTTCGATTTGGTCATCTTCTCCCACGCCACCAGATGCATCTTCGTCTTCTCCTCTTCGTCTCCCCAAATAAAGTCCCTGTTGAGCTTGTCGATTGACCTACAAACTCCCATGGGAATGAGTTCCGTCTGCATATTATAGACAGGCAAGGAAACAGATACAGACTGGGTGAGAGTAAGCCGGGCAGCAAAGGACAGCCGCCTAGCTTTCCAAGGGGCCATTCTCTTCTGAATTCGAAGGATCAGGGACTGGTATCGCCCTTTGGTCACTCTCTCCTGGATCGCCTGAATCCCGAGATACTTCCCTAAGGCAGCTTTAAGGGGGATGCCTGCGCGCTGACTCATCTGAGTTGCTTTCCGGCGACCAATGTTGGGAGAAACGTAAATGATGGACTTGCTGTAGTTGACTCGTTGACCCGAGCTGAAGCAGAAATCCTCAAGGCATTGCCTGATTATAGTTATCTGACGGTTTTCTGCTTCTGCGAACAGGAGGAGATCATCTGCAAAGAAAAGATGAGTCAGAGGCGGACCATTAACTGAAAGTTTCACCGGTTTCCAAAGGCCCTCTCTAACTGCATGGTCAATTCTATGGGATAAGCGCTCCATACACAAAACAAACAGATAAGGGGAAAGAGGATCTCCCTGACGAACACCGCGCGATGGGCTAAAAGGTTCTGAAAGCTCCCCATTCCAAAGAATACGCATCCTGTTTTGCTCCACGCAGTACATAATGCAATTAATCCATGAGCTGGGGAGGCCGACTTCCTTCAGGGTATCTCTTAGGAAGTCCCATCTCAATCTGTCATACGCCTTCTCTAAATCGATCTTGAAGACCAAACCTCCCTTCTTGCCTCTTTTCTTTCTGAACGAATGGAGGACCTCCTGTACCACCAAAATGTTGTCCGCCGTTTGTCTTCCCGGAATGAAGCTACTCTGTCGCGGGGACACAAGCTTCCTCATAACCGGCTTCAGCCTGCTGGTCATGGCCTTCGTAATGGCTTTGAGGGACACATTGTTGAGGGAGATGGGCCTGAGATGAGTTACTTTCTCCGGAACCTCCACCTTAGGAATGAGGACCAAGGTGGAGTCGGTAGTTGAGGGTGGCAGCTCCCCGGTTTCGAAAAAAGCAAGCGCCATGTCAGTCAGAGACCTCCCGACCACTCTCCACATATGTTGATAAAAAGCCGCGTGGAAGCCGTCTGGCCCGGGCGCCTGGAAGGGCTTCATGTCAAAAATGGCTTTATGGATATCCACTGTCGTGAAAGGGCGAAGCAGAGTCAGCCGCTCCTCCTGGCTCAGACGCGGAAATTGACCTGTTGGCAACTTGTCCTCATAGGTAGACCCATCCTGCAGATAAAGGTTAGAAATAGAATCAAAAACAAGTGAGGCGAGGGAAAGGGGATCGTTCACCCAGTTATCCGCCTCATCCTGCAGCGCTTTGATTTTCTTCTTTCTTCTTCTGAGATTGGTTTGCTGGTGGAAATAAGCTGTATTCCGCTCTCCGAACTTGACCCACTTGTCTCTGGCCCGTTGAAACCATAACATTTCTTCCTGTTCCAGCACCTGGTCCAGCTCTGCTTCGAGCTTGGCATGGAGCTTGGCTAGCCCCGGTGAGAACTGGATGGCGAGGCGGTCCTCTACTCCTTTAATACGCGCCAGGAATCTCCTCTTCCTTTGCTGGATGCTGCCAAGGACATTAACGTTCCAATCCTGTAGGGTACCTGCAAGATTAACCAAAGCAGAAGGAAGAGGAACTAGGCTGTCCCAGGCATTTGATACCAGATCCTGGAGCCTGCTGTCACTAAGCCATGCCGCTTCGAACCGGAATGGGCGGCTTCCAGGCCCTGAATTTTCTTGCATTTGGATCATGGTCAAGATGGGATTGTGGTCCGACTGAGTACGAGGGAGATGAAGAACCGAAGTATTCGGAAAGGCTAAATTCCACCGGGGGTTACACAAACTCCTGTCTATCCGGCTGGCTTTCACTGTAGTACTCTCGTTTCCCCTGGTCCAAGTGAACTTGGGTCCCGAAAATCCCAGGTCAAGCAGCTCAGCCGAATTGATACGGTCATTGAAAAGTTTACACCGTCTCACAGTGTTGTTAGCAGGCGGGCCTGCCTTTTCCCCCAAATCCCGAATGGCGTTAAAATCACCTGTCAACAACCAGGCAATGTCGATTTGCTTGCTCTGGTTTAACAGATTTTTCCAAAGAATACTTTGCTCACTTTGTCTGGGTGAAGCATAAATAGCAGTAAGCACCCAAGAAGGATTGCCAGGGGAGTCGATTCTGAGAGAGATATGCTGGCTGCACGCCGAGATCAAATGGGGGGTGAAATCGTTGTCGCGCCAGAGAACCCAGATGCCCCCTTTACGGCCGGAGGCCTCAACTCGAATGGACCTGGGAAATCCTAAGCTGTCGCAAACCGCATTCGCAGCTCCACCGCTTATCTGAGGTTCAAGGAGAATCACAAATTCTGGCCGGTGAGTTTGAAGAACAAGCTTAAGGGCACGGGCGAAAGCTCTCCCACCTGCACCACCAACATTCCACGCCAAAACTTTAAAATTTGATAGAGAAGACATCGACATAGGTAGATAACGGGAAAACAGAAGGGGAAAAGAATCGAGAAATAGAGGGAGGCGGTCAATCGGTCTGTGAGGCGGTCACTGCTTCCGACGCAGCACCCAGCTCGGCTTCCTCTTGGCAGTTTACTGCAGTTGCTTCTCCCACTTTTCTGGTCGATAATTGAGCAGCTTTTGTCCAGGCATCTATCTCCTGGAGGGTAAGAGATGCCATTCTGGCTTTCGATTTCAGTTTCCGGTCTTTCTTGGGCGTCCACACTTGAAGTGCCTTTGTCGGAAAAAGTTTGCTTGGTGATCTGATGGGAGTCGACTTTTTGCTTTTGCCTTTCTTGGTGCGAGTTCTTGCCGATGGTGAAGCCTGGGGCGGGCCGTCAGATGAAGGGAAAGAGACGATCTGCATTTCAGTCCCATTTGGCCCGATGATGGTTTGGGTCGGGGGGGGAGGGGGAAGCTTGATGGCCTGGGCTTGTGGCCCATCTTGTTTGGCGATTTTCATGGGCCCGGGAGGGGTACTCCTAGTCATATCCTCATCTGCCGGGTGTGAGCTTGTGGAGGCCTGGTCACTGGAGGTTCTAGGAGCCTTGGGCCCAATAGTCTGAAAAGAAGAGCGGGTCGGGCCCGAGCCCAGCAGACCTTTCCCCCCTGTGGTACCCTCAGCCTGGGCTTTAGCCTTCCCCTTTTTCCCTTCGTCGCCCTTCTTGTTACCGTTGTTGTCTTTCCTTTCCTGGCCCACGATTCTCGGCGTCTGAGAAGAAGGAGAAGAAATTCCCTTGTCCCCAATTGGGGAAACTCCCCTGCCCTTACTCAAGGACTTCCCAGAACCACTCTGTCCACCCGAGGAAGTCGGGACAACGTCTCTTTCCGCCCTACCTTTTCTGTCGCCATCCCTTTGATTCCGCCCGCCCTTACGTGTGACCAGGAGCCATGGTCCAAATCCCGGGTTTGGCTCCTCGGAAATTTCCTCCGCCCCTGTGGCCGGAGTTACAACACCCTGTTTGGTGGACGCCGGCGGCGGCAGGGCCAGCCGTTTTTCTGGGCATTCCTCTTCGGTATGTCCAATTCTGCCACAGTGAAAACAGACTGTGGGCAGATTCTCGTACTCAACTTTCTGCCACGCATCGTCTAACCATATCCGGGGAACAAGGTGTTTGGACAAATCAACTTCTACCGCCAGTCTAGCGAATTTCGCCCGTTGTTGATTCAGCGTGTGATAATCCAGCTTGATGGTTCGTCCTATCAGATTACCGAGAGTCGTGAGCACTTCCTTGTGATAAAAATGAATCTTCAATGCTGGGAACTGGACCCAAACGATCATAGTTTTCGGAAGCGGATCGGAGACCTTGAACTTGGGCGACCATTGTTGGACCACTAGGTAGTGATCAAAGATCATCCAGGGTCCATCGGTAAGGGCTCGAAAATAATCTTGCTCGTTGCTGAATTGGATTAGGAAACAGTCATGATCGAGATCCCTCACTTCCATTGAGCCGACCGGCCTCCAGAGTCCACGTAACCGAGTGCATAGAGTCGAGAAGCCAAGCTTGAGGCCGAGCAATCTGACCACAAGGGCTCGTTGCCACGGAGCACAAATCTTATTCTTGAAATCCGCCGATACCATCAGCGCTGGTTCACCATTAATATTAGAAGGAGGGCCAGTACTTAGATAATTATTATCACCATTAATATTATATATATGATGGGTCATGTTAGCTTTGAGTCTATAGTGAATTTCCACTTGAATATTTGAGAGGGCAATATATGGACTTAAACAAAGAAAACCTAAGTTCTCTTTGACATTGTTTGATGTATTTGAAATTCACACATAATTTTCAATAAATGTGGTGTGCATGAGAGATGGATCCTCTCTACCTACTGTATCTTACATTTCCCATATGGAAAATCTAAAGAAAGAAAGAAAGTGATTATATCTATCACTAATAGACAATTCCTTAGATTATGTAGTGATTATCAATATATGGATCCCCTCTAGCCACATAATTTATCATGGGTTTACTAAACATGTTGACTAGTAGATAGTAACAATGTATGGATCATCTCTACCTACTGTATGTCATAATCGCAAATCAAATATTTAGGGAAGCTATAGCCCCTTCTTGGATTAGACGTAGTTCCATCATTATTAGTAGGCATCGGTATAAATTGATGCAGTTGAATCTTTTCACAAACTGAACATTATTTTATTTCCCCCCCATTTTTTTAAAATATGGAAGGTATCCATTGAGCGACTTGTGATTGGGATTGGTGAGAAAGTGTGGGGGAGTAGAGAGAGGGGATTGATAGTAGATGAATAATATTCTAGGGTTGGAATAAATTAAAGCATGGCCCTAATGATTAGAAAGTCAATTATTGGTTGATGAGGTTTTAAAAACTAATAATTATTGTTTAAAAAACTAATAATTCTTCCTCCAATTCCCCCCCTCCATGATCACATTTCAATCCCAATAATATTTGCATTGAGATATAAAAATTATTATGAATCTTGCTAATGATGCCCAATTCCTTGTGCAATATTCCCAAATTAAATTAGAGAATGTTGGAAATGATTTCCACATATATATATGACTTTACAACAGCCCTCCCCTTTTCATGGCATGCCAATGGCCATTATTGACTTGATCTCCTTCATGCAGTCAAATTTAACCTAGTTTGGTCACTGACTTGTGATCATAAGTGTTCTAATTAAAAGGGTTTTTAATGGATGTGATAATTCATTCTTTTTCCCTTTGATAAGGTAAATGCAATAAGTGGTAAGAAGTCTTATGAGGAATGGGGATGGAATTCATATTCTGTTAGGGCAAAAGTTTTAAAATTCAAAATCTCCTACTTCATCATCAAATTCAATGAAAAGGAACTAATTCATGATCATCATCAGATAGCAATCTTAGTTCTATAGTGATGGGTGTGAGATAATGCATGTTAAAGACATAAGTTTATACTGTGAGATGGTTATATCCGTTGCTTAAATCTCAATGTTGTTATTGTAGAGAGTATTATCTATGAACGATATATCACAGGCTCTGTAATTTTGAATCACTTTAACTAGGATTGAATCGATAATCATAATGATCAAAGTTTACTTTATCTTTACATAACAAATTATCATCATAGTATTTCTCATTCAGTTCAAGGCAAAAAAATGTCCATGATTATGACGACATTAAGTCCTTGAAAAGGAGGTTTGATGGAAGGAAAGGAGTTACTTAATCAAGGCATGAAGTCTCACTAATTAAACATAATAATTATAATAATTCAAAGCCAAAAGCCAAAGCAATTGAACATGGTTTTAATACTTGTTTTCTCCACATTCAAGTCAAAAAAGTATTGACATTGTCAATATTCAAACAAACGGCCCAAAAATTTGCAAGAGAATGGTGGTCAAGGTGTGGTCAAAGTCAAGAGTCAAGACCCAATCATCTAGGAATTCTCATCATGAAGTTGTGGACTTCTGTGAAATTTGTCTCCTGTGGGCTGTGGCGGCCTGTTTCGTTCAAACCGGTAGTCTTGTAGTTTGGGCCAAAAGCTGGGTAGGCCCATCAGGAAGGAAGTATGCTAAGACTTGTTGACCGATGACCATGGGTGGCTATTGGTTTGGGTTGGGAGAAAGATGGCATGGCCCATATCTATGATTGCCCATTTTGAACCTCACATCCAAGTTCCAACAATCTTCATTCTTCCTCAACTTCTATGCGTCGAAAGCCATAATAATAAGCAAACTTAAAATGGCCATTTGGAGTTATTTACTATGGGCCATTGGAAACATGAGAGAGTATAATTGGGTTAATTTTTGGGTTAATGTAGATTATTATGATAAAAATATCCGTAACCTTGGATCTGTCCGAATCCGACCTTGTTGGATAGGGTAAAACTCGAACCTGAAGGACTTTTAGAGGGTATGGGTAAAACCCGAACCCGAATATTGCGGGTAATGGGTGGACATGGTTTTCTCACTATCCAACCCGAACCTGCCCGATATACACATGCATATGTATTTTGTCTAGAAATAATCACTATTTTTCTCTAATATATTTTATATTTACCCTATAAATATATCTTTTTCATGAAATTGTGTTGTTTTAATGAATTTTCTTCATTCTAGTGAATTATTGTCATACCTTTTGTCTTACGTAATGTGAGAATACATGTGAATATTAGCGTATTGGTTGAAGTTATAAAGAGAAACTATTACCCATGGATAACCGTGGATACCCGAAACCCGAACGGGTATGGGCATGGTTTTGATTTTTTACCCGTTTCTTATGTGGGTATGAGTATGAGTAAAACCCGAACTGCTTTGGGTAGGGTAACGAATATGCACTATCCGTCCCCGACCCGACCCATTGCCACCCCTAATTATTATTGGACTTAAAAGTTTGGGAACATAATTTTGTTTATTTTTTGGCATTGATAGATAGGAGTTAAAAATTTGAACTGGACTAAAACAAGTTGAAGAGATATGAAATATAGTAAGTGGGAGGATTAAGGAGGGCTAAGACATTACTAATTGTTCTAACATTTAAATTTGTTACAAAATTTTATCTTCTACTTGCATTCAAAAGTTGAGTTGGGTAGGGGATTCCACGTAGCTTCATCGATATTTTTGCGCGAGAGCTAATCAACTGATCAAGGCGTAAGAAATTTTAGTCAGCCAGAGGTGCTTGTTGGCTGCAACCCTCCACGATTCAATCCGCATCACCTTCGTGGGTGAAAATCTACCATCATCATCTGATCTCCTAGGCAGCAACAACCATATTTCAAAATGATGAACATGGTTAGTTTGGACGGTCCATGGGTCTCTCATCCAGTTCATAGCTGAAGATTTCGTCTGCCTAGATGATCCATACATCAACAGGGCGTTGTCGATGTATCGGGGGCCAAATCCGAAAATCACTCCTTTCTGCAACATGATTCGGGGGCATTCTCCCATAAATGTCTTTTCTGATTATGAACCCACGTGATTCCAACCAGGTCTATCTTGCTTACCACTCCCGTTCCTCGTCCTTTTTCACATAACTCAACAAATCCTCCACTTCTTGGAGGCCATGGGAGCTTAGGCATTGGATCCCGCCTCTTCATATGTGACGACTCGTCCACGTCCAGGCTAACTCTACTCCACTCCCCACCCTTCAGTTTTCCTCCTCCTGCTGCTTCATCTAGCTAGTAACTAGATAGGGCATCAATCCTGCCACACGTAAGTATTTCCGTCACTAAACCCACCGAGTATGGAAGAAGCATCGATCAGGACTAATCACTGACTGCAAGGGTATTGCAACGTAACATTAAGAATTGCAGAGTACTTCATGATAAAGCTGATAAGAGATGAAGTGATGCTCCTGGAAAGCCACCTGCTCACAGAAAAGAAAAGAACAGTGTTAGCAGTCAGCTACAACTACAGCTAAGTAAGAACTTGAGACTTTTTCCTCATTCATAAGTGGTTCAAACTAGCTACAAAACAAGACTACTTGTTTGATCCATTGAACATCCCCTTCCATACACCAAAACAGAACAGGGGTAATCAAGTGCTTTATTACTGCTAAGATCATCAATTTACTAACTACAGTTACAACCTAAGAAAAGACCAATAGCACATTACTTCTAACATATGATAAAGTGCTTAAATTACTACCGAGTACTTAAAATTTTACAAACTACAGTTACAACAAAAGAAGAAAAGGCCATGCAATGTTCCACGGTGGTGGCTGGCAGAGAAGGTCAGTAAACAATTAATTTCCCGGTGGTGGCTGGCAACTGGCAAATAACAACTCTGCCTAAGTGCAGACTGCAAAGCATAGCCATAGCCAAGCCAACCTTTCCTATTTCCCTTTCTCTTCTCCTCCTGTTTGATCAAAATCTCTTTTTTCCTTTCTTTGTTTTCCCTCTCTTATGAAACTTGTTTGTCATGCAAGGCCCTTACCAGCCATATCACCTCGCTGTCGTGGGTTATTTGCATGTAGTGGATTCAGTTCCAAAGTTGTTTTCTTTTCCGGTTTTCTCAATGTAAGAGGGAGAATCTGATGTTCTAGTTTGCTTTTTTGGGTGTTCTCGAGTTGAATTGTTGTAACTTCTTTACTGTTGTTAAATTACTACTTACTAACTTCTCTGTTTTCCCTGGTTTCCTCTGTTCCAATAAGGCCCTTTTTTTTAATCACTGGTGTAGACTTAGCACAATGATTTGGCTCTGTGGGGATTTTCCTGAAATTCATAACTATACCATGTTGATTAATTACAAGAGAATCAATTGATTTTTTATAAGGCCGGTTTAACATCAAATATTAAATGAGCTAATTGGACCTTATTGAGTTAAGCTTTTAGACCTAAGTGACTAAGCTCCTTAAATCTAAGTGGCTAAGCTCTTTATTAGGGATGGCAATGGGTCGGGTTGGGTCGGGTTTTGCCAAACCCAAACTCATAGGTTTATTCGTGAAAAAAATTCGGGGTAAAACTCACTGAACCCAACCCAACCCGCTGGGTATCCGCGGGTTCATGGGTACCCACGGGTTTTTGTCGCAAAAAATTCACAATAACAAGTTTCTATCAAAATTAACGTCAAATATCAATCTCTCAATACAAATTATATATATAAACACCATTCTATAAAATTCAAGCAAATCACAAACTAACTATACAAATTGTTCAACACTAATCTAGAAAACTCAAGAAAATTGAAGCAAATCACAAATTATCCATAAATAACATGATTAATTGAAAGCTTCTTCATTACAATAAGTTTTTCAATCTCCACTCGATAACATCAAATTCATTAACATAACTAGAAAGAAAAAATTAGACATGTATCCACAAACATATATAAGATTAGTTGTTTAGAATATTAAATATGTCGAGAAAATTAATTATATGGGTGTGGGCGGGTACCCATGGGCCGGGTTTACCTAAACCCAAACCCAACCCAACCCAGTGAATAGTGAACGGGTTTAAACCCAAACCTGGCCTAAAACCCGTCAACACGGATTTTACCCGTGTTGATCGGGTTGGGTCGGGTGGGTACCCGTGGGTTCGGGTTTTATTGTCATCCCTACTCTTTATCCCTCGTCTAGCCCCCATAAGTGTCGACCAACGGGATGACCCCGGGTAAGGGTATCAAGACTGAGGACACCAAGTCGACCAGCGTTGTGGCCCCATGCAGGGTAGGGTAAGCCGATCCTGGACTAAGGACACCAAGTCGACCAGCGGGATGGTCCCGGGTAAGGGTACCAAGCCGAAGGCTGAGGACACCAAGCCGATAGGCGGGATGGCCCCGGATAAGGGAAGCTGATGAGCGGGATGGCCCCCGGAAAGCCGATAAGCGGGATGGCCCCGGATAAGGGTACCAAGAAGCCGATGAGCGGGATGGCACCGGGTAAGGGTACCAAGACTGAGGACAGGCTTAGGGTACCAAGCCGATAAGCGGAATGGCCCCGGATAAGGGTACCAAGGCTGAGGACACCAAGTCGACCAGCGGGATGGCCTCGGGTATGGGGACCAAGTCGGCAAGGCAGAGCTGGCCTCGGGTAAGGGTACCATCCCCGGGTAAGGGTTTCAAGGCTGAGGGTACCAAGTCGGCAAGGCTGTGGCCCCAGGTAACCGATAAGCGGGCTGAGGGTATCAAGTCGGCAAAGCAGAGTTGTGGCCCCAGGTAGTCGATAAGTGGAGTCAGCTTGCTGGCATTGATAAGATTTTAAATATATTATAATACCAAACATATCCATGAATCGCAAGTCGCCCAACTGGTTGGGATGTTGGTTTTTGGTACCTTTATTGTTCGCCATAGTTCGAGCCAGGTAGGTTGCAAGTTTTTACTCCTTTTCTGGTATCATTCACTTCCTCCTTACACCTTCTCATCCTTATTCATACTTTAATGTTTTAACTAGTTTTTGACCCGGCCAGTTGGCCGGAGAAGTTCATTTTATTATTTATATTAGTTAACTTATCAACATGTTTGAATTTTTTGGATCTTGTATACATTTTCTGCTCTCGCTTCATAAGTGAATATGTGGTATGCCTATATCGAAAATTCTTAATATTTAATAGTTAGCAGACTCGCTTGTGATGTTTTTATTCTATGATCATAAATCATGTCGTAAAGATTTATCACGTCCCATTTAGGATCGTATATAAAAAACTTTCCACCAAGACGCTCAAATTTATTATCTTATACAACAAATATCAATTCATGATTCTCGTTTGTACGAACTCTCAGCCAATTAATCAGAGTTCAAAATATTGAAAAAAGATACTTGATTACTGGATAAATTATGTTTATCCCAATTGAAATTTGACACACATCGTATCCCTTATAATGATTCAATTCTCTAAACCTTACTCATTTTTATTGTTGATGTTCATGAAGTTTTTGTATAATAACTTATGACAATTTTCTATCAAGATACAAATTATTATTATCTTACAATATATATCAATTGCTAATATTTTAAGTTTGGACTAACCCTCAACACATGTCTTTTGTCTAGATGTTCGTTTAGAATCTGAATCCAAGGCATTCATATACACTATCGAAGGTTCTCATCTTAACATGTTCCTTCAATGTATAATTTTTCAACTATTTGAATGTCCATTCGCTAAATTTCTTTATATTTGATGTTTGTTCTAGAAGAAAAAATTCGTTACTTATATTAATAATTGGTAAAGTGTGTATACGACAGACAAATATTTCAGGTGCATGCAAAATTATGTATTCCTTGAATAATTATCTTATAATTTTTTTAAAAAATATTTTATAGCAAATTTTAAAAGTTCATACAAACATTGTGGCTTTTCACATGTATTTAAATTATTGGATGTATTATAGACACATCTATTCTTAATATCTAAACATATATATATAGAGAGAGTTTATTTTACTTTCAACACTAATTAATACCTTTGAACTCAACTCCTTGGGTGGAATATCATATCAAATTTTTTTTGTTATTGCCAAATTTTGGTACGAAATCCCAGGCTCATAACTATATAGGCTTGTTACAATTTTCTTACTAAACTCATATTTATTAAATATTCTTCTTTTGACCCAATAGCTCGGTTTACACTATTGTAACTATAATTTTTTTTGTTATATACGTGAAGTAAAATATTAATGTTTATTTATTACCTCAATCGTCTAATTTATATTTTTCTTAACATGAAATGTGATGTTTAACGTATATCCTTAAGAAAGATTTCTCTAAATTTCACACATTTCATTTTTCAAGGGATCTCGTGTCTCATCATAGAGTATGACATCAAAGTTCATCAACTATTATACTCAAGTCATTTTGGAAACTTCAATTTATAATCTTTAACAATAAATAAGTTCAATAGAGTTTGCTCAATCAACATGACCTAGAGAAAATATTAGGAATGTGAACTTAGGATACATTATAAATACTGCACATGTGATTCATATGTTTTCACTTGATCAGAATGAATAAGAAGCTTTTTTAATAAATAACTATTATTTCTTGGTCAAGTTTCTTTCAGACCTTATCGACATAATATTATTATTTTTGTGTGTTTGTTTACATTATTAATTAAAATGTAAATTATTATGAAGTTTTAGTAAAAATGAGCAAAAATTTACATAGTAATCTTTAATCATATATTTTTTTTGTTTAAAAAGTGTGATATATATGTCACTCTACATACATTAGTATACTGTTGCGTACATCGATATAAAACAAAAACAAAATGTGATATATGTCACTCTCCATCATGATTGTCACGTCGGTCGGCATGCCACCGGTTGAACAATTCAACCGGTACCGGTCATGAAATCGATATGACACCATCGGTATGACCGGTATGATCGTTTTACGAATTTCTTAGTATAATACGTAGTTTTAGCGAATTTAATTATGAGTACATGTAATTTTATTTGAAATATCATATTTTATTCAAATATCAATATGAATTGTACGTAAATTGTCTTCAAAAAATATGGTTTATATAGGATTAAATTCATTTGATATGAATGATTAAACCGGTTGTACCACTGATAAAACCATTCCACTTGCTAAACCGGTTTGATAACCTTTCTCTCCATATATTATTTATAGATATAATGCAAAAACAAAAGCAAAATAATTATTGGATAAAAGAGAATTAAATATTAAACGAAGAGAGAGGGACAACTCCATAAATAGGTCAATAACTATTTTTTGGTAAAAAAATTGTCCACCTTGGCCACCTCTCCAGGTGCTTATGTGGCAAAAATTTAATTTTGAATTGCCATAATATTATGTATAGATCTTTCAAGGAAACCCCATCATTATTATGGTAACCTTATTTGCATTTGATACAAGAAATATTGCAAGAAAACCCCTCATCATTATGGTAACCTTATTTACATTTGAATTTGATGCAAGAAAGTGTTTGATCTAATCCATAAATTATGGAATAAATTTCAATTAAGTAATTACTTTTTATTGTTTTTTAAGAATCTATTGAAATATTTTCTTCATGAACTTAAGAATGTCGTGCTAAACTGATTTCAATTTTTTATTTCATTGCATGTTCTTGTGACCGTAATTGTATTTTGATTGCAATAAAAGGTGAAATCTTATCCATAAATTATTAAATACCTATTATTTTTTGTATTTAAATCGTCGAATATTTGTGTAAATCTATGGAAAAAATTCGTCAACTTAATTTTGTTTCTTCATTATGTCATGGGGAAAAATTTTTGCTAGTATTCAGCGGGATTTCATTGCATGTTCTTGTAACCATAATTGTATTTTGACGATTAAAAATTTGTGACCGTTTTGTACTAAGTACAAAGATTTGTCACTATTTATGCTAATTATCCCTAGTCGACGACACCCTATCCATGCTAATTAAATTGTAACCAAATTATTAAGATTTTAGCCTTGTCTAAACGAAAATTTGGACTCAAATTCATCCTTCACCATAGTTTCCATGTAGACATCCTCCCCTCGCTCTCACCCTTATTTTGAAGTAAGCCATCTCTATCTCAAGCAGTGAAATGGCATATTAAAAAAAATTTAGAAAAAAAAAGAAAAAGAATGGTCATATTATGGATGTTGGTCTTCACCAAGGCCTATTTATTGGCTCAATATAATGTTTTGGCGCTCACATTCTAATTTGTACGGCATTGAAACTGATTTTGGAGTTTGGCGGGATTGTCCGAAGCAGATCGGGTGAGTAACCCCATACATAACCCAATAAGAATTTGCTAAATCAGCGCCTCTTTCTATCTCCTGAAAAAATCATTATTTTTCTTTCTCTTAATATTTAACGGACAATTTCTCACTCGTTTTAACTCGAAATTTAATTTTTTTGCACAGTTAGATCAGATTAATTGTGCTCTTCAAAATGATATCCACTTTGATATATCTTGGAACAAAAAAAAATGTCAGTTATTACCAGTCAATACCATATGGTATAGTCAATACCATATGATATTGACTGGTATTAAATAACAGCATACCATATGGTATGAAAAATACCACCTCATACCAGGGTGGTATAGTATGGTATGAAGTTGGTAACGAGAGGTATTGAATTTTTTCCCCCAGAAAATTTTGAAATCCAATAGATCATGATTAAATCGTTCCTTTTGTGTAGAAATTTTCGAAAATGACTAAACAACGAAGGAGATACCATATAGTATGAAGTTGGTAACGAGAGGGATGGAAAAAAAATTTCTAAAAAATATTGAAAATGGATATCATTTTGTAGAGCACAACAAACTCGTTCCATCTGTGCAAAAAAAATTGAAATCCAAGTTAGAATGAAGAAGATATGATCCAATTAAGAAAACTAGGGAAAATAAATTCTTTTAATTCTCCACCCTTAGATCTGCAGCCACTTAAAAGAAGGGTCCAGATTTGGTTACTCATTGTTACTCTCCCTAAGGTTACTCACCCTATCTTGAGCCGGATTGTCCTACCGGAAAATCTGTAACTGACGTGCCTGTTTACATTTACGGATTTACATGCTTTTGTATATGGGGATTAGACAGCTTTTCCTCCTTTTGATTGCTCTCTTCCCTTCCCGGAAAAAATCCAAAACTACCACACTTTAAAAAAAAAATTAAAAAATACCACCCATTCCCAATAATTTCCAAAAATAACATCGTTTATTTAAAACCGCACCTCTAATGAGCGGTTAATGCACAAAACGCGCCTCCAAGGCGCGATTTGAATCTTTATGGCTGTCAAACCGCGTGGCCACGTGGCGGTGCATCAGACCGCGCGATAGGGAGCGATCTGACGGCCAAACCGCGCGCCAGCTCAGCGATCTGCGTCGCTCAGTCAAACCGCTTCCCCGAAGCGCGGTTTGACTATTGGGGGAACGCTAACCGCGTGCTGGAGGCGCGATTTTAAGCGGGGTAAAACGACGAAACCGCCCCTCCCTCACGGGTTTCGTCCCTATATAAACCCCCTTCCCCCTCCCATTTTCTACACACCAAACTCATTCCCCCCTCTCTCCCTCTAACTTCTCACTCTACCCACCCCCTCCACACCCAAAAACCTTAGAATTAGTTATTTTGTTGGTTGCGGCTATGTCCGATCTGCCTCCAAAAAACTTTTTCTTTGATTTTCACTAAAAAACCGTCGAACCTCTGTCCGGATTCCGAAAAAATGGCCGATTTCATCCAAGAAGAAGGTCTTTTCTATGATGATTATCAAACGGTACGTACTCATTTTACCCAATTGTTGTTGTTATAATGATTTATTTATTTATATACTAATTGATTTATGTTGTTGTTATGCTATCATAGGTTGGGCCGGATGTTGATATTTACAATCAACGATATTATGTTGATCAAGGACCGATTGATCTGACTGTTTTATACGATCAAGTTAATCATCGTTCAAGAGACGTTTGGAACGATCACAAGGTACATATTATTTATCATCACTTGTAATTTGTATTTTGTTAAAGTAATTTATTTGTTTGTACAATAATTTACTTAATTGTTAATCGTATTGATTATTTTCAATAATTTAAATCAATACAATACAACACTTATTTAGACTCTTTATAAAGAAATGCATGTCTAAGGAAATGTGGACTTAAGCGATCATCATGATCCCCCCCATGACCTGGGAAAATCGGGTTCTAAGAGATCCTCAGATCCCCCCTTTTTCTGTCAAAAACTGTGTTTCTAAGGAGATGTATACCTCTCCTAAGAGTCTTACGAGTGTACTTGTATTGCTTTAAATTATTGAAAATAATCAATTCGATTGACAAAATAATATATTTGATTTTATGTGTATGTGTACAAAAAATAATTATACTTAAATTTCGAAAATTGTTTTAGTTATGTTAATATTAATGTTTCTTAGATAATGTATATTTCTCTAAAAAAACCTTGATTTAATTAATATTGCATCTTAGAAAATTATTTGAGTTATGTTAAAATTAATGTTTATTAGATAATGTATATTTCTCTAAAAAAAACCTTGATTTAATTAATATTGCATCTTATAATATTATTTAATTATGTTAAAATTAATGTTTATTAGATAATGTATATTTCTATAAAACAACCTTGATTTAATTAATATTGCATCTTAGAAAATTATTTTAGTTATGTTAAAATTAATGTTTATTAGATAATTTATATTTCTCTAAAACAACCTTGATTTAATTAATTTGCATCTTATAATATATTTATATATAATATATGTATAAATCATCAACTTATAGTGAAATTTAAATTATCCTCTAGGATGCATACCATATAGTCCGCTATAGGGGCACGACGAATGTGCTTGAATGGAACGACGTCATCTTGCCCTTTCTAAAAAGGGTAAGATTGGATTCGATTAGGCATTTTAATGGAATCAAGATCGACCGCCAACTCATCACGGCGATGGTAGAGAGATGGCTAAAGGAGACACACTGCTTCAATTTTCGTGAAGGCGAGTGCACCATCACACTTAAGGACATCGCCATCCTAACCGATCTGCCCATCGATGGTGATGTTGTTTGTGTGGACTCTACGCCACCACCTAAAGTTGTTGCCAATATGAGTGGTTGGCAGCATTTTATATGGACGGTCACCGAGTTGTGTCCACCAGAAAAGAGAGATCACGATGCGGATGGTCATCCACCATTGTCCAAGGGCCACGTATCCATCACGTGGTTGACAGCGGAGATCATGCGTAAGCACAACCCTGAGTTCGGAGGCATTCCCCTCACGGAGGAAAGTTCGGAGCGTGATAAAGACATTTATGCACGTATCTACATCCTCGGCATGATCGGAGGAGTTTTCTTCCCCAAGAAATCCAACAACCTAATCAGCAATTCATGGTTAAAGATCATACTTGGGAGTTGGGATGATATGGGAAACCTGAGTGGGCATCTGCTTGCCTAGCTCATCTCTATCGATCCCTCTGTAATGCTAGTGCGAGAGCGGTGAAAGAGATTGATGGGGCCATGTTCATCGTCCAATTTTGGGCTTGGGAGCATTTGCCATGGATTGCGCCGAAGGTTGACCCCGACAAGGAATGGGGTCCCGACCATCCCCTACGACATGAAGCTTATGGTTGTAGGTAAATATTTTCTATCCCACTCATAGTTCTCACCATTTTTTATTAAATTTTTGGGGACTGTTAGCTTTTTTTGCCTTCCTGGTGGTTTTGGTAGGCGCGGTGCTTCACTTGCTTATGAATGGCAACCTCGACGACAATGGTCACAACGTTGACAATGGGCACGAGCAACACGATGAAGACACCGATGGATATGATGATGATGATGATGACGATGACGACGAAGACAATACATCGACGGACGACGATTCCTCTTCAGCATCCATGGACGACGATGACGACAGACATGTACGCGATGTAATTCACCCATTGGCCCTTCCTGATCATCCCGATATCATCCCCATCACGTACACGGGCACGACATTTGTTGAACACCTCATGGACCAGTACATTTCCTTTACGCCGGGATCCTATATATTCATTGATAGGGGATGGATGCTACGCCATGTGATCAATGAAGTTAGATCCTGGATATTTGAAGAGCTGGAGCAAATGAACATCCATAGCGAAGAACAGCCATGTAAAATCCAATTCTACATGGCGGTAGGCGGTGGCGTATACCAGCCCATACTCTTTCCGGATCCACATAGCTGGCATATGAATCGTCGTGATGATCATACTAACATATGGACGGTTCACGTAGCTCACAGGGTACAGCTGATTGGATACAACTGGGTGGGAGGGTTGGTACCCCAGCAGCACCAGCATCTACAGGACGCTCAGGTAGCTGATGTTAATGAAATTGCATATGTGCAAGGGAGAGGGGAGGGAGATGCCTTACATGATTACATTTTCAACGCCGCTTGGGGAACGGGAACGAACACGGAAGAGGAATCCGACATGGAGGAGGACTAGTAAAATGCAAATACAACGATGGCAATAAAGGGAGAAACAAAGATGTCCATCTGTACCACAGTATCTCTGAATCGGCTGGTAAGAATTTGGTATTCAGCAGAACACTGATGACCACCGGAATCTTTGGGTGTGACGGACTAATTGTAGGATAAAGTTTTTACCGAGAGCATGCATGCATCCCTATTGAGAAAACGACAACAACAATTACAGTGTTTAATTTTGTGACCCCTTCAATCTACGAAAAAGTTAAAGTGCTAACAAGCCCTTTTGTTAGCAGATACTAACTAATACCCAAAGTGTATAAACTAGTATCCACCTCACAAAATTATGGCTACCGAAAATATTTCGATAAAACTAGAAAAATTAGGGAAAAAATAGATGAATATCAAGAAAATCTAATAAATATAATAGAAGACAATAATAAACAATTAAGATCAATATTAGAATATCAATGTAATGAAAAATAAAAAGATATATATTCAGATTTAGAACTCGCTAAAGATACAATTACCAAAATAATAGTGGATATAAAACAAAGAGAAGTAGTAATGGGAAAAACAACTCCAAATTCTAAAGATATAGTATTACTGATAGAAGATCTTAAGGAAATCATAATTAAACTTCAAAAATAATAATTAAATTAGATAACAAAAGGAGCATTACAATTGAAGATATAAACGAATATCTGAATGAACATAAATCGGGAAAATCTAGTCCATTAACTATCATGGCACCCTACAAACTTCTATGACTAGTATTGACGAACAAATTAATAAATTAAATGATTTACTAGCCGCAATTACTATTGAATCGGAACCAGAGATAGAAGAAAATATAGAAAATGATAAAATAGTTCTTGACTATAGTAGCGACGAAAACCCCTACAAAAATTACACAAATGCAAATTACACAAAAACTGAAACTGAGGATCAAGCTGAAACATCACGAAAGCGTGACTTTAATGACTATAAAGATGGTCAACTATTTTTTGATGAATATTTATATAAAAACTCGTATACACCTCGCAAAGGGGGAGGATGGAGTAAAATACCTCAATCTTACATACCAAAATATTCCACCACTAGTTTTAACAGTCCTGATATATTAGATCTTGATTGTTGCATCAATCCATTAAAAGAATTAGAAGACTGGAAAAATCGAACAAGATTATTAATACAAACTAATGAAGATCTAAAGAAATTACATCCTAACGAAATGTTTAATTTCTTAATATATAAAACAACTGGGGCAGTTTATCATTATCTCAACAACATGGATATTCCTATTAAGGCAATGTTATATGGAACAACGGATGCGACGAATACTTTTGGAAAAAGTCTTAAATGCAATAACTCATGAATTCTTAGGACGACATCCTCGAGAAGATAAACCAAACACAACCATAAGTCAACAAACTATTTGGCATTTAACTAATCTTAGGATCTGCAACATGTGCTTCTTAGAACCATTTATTTGTGAATTCAAAACACACTATTATCAAGTTACCCCTTCAATAAGGAAAGAGCTAGATAAATTACTCTATGCTAAATTACCATCTAATGTCTCTGAAAAAGTCGAAGCTATCTTTAATGAATCTTTGACGAAGGAAGAAATACCAGATACATTAGGAGGATGAATATTAGTTTTACAAGAATGACATAAACGAGCTTGTAATAAGGAAAAACTAAAAAAACAAGCTAAAATTAAACTCTGTTGTGAAGAAACAATGGACAGAGTCGGAAAATATGGGTGTAATAATGATCGTAAGATTATTAAAACTCGAAAAAAATATAAAAATTATAAAAAGTGGAGAAAAATACCTTATAAAGAATATAGAAAAAATAGGTTTAGAAAACCAAATAAATATTTCAGAAATAGAAAAAACTTTAAACAAAAAATCAAAACAACAAAAATACTATCCTAAGGGAAAGACAAATTGTAGATGATGGTTATGTAACAAAGAAGGACATTACGCAAATAAATGTCCTAAGAAAAATACTAACACTAGAAAGCAAGAAGTCCTTAGATTGGCTTACGATTGTGATTTTGAACCAATTGAAGAAATAGATTTTTAACTTTCCGATATAGAAATTATTGAATATATTTCAACCTCAGAGACCTCTTCAGATGAGTCAGAAGAAGGTATTAACTAAGGGAAATCCTAATGCAACATTTATTAAAATAGAAATAGAAAAGAAGAACTTTTTAGCATACATTGATACAGGGTCAACCTTATGTTTTGCCAAAAAATCAACTATAAAAAAATGGGATAAACTTGAAAAACCTTTAAAAATTATAGTAGCAAATAAATCTATCCATGAAATCTGGTATGTAAAACAATATGTACCAATAATTATTGAAAAACATATCTTTACAGCTAAAACAATCTATCAACATGACTCAAGACTAGATATAATAATAGGAAACAACTTTCTAAAATTATATCAACCGTTTATCCAAAGGATTAGAACAATCAGCATTAGATGTCCTAAAACAATAAACCAGGAATCTAAGATAATCACAACCAGAATAATCACGAAAAATGAAGTGCTAAAGATTGTACTTCAAAACCTCAAAAATAGACTAGAATATATACAGATTACCTATAGCATTCTAGAGGATACATTAGACCAGATGTGTAGTGAACATTCTTTAGATAAAGATAAAAATACTAATAAGGAACTTAATGTCCCTAACATAAAAATACTTCAAAACCTCATAAAACGGAAGTTAATGTCCCTAACAAAATTCAATATACTCAACGAGATGTAGAAGAATTCCAAAAGGAATGTTCAGAGTTAGGAAAGACTATATATTAGAAAGATTAAAAGGTCAAACGTGGTTTAGTAGTTTAGATGCTAAATCAGGATATTGGCAACTTCGTCTACATGAGAATACCAAACCTTTAACAGCCTTTTCATGTCCACCACAAAAACATTACAAATGGAATGTTCTCCCATTTGGAATGAAACAAGCACCAGCTATCTACCAACGATTTATGGATCATGTCTTAGAAGGTTTTCAATCGTTCTGTCTAGCATACATTGATGATATTATTATCTTCACTAATCAATCAGAGGAAGATCATCGTGAAAAAATCTTGATAGTTTTACAGAGAATAAAAGAAAAAGGTCTAATTATTTCTAAAAAGAAATCGAAACTTCTTCAAAGGGAAATTGAATATCTTGGTATAAAGATTAATAATTTCGGCGAAATTGAGTTGTCACCAAACACTAAAGAAAAAATCAATAAATTCCCAAACCAACTTGAAAATAGAAAACAAATTCAACGTTTTCGTGAATGCTTAAATTATATCAGTGAACAAGGATTTTTAAAAGATTTAGCAAAAGAAAGAAAATATTTACAGAAAAAGATTTCTGACAAAATCCCTTGGTCATGGAATAATCAAGATACAAATATAGTTTTATTAATGAAGGAAAAATGTCAGCATTTACCAAAATTATATAACCCATGTGAAAACAATTTTCTAATAATTCAAACGGACACATCTAAAGACACTTGGGCAGGGTGCATGTTCGTAATACAAAATGGCAAGGAATTATTACAAATGGACAATTTTGGAAGTGTCAAAATTGAAAATAACGAGGCACTGTCTCTGGCCAAAAGCCTAAAGATTATCAGTCTTCGGACAATATTATTGAACTTTCAAGTTCTCAATTATCAGTTCCTTTCAACAGTGATAAATATTCTAAGAAATTATGCAAATATATTTCTGGAACATTTACCGCCACTGAACAAAACTATCCGGTCCACGAATTAGAGACACTAGCCTGTCTCAGAACATTGAAAAAAATGGAAGCTTGAATTATTATCTACAAGGTTTGAACTTCAAACCGACTCTAAATATGTAACAGGTTTTTGGAGGTAACAAGCTACAGACAGATTTCAACAAAGGGAGATTAATCAGGTGGCAACAACAACTCCATTATTACAATCCTTATCTGAAGTATATCAAGTCCAGCAACAATCCATTCACCGACAATTAATGAGCTTTTAATTATTAATACAATTATATGCCTGGAAGGGTAATTAGGGAAAATCAGGTTAAATTAGGAATGGGGTGTTACATATATCTCACGAAAAAAGGGAATTAGATTTGTGGTTAAAACTTAAAACAGCGGGCATGAAGAAATTATAAATAAATAATACATCTACAAAATATATAATAGCAATTCATGTGTCAACTTTTCGCCAATTTGAAATTGCTGGCACGAGAGTGTTTCCCGGAAGGGTACTCTGGGCATTTCATACCCACTTAATGCTGCTCTGCGTTTCGGTGATGCAAAACCAAACCTTAGCCCTCACTGGTCTCATGTATTCTGCCCCACTGACGAACTAAAGCCCAAACCTAATGGGCCTAGATTGTGAAAAAAATTACAACCACACTGAAACCCACAAATCCGGATTTGAGGTCTGCAAAATTAATTAGGATATATGCAATATTAGCTTATATTTGAGGTCGCACCATGATCGAAGTCATGCTTTCATGGTCATCCCCAGTTCAAGTTTTCCATGCAGTCAGACCCAGTCATACAAGGGGCCGATTGATCCTCCATTCCCTAGGCCTAAACTATATGATTATTGGTGTAGGATAATTTGTAGCTAGGTCAAGCTCCGTATGGTGTAGGATTATTTGTAGCTAGGGGTGTTAAATTGGCGGGATCTATTGCAGGTAAGGTAGCCATAAATATCTATTTGATCTATATTGTATTGAATTAGAGTAAAAATAATATTGCAATTTGATTTCTACTATCAAAATTAGTAATAAAATAATGTGATTTCGACTATCAAAATTAGTATATTTTTATTTTGATTTTATAAAATTCTTAAAGAAACAAATATCACTCTATGTTCATGGAGGAATTTGAAAATTTTGTGAAAGATTTACCAAATCGATTAAGACTAATTTCTATCAATCATGAAATTTTATATCTTAACCAAATCAATCATGAATTTGTTTGTTGTACAAATTTGATCAATTTGGTTAAATATATTAATTAATATAACATAATTTTATCATTAAGTAGGAAAAAAAATCCATGTTGATAACAATTCATAATATATATATATATATATATATATATATATATATGGTGGCGTCTTCGGTGCACTCACTTTTTTGGGTGCACTGAACGCACCCACTTTTTTGTTTAATCCTCACCGTTCAATATATCTAGCGGTTCACAATAATTAATAATTTTTTAATTAATTATTAACTAATAAACTATTTTATATTTATTAAACGAATTTATAGTTATTGATAATTGCAATTAAACCCCTAACATTAACCCTTTCTCTTCGCCGTTTCTTTTCCCCGCTTCCACCGTCAATACTATCCCAGTGGCAGGCGACGAATAGTTTGCAGTGCCTGGCATCGTCGTCCTCCGCCACTAAACCGTCTCAGGCGATTCCGGCATGCTCAACATGGAAGCAGAGAAAATAAGTTTTCGTTCTTGATTTGTTCCATGAAATCGTCACTTTCTCTTCCATTGTTCGAGTGTTGTCGATCCTTTCCTCTTCTTGCCTCGCCACTTTCTTTTTCGATTCCGCTGCTTTCTTGGTCGATTCGTTCGGCTTCTCGACGAATTCGCCTTTGATTTCCTTCGATTCGATCGTTTCCTTGACGAATTCGTGTTTCCTTCTCCAATTTCTTCAATCGGCGCTTCAGCACTCAGTTGTGGTGCGATGGCTCATCTTTTCTTCGAGCTCCGCTTCTCTCGTCTCTGCTCCCGTCGATGCGAACCAGGAGTATTTCTTCGCCAATAGTCGTCGCTTGCATCATCTTCGCCCTTCAGATAACAGCTCCGTCAGGTCCAGCTCCTCGCGTCGCTCGGTGATTCTTCTCGGTTATATCCAGCTCATCCAGTCGATCCAGTCCAGGTCTTCAATTGCTCCGGTCGAAGAGTTGCTGAGTTGTTGTGCCTCTGGGTTTCGCGAACACAGGTCCTATCGCCGGCGACGATTGATTGCATAGGGACTATAGAGCGATTTTCGGAAGTGGGGAGCATGGCCGATAGATCAGGGACAGAGCCAGTCTTGAGTAGTCAAATGATCTGTGTTTTTTGTTTTCCTTTTGCCGCGACGGAGACGCAGGGGAAGGCTTCAGCTCGATAACTGGAAATCGAAGGGGGAAACTGATTTTTTTAGTGCTTGATTCAGACTGGAGCGATACTAAGGCGTCAATTTTACGGATTGTAGCAAATTAAATCAAACATCGCTGGACCCCTATGCTGCGGGTAAAAGAACAAAACCAGAAGGAGGTTGAAGAAGGAAGGGCTGTTTTCGATCCGAATTCCGAACACATTCGGATGAGCTCTCAAATTATGTTTATGGGCTCTTTCTGTGGCTAATCCTTCTGGCAACTTCCCCGTCGGATTCGACCGAGTCTTCGTCGCCGTTCCTCCTTGCATGCCGCCAATTCCATGTTTCCCGGCGAATTGATGAAGCAAGCATCGGAGTTGAGATTGGAATTGGAGAATCAGAAGGAGAATTAGAGGATAAAAAGGAGATATCGAGAAGAAGAAAGAGAACAGGAACAGGGAGCAGAGGAAGGAGGAAGAACAAGTACAGAGGAAGGAAGGAGTAATTTGTTTTCTGTTGTCTCTTTTGCAGTGAGGGATTAAATTAAATGGTCTCTGTTTTTTTAGCTTTTCGGGTACATTGTCTTCATTTGAGAATCTATGCTCATTTGCTATCCTAGTGAAATGTATGGGAAAGTGGTTAAATGGTCTCTGTTGGGTGAGAGGAACAAGAGGCTTCGCATAAGAGGAGAGAAGAATCGGGGAAGAAACGGTTAAAGTCAGGGGCCTAGTTGCAATTACAATTAAGTATAAATTGTTTTAATAAATATAATATAGTTGATTAGTTAATAATTAAATATAAATAAATCAAATTATTGTAACCATTAGATGTGTTTAACGGTTGAGATTAAACAAAAAAGTGGGTGCGTTCAGTACACCCAAAAAAGTGGGTGCACCGAAGTGGCCACTATATATATATATATATATATATATATATATATATATATAAAACGAATAAAACATAATAATCAACTCATAGTTGACATTTATCATATATACATGCAATTAATATAATTATCTTACCATCATCACAAATGGCTACCACATAAAAATATATACCAATGGTATGTCAATTTCGACCTGATCCGTTTTACCCGACCTATTTGACATGTTTTGTGATTTTTTCAATTTTTCACTACCCCATAGAAATATTGAATAGAATGAAAATTTTTTTTCCACGATAACTTTGAAAATGAACATTTTAAATGTACTTCAAAAGTAAGTAAATAAACCCGAAATATATAAAATATAGTTAATCCTGATGTGGAACAAGCTATTATTGCAAAACTAGGTGAATGCAACACTTTAGACATTAGTAATAATGGAAGGGATTGTTGGTCATCTTTTCGTTATTTCAAATAAAATGATCAAAGATTTTTGAATGAGAAAAATCTCTTTTTTCCTACGGGTAATACCCACCCCATAGGCGGGGCAGGGTGGACATATATACTCTCTTCGACCTGACCTATATCGACCCGCCTCATTCTCTGCGCGTTTTTGCCTAAATTACATGTAATTATACTCAAATGACTAAGGATTATACTTTGGTTACTTCATTTTTAGCTATAATGAGATGCCAGCTAGGTTAGAACCTCAATTTCTCGAATAATTTAACTATATCAATCATGCTATAGTTTGTTTCTTGGATTTTTAACAAAAAAAAAGAAGAATATTTCTAACATTTTCCCTTTAAATCACATACCCATATGAGTTGATCTGCCCTGACCCGCACTCTATGAGAAATTACCTGATCTAGACCCCGACTTACCATGGAGCGGGTATGGGTATCGAGATTCCCGTACCGAAGCCGAAAAAGATGCTCGATAAATCTCTTTTCTGCCTGCCACATTGTCATTCTATATGGTGGTTCAGATTTTCATCCAACATAATGTATAAGGTATATCCAAATTATGAGCTCATATGTTGTTACTTGAACTCTACAAGAATAAATACAATATAAGAACAATTATTAGTTTTAATTTTTTATGTGTCCAAAAAGGAGGAACACTTGACTTTTGAGTGGTTATGCAAAGTATTATAGCTAGAAGTTGTTAAATCCCCTTATATTTGTATTGGTAGGATTAGAGGTGGCAAATGGATTGAATTGGTGGATTGGATTGGTGGATCTATGGATCAAATGGATTGTATCCAACGAATTGGTGGATTCATGGATTGGATCAAGTGGATTGGTGGATTATTTATGAATCCAAATGACATCTTCATACAATGAACAATATGTAAAATGCGAAAATTTTAGGTACTAAAGTGTCATAATAATAAAAAATTAGGTACCAAAATGTAATTTTCCAATGATATTTTCGTATAAAAATTAAATTTTAGGTACCAAAATATACTAAATAAAAATTATATGTACTAAACTGTAATTTGCCAAATGATTCATGGATTCAATCCATGAATCCACAAATCCAATTGGATTTGGATCAAATGGATTGGATTTAAATGGATTGGATTAGTTGGATATTTTTATTGGATGGATGGATTGATTGAATTGAGAATTTCCACCTCTAGGTAGGATAATGTTTGAATAACCTGAGCTACGTGCTTTGATTGATGAGCTCAATAAGACTTCATTTCGATTGTTGTTGTGCATCATGATTTATTTACACAGTTTGAATTCGAATCCACCATAGCTATGGAGTTTCAGCGAGGGTACAAAATCTTAAACTCTAGGTTTTTTTATATGCCAATTATATAGATTATCGAGGGAATGGAGGTTTGTTGGATATATATGCGGCCAAGCGAATATGAGTCACGATATTATTGTCTTCATGCTTCTATAACTTTGCTTTCGACCTGTGTTACTGATTTTCTTTTGCTTTATCTGTCTCGGGAAATGACTACTCCCTCTGCATAAAGACAACTCCTCCCATTTTATTAGTTGTGGCATTGAGGCATCATAGATATCTACTCATTTATCAGGCAAAATATATAGGTGAACTTGCAAATTTGTTGCAACTCCACAACCAAATATGAAGAGAAAGGAGCAAGTGATCCCACACTACGATGATTACAAGATATCTATTGTCTACAAATTTATAGGAGGCTTTTATCTGGTAGCTAGGTGTTCCCTGTTAATTTAGAGCATCCCCTGAACTGCTTCACGAATTTTAATTGACCAATAATTCAAACTAAAACCACTAAACAATCGAACAAGCTCATTAGTTGCATTTTGTTTAGCAAATTATATATCATCACTGTTGTTCCATCTCACTGACTTTAGGCGCCATAAAAAAACACAAAACTAAAAAGAGAAAAAGAAAGCATGTTAATAACAACTTTCCGGCCAACGGGCCGGACTCTGCGCTAGTAAACTAATGTGGGAAAGCTTTCTCCAAGAAAGCGCTTAAATAGTTTTTTAGGTTAGACTGGACTGCCAACTTCGGCGATTTAATTTAATAATAATAGCAATTAATCCGTACTGGATAGTGTCAGAATAGGAATTGGTTAGTTGATTATCCCTATAAATTAAAGTAGTGTGGAGTATTGGGTCAAATTATGTTTAGCTGTGTTGGAGTTCAAATTATCGATTGGAATTTGGAAGATGAAGAAATCCTTTGAGCTCGTTGTTCCAATTAGTCCAAAGATGCAGAAGAAGAAAGTATCATCCGGAGGAGGCAGCCGCAGGCGGAGTGATATTAATCTCTTGATGGAGCATGGAATGATGACGGAAGTTCTAATACGTCTGCCGGAGATCCTCCGCTGCAAGGTCGTATCCAAGCAGTGGCTGTCTCTAATTCAAAGCCCTTGTTTTTCAGCGGCTTATACTTGTCACAAGATGAAGGAAATGGCGGTAGCAGACAGCTGCAGCCTGGTCCTGAATACCAACGGCCGCGAAACAGCCTCAATCTTGACCAGCCCCAACATCCACAGCGGCAACCATAGCAGCCGGCTGAGCAACTTCTCCATTGATTTCCTTCCCTACCAATCCTACGAAGACAGCTTGCAATACTTTGAGCTGAAGGCTACCGATAAATACACCGCCGACCAAAACCTCTTTCAACTAAGCCGTGTTGAACGGAGGAAAGCATGGGCACGATATGACGGCAACTACCAAGGCCTGCCGGTGCCGTTTCAGCTGCCGGAGCCCCACTCGGACCCAAGTCCAGATACTGGACTCAACTACGAGGACCGCACTGGCCAACGGAGAACCAGGCACCACTACATAACAGGAGATATTGAAAGATCGTCAAAACTCAAACCGGCGACCATGAATGCTCCGCCATCATCCACCTCCAAATCGTCACGTCGACACAAACCCGACCTCTAGTTTCGAGAAGTTCAGAAGCCCAGCCGGCGGATCTGAATCGAGAAATTCTCTTCGGCACTCCAAACCGGCGACTCATTTCTCAATATCCGATCTATTTGGCGTCGACAAAAGCGGGACTCTCTACCCGGCAGTTGCAGAGATGGAGACAGAGGAGGATGACTGGTAGAAGGAAGCTGTTGAAGCAGGTTACAATGGTATAGTTGGAAATGTGAGGGTGGTTTGGGGGTTCTGGTAGACTTCCTAGTAGGGATAGGAGATGGTGGTGGTGGAGAGGGTGATGAAGCAGGTTACAACCACGTAGTCGGCTCCTCCAACGGCTTGCTTCTCTGCTCGCCTTTCCCCGGCTACCCAAACATGTACGCCATATGCAACCCTCACACCAAGCAGTGGTACCCGATTCCGATTCCGCCCCCCGATTTCTCCATCCTCGCCCACATCGGCTTCATCGTCCTCGACGACGACGACGATCGCTCCTTCATCATCGCCCGGATTCCCCTCAGCATGGCCCCGCGCCGAACCCAGCTCGACCTGGAAGTCATGTCGTCCCAATCCGCCGAGTGGACTGCCAAATCGGCTCCCCTGCCACGCCCGCTGCTCTGCCCCGACCCTGACTACTCATTTTTCGACGACGGCACTGTCAATCTCGCCGTCAATCTACACAAGCGCTGGCTCTGCTGGATGCTCGGGGGAAAGCAGCAGGTGGTGCTCTACGACGCCGTCAACGGTGTGGTGGATTGGGTGATTGAGCCTCCACGGCGCACACTAGACGGGATTTGCGTCAGCCAGGGCCGCTTGTGGGCCGCGAGCCTCTGCCGTTCAACCCTCATCGTCTTCGTGGCTGAAAATCTACCGCCACAATCATCATTTCCTGATATGAATCAGCTGCAACAACCATATTTCAAGCCGATGAACAAGGTTAGTTTGACCGGTCCATGGGACTCGCTGATCCCGTTCATAGCTCAAGATTTCGGCAACACAAATGATCCATACACCAACAACAAAATCCGCAACATGATCCAGGGGCCTCAGCTCGGGGACGTCTTCCTAACTATGAACCCACATGATTCCAATCAGGTCTACCTTACTTTCCACGCCAGTTTCCTCGCCCTCTTCCACATAACTCAACGAACCCTCAAGTTGCTTGGAGGACAAGGAAGCTTAGACACCGGATGCCACCTCTTCATATGTGACAACCCCTCCTGGCCAACTCCACTCCCCACCCTTCACTTTCCTCCTGCTTCATCTAGCTAGTAACTAGATACAGAGGCCAGCTACGCAGTTGGCTTCACGATGACTAGTTTATACATTCAATTCAACAACGTTTCATAACATTGTTTGGTTATTGATGAACGATCGGTTCGTCCATCACGTAATCGTACGAACTAAAACTAAAATAAACTGAAATACTGATTTATTCTTCTTTAATTGATTAAATTCGTAGAGACAAAGTACATATTTATAGTTGAACCGGAAAACCTAATCACTTACCAATCCTACAAGGATACGGTAACTTAATCCTAAAGAAACTACCTTAAATACTTTAATAATTAATACCATTCTTAAACAATAACCAAAACCGACTAACAAACTCATAATAATGATAATGGGCGGCCGAAATTGATAATGCATCAGTTATTCATTTATTTTGTTTGCAACCAGCCTGCCTAGTAGTAAATCCTCCAACATGTAATAGCAGAGTTTTTTTTTAGGGTTCTCAGCATTTCAAATTCCTGGTGCTGAGAGCCATAAAATTGGCTACCTACATTTTATAAATAAACAAACTTAGTTATGGTTGCTATATGCTTGACACATTCTGATTTCTGCAAAAGTGGTGAGGCTGCAGCTGCAGAATTGAAGGACCAATGAATCTAGTTACTTTTCTTTTACAAAGTGCTAAGCAGTTAGGAAGTAATCTCGAATGGTTTTTCTTTTCAAGGAAGAGGGAGGGTTTAAGACAGAAGAAGGGCTTTTCATTGCTGATTCAGGGGTTGTTGTCTCAACGCTCTCAATTGGATCATGGTGGAGCCTCTTCTTTTGAGCTTCAGGAGTCCCCATGGGAGGCATTATTGATTCGGAAGTTGGTAAGGTAATGTGGTGGTTCATGGCTTCTTCAGGATCTGAAGAATCTTTTTCTTTACTACCAAGATTCAACTGCCTTTGTTCCCGACTTGGGAGGTTCATTATTCTCCTCCTGATCGAAGTTGGTGATCTAGAGCTTGAACTATAGTTGGTTTCAGCATTCCAAACACGAACCTGTATGTTATACATTTGCAGAAATTTGAATTTGATAAGTTACACAGAACTGATGCCATCTTCTTAGGGAACTTCATTAACAAGAGACTGCAAAGACTAATAATCCACTTACCGTGAAATCATCTGCACAAGTTGCTATCTTGCCTTCTTCAGATGGGCACCTACGTATGTTGATTTTGCGGTTAGTGAAAAGCAAATGTGTGAAGTGAAACCATTAACAAAAGAGCAAAAAAGGATTCATATGAGATTACCAATCTACTGCCGTTACTTCTCCATCATGACCTTTTAATACTGTAGGATCCATTTGGGGCCTTTCCACCTGTTGTAAAATGCTATACCAGTTACAGAAGAAGAGACAAGAGTAGAGGATATGTTAAGAAGGCTGCTGTGAGTTAGAGCATCGAACCTGCCACACGTAAGCATTTCCATCACTAGACCCACTGAGTATGGAAGAAGCATCAGGACTAATCACTGACTGCAAGAGCATAGAGACCGAACATTTAGAATTTGCAGAGTACTTCAGGCGTAAAGTAATAAGAGATGGAGTGATTTCTGAAATGTGAAGAAGTACCTTTACAAAGAACGATTCTATTTGGCATCCAGTGAATGATTGTACAGGACCCTTTTGAAGCTGCAGCACATTGTACAAGTAAATTCTGGAAGGAACGAAAAATGGTTGGATGTACAGAGTCTTTGATATGAATGTGTAGTATTCCTCCATATGGGGATAAAAATGGAGTACCTATTATCCATGCATGATGCTGTAAGGAACATCCCATTAGAGTCCTGAGATAGACTGGATATACCATGCATTATATTCACCTGAGGCATGAGAAGCAGCAACTCTTAGCAATTTAGATTATGGAAAGCCGATTTCCTTCATATTGTCGGGCAACCATTGAGTATTTACCTTTTCGGTTGAAGACTTAGGCTGTGGGGAGACTTGAGTAACTTGAGATTTCAGATTCCTAGTATCCCAGAACTTGACAATGCTAACATGTTACACATTAATTGCAAAGGCTTGGTAAGTTTACATTTCATTGACATAACGATATAGAAAATATCTCTTGATGTTCTTTGGAACCAACCTGTCTACAGCACCAGCAGTGGCTATGGACACCTCATCTTTGAGATAAAGTACCGAGGTGATGCTCGTGGAAGCCGTCTGCTCAACAGAAAAGCAGAACACAATGTTAGCAATCAACTAGAGCAACACTTCAGTACTTTGTCGAGGAACTTCTCATCAACAAACCTTGGTCCGCCTAACCCGTTTTGCTTGTGCTGAAAGATGAGCTCGTTTTACCATTGCAGTTGAACTGTGGATCACAAGAACAAGTTTAGTATGGATACCAACATGTCCAAAAGCGTGCACCCCTACTGGATTGAGCAAACACAGGTGAAGAATTACCTTATGCAAGTTTCTGTGGACCGTCTGGTGGAAGTATTCTGGCATCTCAAGTCCCACAGAGCAAATGAACCATCTCTTGAACCAGAGACAAGAAGGTCTGAGGGGTATAATCGAAATGAAACCATGTTAGCAACAAGACAATTAGCAGCTATCAACAATCGAAACAAGCTATATAAAGCAAATTACCAGAATTAGTTGGATGGGAACACAGAGATTTAACACTTCCAGTGTGCCCCAGTAACACGCCAATGCATTTCTTCCCTTGTACATCCCACAATTGAATCTGCAGAACATAACTTAATCAAATGTTGAAAGTTGAAACTAGAATATCCTGCCACCAGCTCTGCTTCACTTCAAATCAAACTTGGATATCCCAGTAGCTACATCAGGTATATGTTTCAAACACTCAAATGGGTACTCACGGTTTGATCTCCTGAAGCTGTGAGAATTCTGGCGTCATCCTGAAAACAAATTTCAGAAACAATGTCCATAACCATTGTCTATTTCTCTGAAGCCAGCTTAATAGATAAAGAAATTTTCCAAGCAAATGGTACCTTAATCCAGCGAATATCAAATATGGCGTTCTGATGAGCTACCCACTCTGTGATTCTTGCTTTCCCTGCAACAAACCAGCAACGTTCATAAATTAGTACAAAAATAGAACAAAATAAACCTTGTGAGCGGCAAATTGAACCGAAAAAGAATCCACCCAAACAGACCTGTATTCTCTCGCCGAGTAGCCGCGGAGGAGAGCTTCCGCCGTGAATCAAACAAGCTTAGGTAGCCTTCCTCATCGGATACCGCGAGAATATGAGCATTTTTAGCCGTCTACACACAGAATCGAAGATTTCTCCAGTTCAAGCTTCCGATAACTAGATGAAATGGATAAAATATCTGTAATGTCGAAAGGTAAATTTCACCTTGCAGAACGAGATTGCCAGCGGGGGAGTTTCGTCGCCGCTGTGTTCAACTGCAACCTCTCCAATCTCGGCGAACTGAAGCTGCGAGTCTTCGTAGTACGGCCGCTTCCGAACTAAATCGCAGGAACGGAAGTTGTTAAAAGAGGACCATAGATTAACAAAGAGACACAGAGAAAGAGAGAGAAAAGGGGGAGATTTGTGCCTCGGAATCCATTGAGTTCTCTTGATCTGATGTCCTGGAAGAAGGAACCGGATCTGCACCTGGAGCTGGAGCTTGGAGCCTCCATTAATGGCGGAAAGGAAGGAGGGCTTTGGGGAAAAGAAGAAGAAGAGGGCGAGAGGAAGGAGGTTGAGGTTTTCTGGAGTTTTATTGAAGAGCCTCTGGATTCGAAATGGGTTTTGTTGGAGCTTACCGTTTCCATATATTTTTTGGTGGGAAGCTGAATTTTTTCGAGTTGGCGCTACCGCCAGATAGCTTTTTCAGCAGGGCGGGAAATTTTCGAATTTTCTCTTCTGGCGGACTATCCTTTAATCTCGAGAACATCTAAAATAAAAAGAATAGTGACCAAAATGTTAAAAGCCATTCCTGGGCAAGGAGGGAAAATTAAAACCTTTCTAGGGTTTAAGTACTTTCAATTTCCCCATTCCAACCAGCGATAGGCTGATAGCTCCCAAATCGCCATTCCCTCTGCTTCCGCCAACGACCGTACCAGCCTCCTTCTTCTAACCGCCGGTGCCCGGAGGCCCCATTTTTCTCCATGCCAATAGTCAGTTGCTGGCAGTGACGCTTCCTGTGCTCCTCGTTTGGCATCTGCTAGTCGCGGTAGCTGCCTGTCGAGATCCCCTGGTCGCAGTCGTTTCTCTCTCTCTGCATTCCTCCCCGACGAGATGGTTACAATTTCGGAAACTGGAGAAAGTAAGTACCTTTCGGATCAAACTATGAGATGCAATGTGTGGAACTGAAACTCTGAACCTCTCTACTGCTAGAGCTGATCATTAGGCCTAGACCATTAGATTTGTTAGAATAAGGCTACAGTAGTCCACTGCTAAATATTAGTGAGAGGTTAGTTTAATAATGGAGAAAGGATTTGTTGAAAAAGCTTGTATTCATGCGGTTTAGCACTGTTGATATTGGTGGCTACTGGCTAACGAGTGTTAACTTTGCAACTTTTGGGGTTAATGACACAAATATTGTGTTTTTTTTTTAATTGCCACAAATATTGTGGATTAAAAAGAATTGACACAAATATTGTGTTTTTTAGTAAAGTTTGGGGCGGGACCGCCAGAGACTCAGGCAGGGACGCTGTTTTACCCAATTCTGGGCGCTGGCGCCCCAGTCTCAAGCGGCCCCGCTTCACCTATTTTTTTGACCCAGTCCTAGGCGCTGGCGCCCGACTCTCCAGCGGCCCCGCCTCACCCTTGGTTTTTTAAAATTGCCGAACCCTCGGGCCCCTCCCACCTTATCTCCTCTTCTTCTCCCTTCCTCCACAGCACACCCCCCCCCCCCCCCCACCCCCCGAACCAGAGAAGTAGAGCAGCCGCCGCAAGCGCTGCCGCCCAGGACTGAGGCGCCGACGCCGCAGAGTCAGGCGCCGCCGCTGCCGAGTGGAGCGCCGCCGCTGGAGAGTGGAGCGCCGCCGCTGCTGACAGAAGCGCCACCGCCCGAGATGTCCTCCGACGAAGAACCAGTCGCCGCCGGTAGAGGCAGGGGGAGAGGCCAGCGAGGTCGGGGTGGAGTCGGCGGTCGTTTGCGCGGTGAGACTCTCGTCGGCGGCTTGATTTTTTTTTTAATGTTTTGTGTTTTTTTTTAATGTTTTGTTGCTTTGTTTTTGCAGTTCCTAGGCTTATGGATCCTTATTCGATAAGATTACCGCCGACAACCATTGATCCAGGTCCGGTCGATCCGACACTTCTTTGGGGACATGGCCAACATCGTATTGACTCTGTTTGGACAAACGAGGTAAGTATTTGATAATTATTCATGTAAAATAATTAGCTAATTAGATTATTTTAGTTGGTGAACTGAACTGTTAGGTGAAATTAGTATAATTTGATATTATATTAGACAAATTAGAATTTATTAGGTGAAATTAGAATTATTACGAATGAAAATGAATTAATATAAGTTTTGTGCACTATAGGCTGGTGATCGATCTTACCATGTTCGAGGTACGACCATTTTAGTACCTTACCATGAGCTTTATCGGCCATATCTCGAAGCGGCAGGCTTGTTAAGTGTCGTGCCCCTAGTCCCTATGAACCCCGATGCGAGTTTGATTACTGCGCTCGTAGAGCGGTGGCGGCCCGAGACGTCGACCTTCCATCTACCGTGTGGTGAGATCACGATCACGTTAGAGGACGTTGTTACACTGTCTGGTCTGGCGATCGACGGTGATGCCGTCGTAGTTGATATACCGGATGAGGAGTGGTCGGCGATCTGTTTGAGACTGTTAGGACGGGTTCCGGCTGATCTTGTAGGCGGTGTCGCTGTTGTTAGGATTGTTTGGCTGAGGGTTGAATTCAGTCATCTGCCGGAAAATGCATCACAGGAGGTTATAGAGCAGTTTGCACGAGCTTATGCTCTATCTCTGATTGGAGGTGTACTTTTCCCGGATCGGTCTGGAGCTACGGTGCACCTACAGTACCTACTTCTGATTGAAGATTGGCAGAGAGCTGGACGGTTCGCCTGGGGAGCTGCTGTTTTATCATACATGTACCGTGAGATGGGTAGGTCGACTTTGCACATTACGCATACCGGCACTTCTCTAAGCGGTGACCTTGGTGGATGGGTCGCCCTACTGCAGTTCTGGGCGTGGGAGCGATTCCCACATCTGGCACCTCGAGATTCAGAGACGAGGGCACAAGCCATCGAGGATGCATCCCCACGTGGTCTTCGATGGCTTTCGGCCAACAGTCGTCAGTATGGTGACCAGCTATTCCAGTATAAGCTGTGGTTTGACGCGATGGACACCGTGGTGGTTAGTATATAACATTCTATTTTATAGAATAGTTTTCATTTGTTTTATTTTTTTATATTTAGGGATAATAACGTTAATTTTTTTTTATGTAGTGGCAACCTTACCTTGAGAGAGCACTTCATCTCAGAGGTAGTGTGATACAGTTTGAGACATTTCGAGCAGTAGTGCCACTTATCTGCTTTTCATCGGTGATGTGGCATCATCCAGACCGCGTGCTCCGGCAGTTTGGCATGAGGCAGCATGAGCCTCATCCGCCACATCCTGAGGCTGAGGTTAGGTTTTTTCTTCGCCAGGCTACTCGTGGCCCATCGCGTGGGCAGCAGTTGGTACACGCCTCCAGAGAGTCGCTTGCTTTCTGGAACCGTCGACACGAGTTTGTAGCGACGGCTCCATACACTGATGAGGAGTTAGCCTACCACTCGGAGCATATGGAGTGGTATAGAGATGTCACCAGACGTTCCGGCACACGGAGAGGAGCTGCAGCAGAGGCATTGGTTAGTTATTTGATTTGTTTGCTTAATTTGTTGTTAACTGTGTGAAATATCTGACATTTTGTTGGTGTTTTTTAGTACGACACTATCGAGAATGCTGAGGTGAGTTTGCGTGACGGTGTACGGGCTGGAGGGCTGACCCCCGACCAGTGTGAGGACTTGGCCAACCTTATGGCATCCGGGGTTGCTACTCTAGGGTTTGAGCAGCGTAGATACCTAATCTCACAGTACCTGTACAGCCCCATTATGAGGAGCCCGTCATGACTGCCTGGCCAGAGCGTACTGATCCGACACCGGGTTGGGTCGTCCCAGAGCCACAGTTCAGACAGGAGCATAGGCCACGTAGACAGCGACGTGAGCATCGTGATGCACCTAACCCATTTCGGGTTTTAGATCGACAGCGAGCACAGCCCATCCGGCCTATATCGAGGAGCTTCCTGTTTAATCTGCTTCGGTCGCAGGATCAGGATGGTGGTGTTGAGGAAGATGAGCCCCAGGAGTATGATGGTAGACCTCTACGTAACAGGGTGTCTGCGAGGTGTGGTACTGGCGGCCATCTAGTGGTGGAGCATCGTGGTCGTCGTCGTGGTCGTCGTGGTGGTCGTCAGTGAGACTATTATTTTTGGATTGTTATTATTATGTACTTCCTTTAGACTATTATTTTTGGATTGTTATTATTATGTACTTTCTTTAGACTATTATTTTTGGATTGTTATTATTACTAGATTGGACCCGGCCAGTTGGCCGGAATATTTACATTTATTTGGGTAAAATATCTCAATCATAAATTGTGTCTACATCTAGTCGTTTTTGTTTCTCCTTTACTCTTGTGTTTTGGGTTTCCATCAGAAGCAGGAGCGGTCTGTCTCGCTAAGATGTTTCCCCCGACTTGTTTTTTTTTTTCCTTTTTGATTCTATGTACTATTGACACTCTTGCGGTTCAAATCTTGTGAACCCAAGAAGCCATTTGGATGCTTTGTAGAATTGTCTCGTTATTCTTATTTCATTTAATTCAATCGCCATTATAAAAAAAAAACCTGAAAAAGTGGTGGGGAGGCGAAGAAGAGAAAGTATAAACAAAATTTATAATTCATTTTTGATGGTCTTAGGTTACATCAAAGTTCAACTGGTTTCACGTCCAATTGGTAAAAACGTTCGTTCCAACTTTAGTCATAAAAAAAAAGAACCAAATTGCTAGAGTAACCGATTATGTGATCTGACAATTCCAATTTCCACCCATCATAGTTTGGTTTGATTCATATAACAGTGTTTCAATAATGTAGAGTAAGCACCTCATTCAAGAAACTTTTATTAAGGTAACCTTAATTATATAAATTTATTTATATGTGAAAAAATATATCCATGAAAATTTCACCATTATCTATATGATAGACCATGGGACATTCAAGAAACTTTTATTAATGTAACCTTAATTATATAAATTTATTTATATGTGAAAAAATATATCCATGAAAATTTCACCATTATCTACTTTAATTTTATATTAAAAATCTACTCCACTAAAGTAGGATAGACCATGGGACTCCATTAGTTAAACTAATAGCTCCATTATATTCGAAATAGTATGAAAAGGCATTTACGATCATTATCCACTTTGGCCAGTGCAAAGTTAATTAATGAGTAGAACATGGAACCGATAAAAAGAAGATTATAAAATGAAAAGGAAGTTAATCTAATTGTGCCCGGCCTCTGGACTAAGCAGTGGGCTTTGTAATTAGGCCCAATAACCCTAATAATTGCCGGCAAAGTAAAAAAAGAAACCGTCGCATTTTTGGGCGGGATTATGGAGATTAACATGACTAATTTGCCCCTGCCGAAAAGTAAGGGGAATGCATTATTTTTTGAATGGTGAAAACTTTGTAAAACTCCACCATCTTATATTCTTTTGATTGATGTACTTCATTTAGACTATTATTTTTGGATTATTATTATTATTAACGATAAAAAACATAACAACTACATACCAAACAACATCTTCAAACAAACAACAACTTTTACATGGTAAATCAAAAGAAATACAACAACTTCTACCACCTCTCAGCCACGTCTATTACCTCTACTTCCTCTTCTACCACCTCTCGCACTTCGTTGGCCACCACTCCCTCCTCAGTTGCTCCCACTCCCACTAGCTTGGCCACCGCAGGTTGATGCATTATGTCCCGCTTGGTTACAGTTGCTACACACTTGGTGTGATGCACCCTCCCTTGGCCAGTCCATCTCGTTGTGAATCCTTGTAACTCGTGGCCTCCCCGGCTTCCTAATCATGTGCACATTAGGATGGAGAATAGGACCATTATGCTTCTTCCAACCCTTAGGTTCACCAAGTGGTGCGAAACTTGTCCCATAACATCGTTGACAAACCTATACGCATTAGCCCCTATTCGGTTGCAAGCTGCAATGGCATGACATGAGAGCAATGAATTTTATTTCCTTGTAATTTACCACAGGTGCAAAATCCCGCCCGGTTTTGATCGTCAAAGTGAATTGTGAGTGTGTTTGACCCCGTCATGTTGAAATTGTTGGGAGAAGTCTGAACTACATAGATGCATTGACGTCGATCAAGAGCTGTCACAGAATGTCCAATTGCCTTTTGTGACCACGGCTTCATCAGCTCTTCGCACTTGGTGGAGTATTGTGAACCGCGACTTCTAATTTCTGCTCCTGTCTCCAACCTGTACTTATCGAATTTCTCCACCAATCGCCAATAGGTATGTTGCACAAGAGAAGCTATAGGAAGTGCACGAATACCTTTGAAAATACCATTGACGCTTTCTGCCATGTTGGATGTCAGGATAGACCAACGACGTCCACCATTGTAGTTATCATGTGCTAAACTCCAACGAATCTGATGTTGATCCACCCAGTTATCACATGAAATATTTCTATCAGCGGCCACCTTCTTAAATTGCTCAACTTGACGATCAAACTTCTCCAACCGTTTTTCTCCGGCTAACAAAATAAACCACCACACGGGTTAGATAAATTCATGACAAAATTACATGAAAACAAATAACAAAATTAAATGAAGAAAGCTTACCGACTCGAAATAGTTGATTATACATAATTTTGCTTTTAGTCTTCCTTTGCAAATTGCTTGCATAGTGTCGCATGCACCACCTCCACTCCCAACCTCTTCCGATGTTATTCATGGCTTCATAGAGTCCTGCATGTCTATCTGAGATGATGCATACATCATTTCGATAAGTCAAACCGTGAACGTTCCTCATGAACCATGGCCAACTCTCAGTATCCTCGCTCTCCACTATGGCAAATGCAATTGGAAAAATCTTCTTCCGGCCATCAAATGAGCTCGCCATGAGTAGCACTCCTTTATACTTCCCAGTAAGAAATGTTCCATAAAAAACCATGACGCCTGGACAATTCTTGAATCCATCTATACAAGGTCCATAAGCCCAGAATACTCGCTGAAATATTGAATGACCTGGTTGAGTCAAAGGAACTCTTACCCAATCAATCACCGATGTTGGCATTTTTCTCTTGACCACCCGCAAGAATGTTTGCAAAAAATCGTAGGATTCTTCCCAATTTCCATGCAACTTCTCCAATGCTCTTTGTTTCCCATACCAAGCCTTCTTGTAAGTAACTTGCATATTAAACTTATCTTTCAACTCGGCCTGAACAGTTAGAACACTCAGATTTGGTTGGGCACGTACCAAATGTTTGACGGCCTCAGATATCATGTCGACATGAAGATGGCGATGATCCGTCGGTTGAGTCGTACTGCTACAAGAATGCACCAACTCAGCCTTTCTCACAGTCCATTCGCCTCCAACATCTCGACATCCAAACCGCACCATCCAAGGACAATTGTCATCCTTGTGCCTCAAGCATCTTACCTTCCAGATTGAAGGTGACGACTCCACCACGCCATATTGAAAGTTGCGTTGTAGTGCGTGGTGTTTAATCGCCATCTGTGCAGCTTGTTTCGAGTGAAATATCTGCTCCTTGTAGAATTCTCCTTCAAAACTATCAACAATAGGCATTGGAATTACGTCATATGAATAAGCAAGTGATAATTCTTCGTCCTCTTCACTACCCTGCAAGTAAAAATATGGAGGATAATTAAGCTGCTTTCCTTACCCCTCTTCCTCCTCTCCGTCATCACCGTCATCATAGTCATGATCGGATGGCACGCTCCATGTATCATCTTCTTTCTCTCCACCTGATCCTCACTGAGCTCAACATGTATCTCAGCACCCAAACAATAAGGATTTTGTGCCATAAAATTCCAAAGCACATTCAAGCTATCATCATCCACAATAGGTATCGCATAATGAAATAAAACACTATTCTGCCATTATGGAAGACGGTAAGTGAAACCTGTGATCACATCACTATCTTTTACTGCTTCGTCTCTGCGCCGTATTCTCGGAATTAGATTCTCACAAAGTTTGTGCTATGTGACCCTGGATGGAACCGTCAACTGAAAACTACTACCACCAACGAATTCGACGCCCAAATTATCCTCTACTTTCTCCGATTTCCACCGAACGACTAGTTCAAATCTTCTAAAATCACTACAAAAAAACAAACTCACTAATTAAAACTAAACACAATCATAATAGCATTTGAATAATATAATTACAAAAATAAATGTGTCTCTTACCTATTAGCCATTTTTGCAGCAGCAACCAAAGCTCTCTCCTCTATTTTGGACGATTTTTTTTGTGGTGTGAATCTGAAACGAAATTGGCTGGGTTTTTATAAGGTGTGTGGTCAGCAATAAGCCAGCGGTGCCACCTCAGTCTCGGGCGCCACCGCCTGAGATGATTTCCCACCTACTCGCCTAAGTCTCAGGCGGTGCCGCTGTCAAATAAATAAAACGGTCCAAAAAACAAGCTAAAGCGGTAGTGCCTGAGTCTCAGGTGGTCTCGCCTATTATTTTCTCCAAAACACAATATTTGTGTCAATACTTTTTAATCGGCCATATTAATGATAAATTAAAAAAAAAAAACAATATTTGTGTCATTCTCCCCAACTCTTTGCCGGGGCTTGCTTAGAAGATACTTCAATCTTATTTGTCGAAGCTTAGCTGTGAGTAAGCAGTAGGTGAAATCTGAAAGAGGAAGCAGCAAGCATCTATTAGTGCATCTATTAGGGTTCTCCGCTCAGAGTTCAAACATTCAAGCGCCATTCCAATCGATTACCGCGTTCTGGGTGGAGCAATGGCGGATTCAATTTGCAGAACAATACGAGATGGGGCTTTAGAAGGAGAGCATGCACCATCTCTTACCATCAAAGACACAACAGCTTCTCCATACGGATTCGGCGTTTTCACTCATGTGCTCTCCCAAGCCTCGACCCTCATTTTAGCCGGAGAATCACAGTCACGGTCAGTACAACACAGTTCTAATGTTCAGTGCATTTGTTTCCCGGAAATAACTCTCTTTTTTCCTCTCCAATTTGACCTGCCGTTTACAGTTTACTTTAGTCCTCAGCTTCAGTGATTATTATTCGTTTGAGGTAAGTTTTGCTGCAGAGGATTGGTGGTGGTTGCATATTCGCGGAGTCCCTCGTTCTACCTGGATTTCTTGACAAGAAGTGGAGTTGATGTTGCTTCTTCTCAGAAATAGTACTGGATGTTTCTGTTTGTTTGTAGTTTTGGAACTTTCGAAAGGTCTGCATATGCGGCTGTGGACCTTCATATTGTTGATTGGTTGCAACAGGATTCATATTTTGGACTGTTATACGGACCCTCTTGGCTGGAAGCATCAGTTAGCGGACTCGGGGATTTTGCCAAGCAATTCTTCAGCCGGCGCTTGTTTGTTCCAGGATGTGAAGGATATCAACAAGTTGCAGTCTTTGATTCTTGAATTGGGTTCAGGTAAGGTCTAGCTTTAGCTCACCTCTAATTCTTGGCTCCAATTTTTGGGAAGCTAGTTTGTTCTTCTGGGGACGTTAGGTGTGTCTAACAGAAATGTTTATGATGGCATCTTTGCTCGTGTGTTCCCAGGATTGGTTGGTCAAGGCAAAGTTCGTTTTTCTGTTGCCATTGATTCGGTAATGTTTCAATTCTTTGTCCTTCAAGAAAGTCGATACTGGCTGAGTTTGCTTATGAGCATTCTTGGCACTGTTGTTTTTGTCTCCTTCTGTTTAGACTTCTTTATGGACTTTACGAGGGTTGAATACGGCAGTAAATGAACTATTGATGCATTTAGCTATTTGTTTTGAAGTTCTGGATTTTTGCACTTGGTGTCGAAAATTTTGTGCCAATTGCAATGACATTCCTATTTGTGAGGTAGCTAGGATATTTAGGGTCCAAGCATTGAATCATTTGGATGGCATCTTCCTACTGTACTGAATAAGGTCAAAGAACATGAATCATCTCAAGTTGTAAACTACAACACTTTGTGTCAAAATGAGAAGAGAAGCATGTTGTTTATTGACGGAACTTATGATGATTGCTTGATTAATCTCCCAGTAGTAATAGCTACTTGAGATGAAGCTAATTCTGATCCAAAGGGTAAAAGGCCAAATTGATAAATTTATTTAGAAGTGGCAGCTTGCGCATGGATTCGTCTTTAGTGCGTACTAGTTGAATTATGTGTATGCAACTTTGCTGAAGAATGCCTGATTTTGTTCCTGATTTAGCTTTCCTCTTTTCATATACCTGCTTGTTTTGTAATGGTTTCCTGTTGGTATTTTTATCAGGTAACTGAAATGCTGAGGCATGTACCTCTTTCTAAAGTAGCAGCGTTGATCAGTGACCTACGTAGTCATGGTACAGATTTATTACCTTCCTAGACCTTTTAATTATGAGTATTCTTTCATGCATCCCTTATTGTGCATGTTGGAATTCCATGTTAAATCTTGCTAAATGCATAGTAGTTGTATCTTTCTGACATCTGTGCCATAACTTCCCAATTTCATTCTCTCTACTTACTTTCGGGATCAGGAGGCAAAAAGCCTGCTCTCCCCGACTATTGTACTCTTTGGACATGCATAAAGTTAAGTGAGTGTCAGCTGATGGTATAGTAGCTGTGATTGTAATATCACTGTTGTTCTATGCTCGCAGATCAAATCTCTAGCATATTTTGGTTGCTGCATTCAGATATTCATGACGTTAGGGTGACTACTTCCCTTGAATATCTGTCCTCTATGGTAGCCAGTGTAGAGTCACTTAACCAATCTTCTGATGGGCTTAGTGGAGACTTGGGGAATTTATCCCTGTTGGAACAAAATTTCAGGAGAGGAAAGTTTCATGTCCGGTTCAAACGTCGAAATGGTCGTGTTCGTGTGATGGTACCTGCCCTTTCCTCCATCTCTTTCGCTTTCTTCTTAATTCAAAATTCTTGATCTACTTGCCTTATAGCTATCAATCTCCTTCGGAACATTAATGACTTAGTTTGATACTTGTTTTAGAACGAACAATTTCATATGGAGGAGTCGGGGATCAAGTTTACTTCTGTTACTGTAGAGGATGGATTAGTCAGTCAAGGGCTTGTGCCAAAGGTCAGTAGTCTCTGTATCATGATTTCCCTCCAGTGATTATTCGGACAGCCTTGTGTGCTTTACTCTGTGGGTTTTGGAGAGCAGGTGCTATTCAATCTGGAGCTGTCGGAGAAGGAGAAGCTCGAGAGAGCCAGAGTTGTCCTTCCTCTTGAGCACCAAGGTATTTGGATTTTGGAGTGTTATTTGTGACCCATTCTCCGGCGAGGTATTCAAGTATCTGAACGTGTACGTTGTTCCAGGAAATGGTAAACCTATCCAAATTTATGATGGCCGGAGATCTCTTGCACCTGAGAGCATGGGTGAGGTGTCAGCTGACACTTCACAAAGCAATACGGAAGAATGCAGTAATGGTGGTGGTGAGATAATATACTTTCGGGATTCAGATGATGATAGGCCTGATTCTGACGAGGACCCTGATGACGATCTTGATATATAATATTTTTATGAAATGAACTGATTGCCCCCCCCCCCCCCCCCCCCCCCCCCCCCCCCCCCCCATGTTTTGTATGGACAAGTCCATCTTGATATCTAATTACGGTGGCTAACAAAGAACTGCAGAAAGAAATCTGAGTTTGTATAGTGAAGGATAGGCAGTGAACTTATGGCTTTTGGTAGAAGAGAATGGAGAGGTTGTTGGTTCATGCTATCGAACTGGCTGGATGAGTTTTGATTGGAAAATGATGCGCGAGACCTCCGGGTGTAAATTCGAGCTAATCTCCCTGTTTGAGGTGATAAAGATTGCAGTAATTCACTAATTTGAGACAACATGCAAGCTGACATTATATTAGGCACCAAAGTGCAGTGCAATTAAGCAGCCAAGTCAAGTCAGTACCTTATCTACGTCTTGATTGTATTTGATTGTATCTTATTCTTCATATGTTTTGCCAGCTCTTTCCGTGAAACAGAATTCCCGGCAAGCTTCAATCATCTATTATTATATATATTTAGGACATTTGGCTAATTAATGATCACTTTATTATTGTTTATTGTTTCTTGGGGAAGGGGAAACCTATACTGGTTAAGGAAGGATTTCTTCTTAAGCTTTCTCTAGGGCATATCAGCCCGTTGATCCTTGAAAAAAAAGTTAGTCTCTCAGAGAGAGGCCATGAACCGCCACAAGAAAGCTAGAAAAAGCGACACAGCTGACAGGTTAAGTCATCTTCCAGAACCCATCATTCATCACATCCTTTCGTTTCTCGACACCAAATCCGCCGTCCAGACCTCTGTACTGTCGCGAGCATGGCGATGTGCTTGGAAGCATGCCCCCGTCGTCCACCTCCGCAGCACTTCCTTCCAAGAGTATCAGGATTTCCGGAGCTACGCGTCCCTCCGCTACAATCTCAACGTCCAGAAGCTGAGCTACATAGACTGCCACAGTAGTGATGATGATGAGAGACGAGAGGTTGGTCGTTTTTGTGGAGGTCGCCCAGTATGCTCTGTCCCATCATGCCCAACACTTGGTGATTGACCTCGACGATAAAGGCGGGGAATCAAGAAGACGGTTACGAGTTCTCCGACTTGTTTGGCTCCTCAGTTACGGACTCCCATCTCGAAACTCTGGACCTAGCGTTTGTCACTGTCCGTAGCAGTGGGCTTAGATCTTCTTCTTCTTCTGGTTTTCGCGCACTGACGACTCCATGTCTATTCCAGTGCATGCTGGTTAACGACGAGGAGGATGAGGAGGGCACGGATCTTTTCTCCAACTTCCCCTGCCTCGAGAAATTGACCCTGAATTACTGCCATATCCACGGATCTTGGGAGGGAGGGAGTTTCAAGATATCAGGAGCTCATTTGCTTAGCTTGAAAGTACGGGATAGCGTGTTTCCCAATATACCGATCTCTTGGACTGTTATGTTTTTGCATTATCAAAAAGCAACTTAAAGAGACTGGTTAGTGCGTAATTAGTAATTACAACCTGTTCAAACTCCTTTGTATTGTTGCAATTTGAAAGTCAATCACTAACTTATGAACAAGTTAGCTTATGTATTGAAGTTACTAACAAAAATAGTTTTGCATCAATATAGCTGGGTAAGTGTTGTTCGTTGAGCCTTGGGTCGAGACGAATCGAAGGGCTTGTGAGTCGAAGTTTGAGCTGATGGTGGAGCGATGGGTTGGATGTCGACGAAGATGGTGAAACCAGCAAGGGAGTAAGGGTGCTCTAAAAGAGCGCAAGAAGAGAGCTAGCTATTTGGAATTAGTGGAGACGAAAGAAGACATTGTGAGAGTTGGTGGAGACTGGAGAGCGACTCTATTAAATTCACAAAATATATAATCGACATAGCACTAATATCGTTTTAGTGATAAAAAAATATAGTTGCTTTTTATAGAAACGTGATTCAGAGAATGGATACATTTGCATGATTTTACTTTTAGCTTTCATAATTTATGTGCTCTAATTTCAGCATGAAATCGTGTTCGTTTGTAATTATTTTTTAACTTAAATTTTTTACATTTTTCTATTATAAAATAGAACAGACCAACGCAATGACCACGAATTTAGGGTTCCAGATTCTAACAGCTCCGTCCCTGGTGGCTGCCCTCGCTCCGTCGCTCGCCACTCCCACTAGCCTTCCCTTCCACTGTCCGCACCAGCATCCTCGCTCCGCTTCTAGCCGCCGGCCCGGTAGCCACCTCATTCGCCCCCGGCCACTAGTCAGTTGCCTCCGGTGAAACTTCCTGTGCTCCCATCTCATCCTATCATTCGTTTCCCATCGCCGGTCCACGTTGCAGGTCCAGTTCCCCAGGTTGCAGTTGCTGCTCTATCTTTCTCTCTCTGCATTCCCCTCCGAACGAAATGGTTAGCGTTACTGAAACCGGAAAGAGTAAGTTATCTATAGAACAAGCTCGCTTATCTGATTGATGTGATGAATTTCTGGAACTGAAATTCGCAGCCTCCCTAATTCTAGAGCTGATCATTGGCCTCGGCATTCTGTTTGTTAGATTAAGGTGGTTGAATTGTAGGGTAGTCAGTCCACTGCTAATTTTGAGTTGGGATCAGTTTCCATTTCATGTGGTTTAGTTAGCACTTAGCACTACTGATTTGGGTGGCTAACTAGAATCAAAATCTTAGTTGTTGAGACTTAGCTATGAGTAAGCAGTAGGTGAAATCTGAAAGGGGAAACATCAAGCATCTACTAGCTCATCTAGCTTGGTAGAGCGTAAACATCCATTAAATTCAGAGTCTTCGATCATGGTTGATCTTGCTGCTGCATGAACTGTCCATTTATGTTCTTGTTGTAGTATATTGGTTAATAGACGGACTAACACAGATATATTGTGATGTTGGTAGCAAAGGGAATGCTTGAATTTTCTGAAGATATAATAATTGGGGAATATGAGGGAATTAAACTCCGCAAGGCAACGGTGAATTACATTGAGCCTGGGTGTAGATGCGAATTTGGGAGGCGCATTGTGCGATCGGTTACTGGATCTCAAGCTATTGCATCTGAAATGGTGGCATTTCAGAGGGCACGGGACTTCCGGAATAGCTATGTTTTGCTCAGTGTTGCCGCCCTTCCGGTGGGGGATACCACTCACTTTCTATACGGGCACTTTCACATGGATCTGCAACAGTATGTCGAGGAAATTGGAGAAATCTTTGATTCTAATGGAGTTATGAACCTAGAGTTCCTTCTTGTCATGAGGTACCTGTAATAACTTCTATTCAAATTATCTTATATCAAGGAATTTGGGTGATTTTGAAATGGTGATATATTGTGAACCTGGAATCCGTCCATTACTTACTGGTTCATTGTGATTTTGCATTACTGGTCATTTTCTGCCCCTATCTGCAGCTTTCTCGTGGTACAAAATATAATTAAGCATTCGTGAAAGTGCTTGTTGTGAGCGTTTTTTTTTTTTTACGTGTAGCTGGTACTCTGCCTAATCTCTTCTTTGAAACTGAGATATTGCCATTTTGGTTGTCTCCTTGAATTTCCCTTGATTCCTTGGGTTATATATTCATATGTTCTTCGCCTTTTCTTTGTCATTTGATTTTAGTATGGGTTTCCGCTTAAGTGCCCAGAGCTTGATATTGATTTTCTTTTATGTAAGCATGTAAATAATATCATGATTCCTGTGCATTTTAGTTATGTATGATTTTGATACTTGGTTTCTCATTTACCTTTTCTTATTTGAAGGAAAACGTTCCATGCATTGCATGGAGTACATATTGAATACAACCAAAACCACAACAATCTTAAGTGGGATGGAAGCAGAAGGCACCCTTTAAACATTGTGGTTCTCAAATATAAGGTTCAAGGAGTAACTAATGTTGATGTACGGTTGACGGGGCTTGGAGATCGAGAAAAGGATTCAAGTGAGTTCAGAACCCAAGATTGTCAAGACTTAGCTGATATACTTTCTACTCTAGTTCAGAAGTATTCGGCAGATAATGCTACTCTGCCCTTTTGGTTCGAGGCATTGATGAGGCATCTGAGGTTAGTTTTACTATTTACCATAGATCAGCTATGTATTTATAGTTTCATCAACCATGTGGTCAATTGGTTAAGTAGCATCACCTCTTTCATGGAGGTTGATGGTTCAGTTCTCCGCACCCTTCACCATTATCGAAAATGCGGCAAGTAAATCTAAGTATTTGTAGGATCGTGCTCTGCAAAAGTAGATTTGACTTTGAAGCTTACTTCTTTTGCGTCAGTACTTGCTGGCTTCACATGGTTATTATTTCAGTGACGAATTTGTCTTTTTTGCTTCGAACTTGTCTTCCTTTCATGTACGTATCGTCGCTCTATGTATTTGATCCATTTCTTATATAGCGTTGATACTACAATTAAAATTTTCAGGACTGTGGGCTGTCAGAATTTGCACAGTTCTCTCTTTTTTTATGGAGAGGATGTGCAATTGCAATATTTACATCAGGCCTTTTCAGAGGTGCGAAGGAGGGAGCTGCTCAAGGAGTTTGACAAAGAGATGTTGGATCTTATGTGTAAAACCTCTAAGCAAGGTAGCTGGAATCCTAAGGAACACATCATGAGCCATCCAAACTTCTCCTATATCTTCCAACTTCATCACGGAGCAATACCTTACACAAGCATCGCGTCGTGTTTCTTACAACACTGTAATAATATATACATGGGTGACATGGTCCCTGTCCTTCCTTGGAGCCCTGTAAGTAAAACTATCACTCCTTTACTGCTTTGCTAATCCGAGAACGGATTACCATCTCGAAATATCGGACAATGGTTTGCATTATTCATGATGAGTTTATAAACACTATCCACAAAATTTGTCTTTGCAGTTAGAGGAGCTTTCGGTTGTTCCATCTAGTGAAGAGTATAAGATGTTGCACTCAATGTGGCCTGAGTTTTTCTATCTCTTACCCCAGACCTTAGCCAAATTGGACATCTCCACGTCTGGGTAAGTAGTTTTAACTCATCTCATCTCATGTAATGATTGCATTTTCAATTACGTGTTATGATTCATTAAGAATGCTATTCATCAAATTTATACAGGTTTATATTCATGGGACCCATTGGAGCAGATGCGATCTCCGTTCCTTATTGAGGTTCCTTGCTTATACAGCTTCTTAAGCTTAATGGAGCTATAGGTGGAGTAACGCTTTGGCAAATGTTTAGTTGTGTATGATGATTAGAGTACAACTGAATGGGATCCTAACGGTGAGATTGAACGTGCAAATTTTTCGGTAGCTAACAAAGAACTGTAGAAATTCGGGTTTGCACGGTCATGTATATACTGCGAATGTATGCTTTTGGTAGTAACAGATTGTCGGTTCGTGCTATTTAGATAGCATGATGAGTTTTGATTGGGAAATTATATGCAAGACTCCAGGTCTAATTCGAGATGATCTCATTTTTAGGTGATTAAGAATCCATCAGTTTGGGATTACATGTAAACTCGTTATATCAGTTAACCACAAGTGCAGTGCCAATGAACATACTACTGCAAATTGCGAATGTCAGATTACATCCAACCAAACCACTTTCTTTCGAAAGAAAACATATGATAGTAGTCACTACAACAACAGTTTTGTCTGCAGAAAACCAAACGCAAATGGCGATATGAGAAGAGTTTTCGTCGGTCAAACATTTTTGAAACTGTGATACAAAACAAAACAAAAAAAGATACGGGTACAAAATATGCTATATTTTTATTTTTTTCACAGCGTGAGTGTTTTGTTAATTAATTTATGGGACGCATAGCTTCTGAAACCCTAACCGTTTGTCCTGTCCTTTTGTTTTTTGTGACGACATAATAATAATAATCTCCTCAAAAAGTCAAAAGATCTCACCATTTGCACTGATATCACAATTAGTGGCCACCACACGGTTTCCTCAGCTAAAAATAAAAGAAATATTTTTTTTTTATTTCTGAGTGATATCAATGGAGGATAAGAGTTAAACTTACAATTCTATTCAAGATCCCTAAAAGACTTTAAAAGAAGTCACACAAAAAAAAAAAATCAAAAGATTCTAGCTCTAGACGAGACAAAAACAGTGCTTTACACGCCACTCTATGGGTAACACTGTTGGTGGACTAAGATACCGCCCTAAACTCTATACAAACACCGGATCTGACGAGACAAAGAGCTTATGATCTGATGACACTCTCGTAACACCGGACCACATATGACAAAATGAAAATGTATTTTCTTCTTATAATCATCCCATCTTTTAACTATCAATTTAAAACCAAATTGAAATCCAAACAGGAAAACAAACACTAAATGGTTGCTCAACCGTGCGCTTATTTCCTCGAGTAATATTATTTTGTAACTAATGGAAAAGCATCTACCGGCTTTTATGACCTTTTTTAGTACTTAATTAATTTATGGAACGCAAGCTTCCAAATCACTAAACGGCAAACAAAACGCTTGTTCTATCTTAATTTGTTTCATGCCAACGGTAGTATGGACGAGAAAGGAAATGAACAAATAGAGAGAAATAAACAAATAATGTTCTGTTGACTTCGTTGCGGTGCATGCATGGGCTTTTTATTTTACCATACCTGGCTGTTTCTTTCGAGAGCTCAAAAGCTAATTAATTTGGCTAGTTTAAAATATTAAGGCATTTTTAGAGCATGATATTTCTAGCTAGCATTTTTTTTCTATTTTTCGTTTATATTCTTTTAAGAAAAATTCAGTTTCAATAATTTCTTCTGCAACTTATTTTCACACTTCAAAGTTACTAGAAATTTAAAAACTCGACACTTGACGAATAACTTAATTAGCATCTAATAATAAAATCAGATCTATTTCACACCCTCTAGTAAGAAAAAACGGAACAAAAAACATGCGTTTACTTCTTCTCACATGCGACGATGGAAGGTTAGGTTAGAAACAGGTGGACAAAAGGAACAAAAAGGATTGTTTAATTAGGTTAGACACCGGCCGGGGGCGAGCGTTTGTTCTTAATTAGACAAAACCAAAACCGATAACACAAAATATCAAATTCTCCGTTGACTAATAAGTTCCTCTAGAAATAGGATGAATTGCATGGAATATTCTTTTAGTACGATCTGGCTTTAATTTCCGACGTTAAAGAGGAACGAAGCTTGAATTTGCACAATTTTTTTTTAATCGCACTAAAATTATTAACAATTGTTTTTATTTAAGCATTTCAAAAACTTGTTGGGTACAAATTTAGAATTCATCTAACTACCATTTTCAGAAAAATCTATATATGAAAATGCATCAACTTAATATAATCCTGAATTATATGAAAATGCATATATCTTTACAATTATGCAATCAAAAAGACCCACACAAGAACCAAATCTCCATTACTAACCATAAGTATTATGCGACCTTTGCGTCTAAAATGATAGGAACAAAAAATAGTCATTCGCAAGAGAGGCGACAAATAAATGAGGAATTTGATGCAAAGTTAGGCGACTTTTACGCCTTACTTGCACCTCAATCGCTATAAATGAAAGCTTATTAAATTAGATGGACAAATTTGATGTGATGCAAAGAAAATGAGGAATTTTGAGAAAAGACATAGTCGATAAAACAATTTGTCTTAATAACCAAAAAAATAAAACAAAATCAAAGGATTACCTTGGAATTTAAATTCAATCATTCTTCTTTTCACGGATCTGATATGTGCCTTATGGCTCCACAATCCATGAGTGACATAGTCAACAGCTTGGTGCATAGATAAATCTTCAATTATCATGTCCGACTACCCACAATACCAAAGAAAGCAACTTTACAATAGATTATTGAATCCTTACCTTACCAGCATAAATAAACAAACATATACCCATCACGCACCAGCACTTATTACGCCCCACTGAGCTTCAGGATTCCTTCCGGGTACCTTCATCTTCTCTTCTCACCACAATAAATTTCTGGTTTCCCGAAACCCAGAAGAGTAGCTACCCCTTTTGCTCAGCGTACCCCAGAAGGCCAGAACAAGATGAAAACGAGAAGTGGAGATGGAAATGTCGTGGCAGTTACTGGAGCTTCAGGTTTCATAGCTTCATGGCTGGTCAAGCTCTTGCTTCAACAAGGCTACACCGTCAAAGCCTCTGTTCGTGACCCAAGTCAGACTCTCTCTGTCATACTCTGTTTTTCCTTCCTTCTTTCATTTCCTCTGCTTCTGACTCTGAGTCGACTCCTCTGTTTTCCGCCTGCGAAACAAAAGCCGACCAGAGGAAGACATCCCATTTATTTGGACTTCCTGGAGCCAAGGAAAGGCTGGAACTTTTCAAAGCAGATTTACTGGATGATGGGTCTTTCGATTCCGTCGTTCAAGGTTGCTCCGGAGTCTTCCACACCGCTTCTCCCGTTTCCTTCACCGCCGCTGATCCCCAGGTCTTTCCCTCTTTTTGCAGAGAATTACAGTGTTTGCTTGCATTTCCTCTCTGTTTTCAACGTCACTCTGTTTCTTTCTGAAGGCAGAGATAATTGATCCTGCGGTGAAAGGAACCCTCAATGTTCTGAAATCATGTGCCAAGTCTGCCTCTGTGAAGAGAGTTATCGTGACCTCCTCTGCTGCAGCGCTTTTCTTCACCGGGAAGCCAATGAGCCGAGATTCAGTGGTTGACGAGACTTGGTTCTCCGATCCAATGATTTGTCAGGAACGCAAGGTGGGTAGGGATGTGCAACGTTTCGGTCCGGTCCAGCGGGGCATCAAATAACAAGACAACAATTTTGAGGTGGTTGGTTCGAATTTGAACAACTCTAGCTAACACAAGGATTTGTTTGTTTGTTGTTGTTTTTTGCAGCTTTGGTATCAACTTGGCAAGACTTTGGCTGAGATAGCTGGCCGAGAATTTGCTAATGAGAATGGGATTGATTTGGTGACAATCCATCCTGGTCTTGTATGTGGACCATTTTTACACCCCACTCTTTGCTTCTCAGTGGAGGTTATTCTCAACCTGGTAAACGGTAAGAACAAACTTGATCATATTTCATGAGCTTAGAGAGCAGTTGTACTCTATATAACTTTACCTCGTAGCAATAATAATGTGACTTAACACAAAATTTACATACTGGTTCATGGTTGTGTATAACTTGTGTGTGTTCAGGAAACAAGACTTACCCCAAGATGCATTATTGGTCAGTTGATGTTAGAGATGTTGCTGAAGCTCACATAAGAGCCTTTGAGATTCCATCAGCTTATGATAGATACTGCTTAGTTGGGAGTGGTGTCAGTCTCTCTGAAGTTTTGGAGATTCTTCATAAACTCTACCCAACATTGCCTCTTGCTGACATGTAAGTTGATTAACATCGTTGGATAGAGAACTACTAACAAACACTGCTAAGTGCTAACGTCGGTCCTATTAACATGTTAGCAAAATCTTTTCTCCACGAATGCAGGTAGCTTAGATGATGCAAATTCTGTGTATGATTGATGCGTGTTGTTTGTGGTAACAGATGTGATGAAATGGATATTCTGAAACTGCCTGAATTTGAGATATCAAAGGAGAAGGCAGAGCAAGGTTTGGGGATGAAGTTCATCCCACTAGAGGAGTCTCTTAAGGACACAATTGATTGCTTGAAGGATAAGGGTTTCCTTCAATTCTGATCCAGAAGACATTGCCTTCCATTAATGGGGTGGAAAAAAAATTTCATTTGTTTTTATGCAAGTTGCTACTACTTCTAGCAACTTACAACATTTAAGTTACATCTTTTCATCTAATTATGTATTTTTGATATGGCTGATAATTGATATATACAATAATTTGGTTTAGAATCTACCATGTATTTAGTCTCTTTTTTTTTTTTTTGTAATTAGGTCGAAAGTTCGTGATTTGCACGGGTGTTCAATTCTTATTTTGTAAAAATGAAACAGTATAACATAATATTAGGATGTGTTCAACCACATATAATAACATGTTGGAGCCACTAAGTATAACTAACATTAAAATATTACGCTTCTAAGCTATGAGCGTATGAGAGTAAATTGGACTCGATGGCTTGTTATGCCTCTTATTCGAAAACATGACTCTATTCAAAACTCACAATGATTGTTCATCGATAAGGATTAAAAAATGAAAAATGGATTATTGAAGCACATGTGATTGATATACGCATGATCAACGGACCTCTAGTTGAATAGTCGAAAAACTCACAAATATTATCAATCTATAAGAATTCAAAAATGGAAACTCATCATCTATAACAAAGAGCTCATAGAGAAGTGCAAATAACTATCCTCTATAACATTTACACAATGTGTTTGTAATTTACATAACGGTTTTTGGATAAGGATGACATATGTTGTTTTTTATAGTTAGGTTGATTAACCTAACTGTTATAGAATGTTATTATACAAATCTTCTATAATATGTGGTCTAATAATAAAATTAGAAAATATATCACATTTGCTTAAAATGCTATATAAAAATATACAAAATCTTAGAGTAGTGCAAATAACAAAGAGCTCATGGAGAAGTGCAAATAACTATCCTCTATAACATTTACATAATGTGTTTAATTTACGTAACTTTTTTTAGCTAAGAGTGACATATGTTGATTTTTATAGTTAGGTTGGTTGACGTGACTATTATAGAATGTTATTACATAAATCTCTCACAATATGTGGTTTAATAATAAATTAGAAAGTATCACATTTGATTAAAATGTTATATGAAAATTTAAAAAACCTTAAAGTAGTGCAAATAACAAAGAGCACATAATATATTGAAAATAACAATTAGCTTATGGCGAAATTGGGTACATGGGATAAAATCCCTTAGCGAATAGTGCATTCCGCTATAAAAAAAATGCCCTTTGTTTTCATAACAATAGAAAGTAACTCAACTACAATAATAAACAATGGCTATTTTCCAAAAAAATGGGATTGTGGAGATGTTGTCGTATGCAACGATGAATTAGCCTTTGGTTTACTTGAGCTTTTAATTAACTAACTAATTTTTTTTTTTTTACTCATTCGCAAAACAATCTCGAATATGGCTATGCAACCTACGTTAATCCAATTCACATGAAATGGCAGTTTGATATGACCCAAAACTATATTCCATAAGATATAGTGATGGCAATTTCAACCCGTCTTGCGGGTATTATCCGACCTGACCCGTGATGGGACGGGTATTACTTGACCCGCAGTAGCGTGGGGCGGGGCATGGGTATCTACTTTCGACCTGTCCTGTCCCGCACCGCCCTGTTCTAGACTCATTTTATCTCAATTTCTTACAATATCTATACATATTTCTCCTATTTTGACTTTTCTTCAACTAGTTAGAGTCGATTTTTCAACTTGTTAGGCTCAATTATCCATGTAATTATCAATATTTTTCATTCTTAAAGTGATTTTCCCTACGTTTTATTGTAAAAAGTAATATTTACTTGTTTTTTTTTTTTAACAACATGTAAGAGTGGGTCGACCAGCCCCGCCCCGTACCCGTGCGGGTTTTACCCGCCCCGACCCATAATAGCGTGGGGCGGGGCATGGGAATTGAGATAACCGCCCCGCCCCGCCCCATTGCCATCACTAGATACCCACTCAGCTCTGATGACCCGGCCCAAACTTTGATCGGTTTATCAATGTTGCTTCTGACCTTCTGTAATGGTGGCCCGAACCGCCGGCGGATCACCACTTTCTCATCTGTCCATTTGGATATGCGAAAGTGTATTGAGGCCACAAATGTCGAATTTTACCCTATATCATCATCTTCATCATCTACCACGTTGCTTCCCTCCGGCCTCCGCTCCGCGGCTTTCAGTATTCCCCTGTTAGCTCCCCTGTATTTTCTCGGTACAAATATTCTGTTTCCAAGAGGGAAAAAGGGAAGCGGGGCTCGATAGAAACGAGGTTTGGAGATCATGAGTGGGAAAGCGGTGGTGGCAGTTACAGGGGCTTCAGGTTTCATAGCATCATGGCTTGTCAAGCTTTTACTTCACCGTGGATACACAGTCAAAGCTTCTGTTCGTGACCCATGTCAGAATCTCTCTTGTACTCTGTTTTCTTTCTTTCCTTCTTTTCCCATGTTCTTTCACTCTGACTTGACTTGACTCCTCTGTATTTGGGCGAAACCGCAAAAGACGATGAAAAGAAGACAGCCCACTTACTTGGGTTGGACGGAGCCAAGGAAAGGTTGCAACTTTTCAAAGCAGAGCTGCTGGAAGAAGGGTCTTTCGACTCCGCCGTTGAAGGATGCTCCGGAGTTTTCCACACTGCTTCCCCTGTTTTCTTCTCGGCCGCTGATCCCCAGGCAGAAATAATCGATCCTGCGGTGAAAGGAACCCTCAATGTTCTCAAATCATGTGCTAAATCTCCTTCTGTAAAGAGAGTGATCGTAACCTCCTCCACCGCATCAATTTTATACACAGGGAAACTTGTAAACAAAGATTCAGTTGCGGATGAGACTTGGTTCTCCGATCCAGAACACTGCAAGGACCTTAAGGTCGCCATAACCAATATGATCGTTTAGAGCTATTTTTACTGTGAGTAGAGTTGTCAATATTCTCCTTTCTTACAGATTTGGTACCAACTTAGCAAGACATTAGCGGAGATTGCTGCATGGGACTTCGCAAAGGAGAATGGGGTGGATATGGTAACAATACATCCTGGCCTTGTAATTGGTCCCTTTTTACAGCCCAGTCTTTGCTTCTCAGTTGAGGTCATTCTCAACCTTGTTAATGGTAAGACAAGAAAGAGAAGAAGGAAACTGTTCTAACCCTTTTGATTAACCACCCCCGTTCTTCAAAGGTGTGATTAGTGATTGATTTTTTTGTAGGGAATAAGAGCAGCCGGTTGTCCCATTTTTTGGTGGTTGATGTTAGAGATGTTGCAGAAGCTCATCTCAAAGCTTTTGAGACTCCATCAGCTTCTGGTAGATACTGCTTAGTTGAAAGCAGTGTGCCATTGTCTCAAGTTTTGGAGATTCTTCATAAGCTCTACCCAACATTGCCTCTTGCTGACAAGTACTTGCTAGGCCCTTTCCTTCCTTTGTGTTGTTCTGTGTTAAGTTCAAATGTTCAATAATAGTTTTTGCCAACATAACCCTGGGTTTGTTTCATTTTACTTTGTGGCAGCAGATGTGGAGAAGTGGATATTATGAACTTGCCTGGATTTGGGGTATCAAAGGAGAAAGCAGAAGGGTTGGGGATCAAGTTCATCCCGCTGGAGGAGTCGCTTAAGGACACCGTTGAATGCTTGAAGGAGAAAGAATTCCTTCATTTCTGATTCAGACTTTGCTGTCTATTGGTTAAAAAGTTTCATAATGTTAGCTTCCGACTTACATTTGGCGATCATCTTTGTACTTTGTACTACTTTTATAATTAAAGGTGGTAATTCAAATATTTGTCTCAGTCGAGACGGAACTCGATCTAAATCCCATTTTTTAAATGTCGCGTGTATTGGCATTATTCAATGTAATAATAACTTGCGAGTGTTTATTAATACATTAGTATATACTAATAATTAGATTCGTTTGATTCGTAATTGCTAATGATCTTATCCAAAATCAAACCAATTTATGAATTGATAGTGTATTTTACCGGTACGTATATTTGTGAACTCACTAGTTATTGTGACCTAACTCATTACGATCTAACTTATCATGACTAGACTTATTGACATTCGACCCATTATATGGTTTCTCTAGCCTCTTTGGTTGCCAATGCAACCCCTTCACTCAATAGGGCAGTGCACTGTAGTGCTTATGGGACTCGACTGTTCTTCATTCATTCGCCGTTACTGGATAGTCACTTTTTTCACTCAAACATTCCCTCCATTCATGACTAATTATTTCTTATATATCGATTAAACGAGCTTATCATGCAAGTCTTCCTTAGTATAAGATTGACTGAAAACTCCCTTGTTATTAACTAATAACAAGATAATCTCTTTACATTACACAAAGGTTTTGCAAAGTAAATTATTTTTTACATAACAATTTAATCAGTTGTGATATTTTTTGTAACGTATTTCATTTATTATTAATCAATATTCCTAATTATTAACTCAAATCTTCACCGCGTCATCATTTGCATAATGCAAAGGTTCTGTATGTAACTTTGGCAATCATGTTTGCTATAACTCTACCTAAATTCAACTCACTAAAATATGGACCGCAAACACGTTACACATGCCTACATTGATTTGTTAGTGCCTATGCCTTGTCTCGCTTGATCCAAAACTCGTTTATTAATATCTGAATTCTTTTGATTCGTAATCAGTATTGTTTTAATCCAAAACTGACTAGTTATCGACTGTTAGTGTTTTACCATCATTCTCGTGATTTGCTAATCATCATGATTCAACTTATCGTGACTCTACCTGCCCCATTATAGGGCTCCTGTAGCCCCTTGGTTACCAATGCAAAACCCTCATCCTAATTTGGGCAATGTGAATGAGATAATCCTTCACTCAACCGTTCTTCACGCTTTCCTTCGTTATTAACAAGTAATGAATTTGATTAATAATTACATATTGTGTGTTCCGTAATCTATAGGTTTTAGCATACACTTACTTATAAATTATCAGTGCTTTCATCCAATGATTTTAGATACAACACACATAATCCAACAACATAAGGAACAAACGTTTTTAATTTTACAACACAAATTATCATAACTTATGCAAAAAATTACTTTGTGAGAGGAAGATGAACCTTGACCTCTAGATAGCCACTAAAAGTGAGGACGAATGATCTATGAGGCGGCTCACTATTCGGTTCCACCGAGGACTGCTGCTGAAAGGCGAAGGTGCTTATCGCAAAAACAAAAGTTTTTTTTTTGAAGTGTTAGCTAGTGACTCGAAAGCGGCTAGGGTTTTCTTCAGTTATAGAGCGGAACAGAGGAGAGGCGGCATGCCTGAGATAGTGAGGTTTTAAGGACGGAAATCACAAGCAACAGCGTGAGGATTGTCATGGATGTTGTCGCTTGGTCCTGCAAACTTTGTACAAAACTAGTATGTATCATTGAAATCCATTTTTGACAAAAGAACTTGCACATGAACAAAAAAAATTACATAGAAGTTGTTGACGTATAATTTGTATACATTTTTTTTTGTTGAGAAATTTTTAACAGAGAAATTCCTCACATAACATTTTTGTATAGAGAACTTTCGAATTTGTTGCGAGGATAGAAAATTATTTCCACATCAAAGGGTACTTGAGAAAAAACATGTTTTGCTAGCCTCGTACCACATGAATGGAGATGCAAGTCAGTGGGTTCAGTGGCTCGAATACGAGTTCGAGAATACAAGATGGTGATGTCATGGGACAGGTTTGAAGTTTAGTTTTGGAGAAATGATGCGTATTATAATTTCGTCATTATTATTATTATTTTGTAGAAGAATGACGCGTGTATATTTACTAGCATCACCATGACTTGATACATCCAACATATAATAATCATTGTTATAAAAACCTTATCGGATCAATGGCAGGGGCAGTAGAATCACTAAACCAGTTACAATAATGGTTCGGTTCTTTTGATTGGAAGGCTAGAGATGAACCAAATGGTTTTTGAAGGTTTGACATGAAACCAAATGAACCATCCCGGTTTAACTGGTTCACTAATTCACTATTTTAACCACAAACATTAAGGAAAAGGACTTTAACGTAAACTAAGATCATCCAACCTCAATCACTAATTTTATTTATACTTCCTTTTCTTCATTTCTCGGTCTCATTGTTAGCTTTCTCTCGTCCATTATGGATTGTCACCCTCATTACTAACTAAAATTTCATAAGAGAAAATTTATGATTTATTTTGTGAGATAGTTTGAATACTTTGTTAAAACATTTATGCGATAGATGATATGGATTTGCATTGTTTATGATTAGTGATAAATTCACTACTATTAACGATATATGTCTTTTATGTTATAGCGCATGAACGACTCTATCAACGGTTAATAAACGATTCTATAACGTTGAACCATCAACCATTAACTTTATTGATTCAACATTCGGCCCAGTTCTGAAAACATCGACAATAACTAGTTAGGCTAACTGACACAATTACCAATTAGTACCTATACTAGCTATTACAACTCGAATACTTTAGTCCTATACTGATATCAAATAATCCGATACTTTTTTTTTCTTTTGAATAAGGGTGATTGGTTTGTTTTTTTAGTTACTATTTAGAGAATTCGAACTTGTACCTCCCAATCTAAAACTTGGGATAATATCCTTGTTACTCAATTAGCCCAAAACACTTACCGTTGTTAAACTAATCCAATATGATTATTCGCTCTACCAGTGATGCAGATTAGTATTAATATATGTTAATATATAAATTAATAACATGTGAGTTACTATTCATTAGTGACTCTCACACTCCTCCGAGAGCAAGTGGAGAAGTTCCAAACCTTTCTTTTACCTCACTCTTCATTCTACAACCTTTGTGTTTAGTTTTTGTTCGCTAGGTTTTTCGTCTATGGCTTTTTCCACAAATTATCGCCTTTGTGTTTTATTATTGTTCGTTAGGTTTTGTCTATAACTTTTTTCACAAATCATCGCCTTTGTGTTTGTTATTGTTAGCTAGGTTTTCTTCTATGCCTTTTTGCACAAATGATCGCATTTGCTCATCATTTTGCAACTCATCTCGAAATAATGTCTGCGGAATCCTAAATTGTTCCCCACCACAGTTTCCCAAGGCTGCTACCATGAGTTTTGTATCGGGACCGAGTTTCATCCTGTTTAGTGTTTTTTACTTTCCTTTTCCCCTTTTTTGTTGAGCATGATCACAATTGAGCCCACACACATGTGTATCCTAACTTGATACAAATCATCGACTTTGCCCACCATTCTGCAACCCATCTCGAAATACTATCGGCGAAATCCTAAGTTGTTCCCCACCATCGTTTCATAAGGTCGCTACCACGAGTTTTATATCGGGACCGACCGACCGAGTTTCATCCTCTTTATTGTTTTTTTCTTTCTCTTTTTCCTTTTTGTTGAGTACGATCACAATTGAACCCAATGTCGCTACCGAAAATCCATACAATATCTACTCAATGTTGGCGACTTTTATATCGGGACGGATTTTCGTTCCGTTTGGTATTTTTTATTTCACTTTTTCCTTTTTGTTGGGGTCATGAGCGAGTATTATCCGCTTTAGTATTTTTTTTTATACTTTTCATTTTGGTTGAGAATGACAATTGAGTCCAAACGCATGGGTATACAACCTAATTCAACCCGACCAAAGCGATTTGAACCCATCTTACAGGTTTTCGCTGGGAGCGAGTTTTATCTGTTTTTGTAATTGGTGTGTTGTGTCAGGTGTGAATTTATCCAAAACTCAGTCCAACCAGGTCAAAGCGAGTTGAACCTGTTGTTGACGAGTTTTGAGTCGATAGTAAGTTTTAGATTGAGTGTTTTTTATTTTGTTTTTTCCTTTTGTTTGAGAAAGACAATTGAACCCAAATCCATCGGTATCCAACCTAATTTGAAAAGATCTAGAGAATAACAAAACTATAAAAAGAATGATTAAGAATGAAATAAAATTACTTTCACTTTTTAGTTAACATTAAAATTATTACTCTTTAAAATATTTATTTTTTTTTATACGCGGAACAATAGCGAACCAGTTTTTGCTATTTATGATAAAAGGGAACATATGATATCTGACGACTGACATGGGAAGTAGTGATCTTCCACAAGACGTTAGTTATTATTTTATGACCATGATTGTCATTAGAGAAGGCAATAGCCCTTCAAAAGAAAATCAGAATGAATCTCGTGGGAGAGTTATTTTATTATATCCTCCTTGGACTTTCATTCGATTTTCACAACCAAATTCATGTGCCTTATCCCAGACGACCAGCAAAGTAGACAACAGAGCAGCCGCAGTGGAAAATTTTGGCGCCATGGAAACTTTGTTATATCCGCTCCTTTCAGATGGAATCCCCTTACAAATTCATTTCAGTTGCAGAGGGGGGGAAATAGGAAGAGGATCCATCGATCATGAGTGAAGAAGGGACGGTATGTGTGACAGGGGCTACAGGGTTCATAGCTTCATGGCTGGTCAAGCTTTTGCTTCACCGCGGCTACACCGTCAAAGCTTCTGTTCGTGACCCAAGTCAGAATCTCTCTCTCTCGCTCTTTCATACTCTGTTTTTCTTTCTTCCTCTGTTTTCCTCATATATTTTATGGTAAGAAATCAGGCGACAAGAAGAAGACGGCCCATTTACTTGGACTTGAGGGAGCAGCGGAAAGGCTCCAGCTCTTCAAAGCAGACCTGCTGGAAGAAGGCTCTTTTGATTCCGCCATGGAAGGGTGTGTTGCAGTTTTCCACACGGCTTCCCCTGTTTTCTTCTCTGCCGCTGACCCCCAGGCAGAGATAATTGATCCTGCGGTGAAAGGAACCCTCAACGTTCTGAAATCATGTGCAAATTCTCCTTCTGTAAAGAGAGTGATCGTAACTTCCTCTGTCGCATCGATTTTCTACACAGGGAAACCGGTAAGCCCAGATTCAGTGGCTGATGAGACTTGGTTCTCCGATCCAGATCACTGCAAGGAACTTAAGGTAAAGCATCTCATATGGTTCCATATGAAATTTATGTTCTTATTCACCTTACTCAACCAATATTTACGTAGTATATACTCCGCGTGTATAATTTATTTTCACTCAATTTGTCTTCAAGGTTTGGTACCAACTTAGCAAGACCTTGGCTGAGATAGCTGCGTGGAATTTTGCAAAGGAGAATGGAATCGACATGGTGACTATACATCCTGGTTTTGTAATTGGTCCCTTCTTACAGCCCACTCTCTGCTCTTCAGTGAGCATGATTCTCAACCTGGTTAATGGTAAGAAGTATACTTACTGCTATTCCCAACACTTCTAACAAAGTAACAAGTGTGGTTACTAAGTTCTTGTTCTGTGTAAGTCGGTGCAGGAAACCAGACTTACCCAAACTTCCATTACTGGGTGGTTGATGTTAGAGATGTTGCAGAAGCTCATATCAAAGCTTTTGAGAATCCATTAGCTTGTGGAAGATACTGCTTAGTTGAAAGTAGTGTGTCCTTCTCTCATGTTCTGGGGATTCTTCATGAGCTCTACCCAACATTGCCTCTGGCTGACAAGTACTATTATGCCTTCTCTGTGATGTTTGCTTTGTTCTTTAAAGTGTTTTTATGGCCTTTTTGTCAGCGTAGTTTTGCTTTCATTTTGTTGTTGTGTAACAGATGTGAAGAAATCAATACTGTGAAGCTGCCGGAGTTTAGGGCATCCAAGGAGAAGGCGGAAGTGGGCTTGGGGATCAAGTTCGTCCCACTAGAAGTGTCTCTCAAGGACACTATTGAATGTTTGAAGGATAAAGGATTCCTTCATTTCTGATTCAGCACCGAGTTTCGTACTAAATGTAATACGTATAGGCAAGTTTCAAGACCCAAATTGGTTGACAAGTTCATGGGGATCTTGTGCTTTCTACTGCGTGAAAGATTATGAATAAAGATCAGTTTCATGGATTTTCTTCCAACATTGCGCAAAAGGGTATTATTCAGGATCATAAAGACTAAAACTTTCAATCCCCATTACACACCCATACCAGTATAGAAAGAAAAATAAAGATAAAGATTGTCAGCCATGTAGCCAACTCTATACAAACCTAGAAATCTTCATAAAGTTGAAAACTTTACAATCAACATGCCTATATGCACACTCACACCACACTCAATCTCGATCAATCACTCACAAGAAGAAAAGAAAAAAAATGAACCTCTCATTACAAAACCTATATGCACTATCTTTGCTCTCTAACTTGCCAATGTAGCTACCAAGAACATTTCTGCTTTACTTTGGTGAATTTTGCTCATGAAATTTCTGCTTTGATTGATGAGAGGACTTGCCTGTGATCACTTTCCTTACCTTGGAAATTGAGTGCTTCACTTTGGACCCAACTTCTGATAGTATGTTGTGGGACTTCTTCTGAGGAGTAGTAACCACTTTCACCTCGGCTTCCTTGCTGGCTTCTACAATCACCATACCATCAGACCCTGAGTCGTTCTTATGCTGGTCCTCACCTTCATCCTGTTCCTCTGCTTCGTGTTCTTCGTCGTGTTCCTTCTCATTGTCCGATTTCGCTTTCTCTGGTTGTGCTTCAGCTGCTTTGGTCTCATCTCTTGTTACTGCTGGCTGTGGTTCTTTCTCTTCTGTCGGTTCAAGAACCACTTGCCTTTCTCTTGTGGATTTTGCCATCATGTCAAACAGTGAGACTTTGGCTGGGTTGATTGTCTCATCGGCTGCACTTGGTTTTGCTTCAGTTGAAATCTGCTTCTCAGAAGTGGCTTCTTCCACAAGTTCCACTGGAAGATCTCTTTGTGATATTTCTGTGCATAGTTCCTGAAAATTTTATGAAATATGAAGCTACTTAGTACCACAACATCCCATCTTCAGGCTTAAGTTTTATAATAATGACTCAAATGTTCTTCAAACCTTATCAATCAGAGTTGTGGCTTCTGCTTTGCGCTCTTCAGTTTTCACTTTAGCTTCTTCTTCAGCAATCTTCACATCACATTCACTTGGAATGCTCTCCTTCTCACGGCTGACCTCTTCATTTCCGCTTTCTTTAGGTTCAATCTCTTCTTCAGGAATTCCTTCAGCCTTCTGTTCACTTTCTGGTTTGCTCTCCTGGATAATCTCCTTTTCCTTGATAGCCTGTTTTTTTAGCCTCCTAGTTAAGATTCATTTCTAACACATTCAAACTAATGGAAATAAGGCAATAAGTTTGCAAATCTAGCTTACCAGCTCAGCTTCGGATCCCTCTGGTTGATTTTCATTGACAGCATTATCCACCGGTTTGGTGATGACCGCCTGGGAACTACCTTCTGATGCAGAATTCAGAGTCTCTTTATTTATGACAGTGTTGATATCAACTGTTTTTTCCTGTTTTACTTTGATTTCTTCACTTCCAGATGGGCATTCTGTGGTGACTTGTTGTTCAAGCTCCTTAGGTTGTATAAAGCCTGGAAACTCAAAATTGGACGCAGGCTCAGAAGCTTCTTCTTTCTCTTCTTGTCCTTCTTTCTGTTGGCCAACAATGGGCTCTTCCTTTATTAAGGATGCCTCATCTTCCATCTCTTTGGCTTCGTTCAATGTTTCTTCTACGGGTTTGCTTGTTTCTAATACTTCATGATGCTCCTCTTCTAGTTTCTCAACAGGGGAATTCTCAGGTTGAGTAGTTTCATTTTCGTCGAGAGGTTTAGTATCCTGAGAAACTAATTCAGTTTCTTCAGTAATTGCAGATCCTTCACTTTCCTGTGATCCCTTTTCAACTTCGGGCTCCAACTCAGAGACTTGAAACTCCCTTGAAACTTGCTCTACTGGCCTGATTGCTTCTCCTGCAATTGTAGTCAAGGCAGAAACTTCTTTTGTTTCTTCAGTAGCAACAGCTGCATCATCTCCCTTCTGTACTTCATCGTATTCCTGTACATCTTCTTCAACCTGAGGATCCACTTGCGTAGTAACATCCAGCTCTCGAGCCTCTTGCTGCTCTACAGGCTCTTCTTCTGCCTGTTTTGACTTGTCTTCTGATATTCCACTAGAAGTATCTTCAGTTGTTGCAGTAGTTTCACCTCCTGAAATATCATCACTCTTCCAAACTTGTTTCTCCACATTATCTTGTTCAACTAGAGCCTCCACTTCATCTTTCACCTGATTTTCCTTTTCAACCTCTTCTGGCTTGCATTCTTCTTCTGTATGTTTTGGCTCATCTTGCAGAACTTCAGGTTCTTCAGGGAGAGCCTCAGCTGCTGGAACTTCATCATCTTTAACTGCTTCATTCCCAGTGGAATCTGAAGCTTCTTGCTTTTTATCCATCTCATCTGAAACAGAAACTTCTTCTTTCACTGCATCTTCAGGGCTTTTCAACTGCTCCTGTGAGCATGACTCTCCTTCGGTTTCTGGTTCAGTTTGAGGTAACTCATCCTTCACTTCCTCCGTTTCAATTGAGCTTTCCTTCTCCTCTTCCTCCTTTTCAAGCAAAGAAGGAGGCTCTTCCTGATGCTGCTCTTCCGCTTTCACCTCCTTGATGGATTTCTCATCAGTTAGTTTGTCTTCAGTTGTGGTTTCAACACCTTCAGATGCTTCATTGATTTGTTCTTCAACTGTTTGTGAAGCTCCCTCTTCCTTGTCCTGTTCTTCAACCGGCTTGTTCTCTGTGCTTGCTTCAGATTCAAACTCCCTAGGCTGCATCTCTTTCGGAAAAGTGTCTTTTATTGTCTGGAGCTCCAAAGGATCATGTGGAGTGTCAGGTTGTGAAACCAACACATTCTTGGTTTCCTCTTCTTCTGTATTCTCAATCACAGCTTTGGTTTCATAGTCATCTTCATGGGCAGGGACTTCTGAAGATTTTACCACATGCTTCTCTTCTGGTAGCTGCTCTTGTACAGCCTTACTTTCTTCAAGTGCTGATTCAACATTGCCTTTAACTTCTTCCTCTTGCATTGCTGCAGACTCCAGGATTCCTGCTGCAGGAAGTCTGGATTCGCAAACTTCATCAAAAGGCTGCTTCTTTTCCTCGTGATCATCTTCATGGGAAGGTAATTCTGAAGATTGTACCACATGTTTCTCCTCTGTTAGCTTCTCTGGGATAGCCTCACTCTCTGCAACTACCGATTCAACGTTGCCTTTCACTTCTTCCTCTTGCATTGCTGCAGACTCCAGAATTCCTGCTGCAGGAAGTCTGGATTCACCAAATTCATCAGAAATCTGCTTCCTTTCCTCATAATCTTCCTCTATAGTTTCCTCCTTTGATGTTCCTTCAGAATCTTCAACTGTTGCAGTAGCTGAAGAAGCCACCAATGGCTTCTCAGTTCCTTTAACCATTGTATTCTCATCTACTGTTGTTTCTTCGACCAATGTCTCTTTGTCCAGTGTCGGTGCAGCTTGGATAATGGCAGCTACAGATTCTGTTTGTTCATTGGAGCCTGTTGGTGTATCAGATTCTGTTGATGAGATGGATTCTTTCACCTGAAAAAGGATTGTTTGACTTAGACTGCATTCATACTTTCAAATAGAATCAGGAGTATCCAAGCATACATGAAACTAGATAATGAAAACTTCCTTAGCATACCTCTTCTATCAGATTTCCTTGTTTTGTGGTATCTATGGCCTCCACTGCTTCTGGCTCAACTGATTCTTTCTCTTCAGAAACGCCTTCCTTCTCTCCTTCCTCTCCTAACACCGGTTCGACCACTACAGGCTCTTGAATTTCTTTGGTAGACTCTTCTTTTTCTTCCATGGTATTCTCTAATTCTTTGTACTCATCACCAGATTGAATAATCTCAGGCACCTAAAGAGAGAAATCGTCAATGTTATTTCAAATAAGACACAAGAAAGCAAGTATGTGCACACTGTGCATAGAAGTTGAAGTTAACTCATACTTCTTTTTCAACCACCGGTAACTCATCATCTTTAGTTTGGATTTCTCCACTAACTTCCGTAGGTTGATCCTTCATAGTGATTTCGTGTTCGGTGACTAGCTCTTCAGGATTCTCTTCTGCTGAAGTTCTTGTCTCTTGTTCTTTCTCCTGCAAATTGAAGTGTTGCAGTTAATTTTTCTGATCAGCATATATCATTGAGTAAATGCAAGCCAAATAGCCCTTCTATTTTGATTTACCTCTTGCAGCACACTTTCAACTTCTTCACCTTTCAGTGTTTCCTTCTCGATGATCTCATCTGTCTCAGGTACCTCAGTTTTGACTTCTATGGTTGAAGCTATTTCAGTGACAACTTCATCATCTTGTTCTGTCTCATGTGCAGTACTGCTGCTCTCAACTTCTGCAGCAGTTTCATACTGTTCCAAAACCTGATTCAAAAACTATACATTTTCAACAAAAATAAACTTCTATTGAACTCTAAATTATGAGGGATCCCAAAAGCTAACCTCTTCACTGGAGAGCTCAACTTTTTGTTCATCTTTATGCAAGTCCTCAATTGGACTTGGCTCAATGGACTCTAATGCATGGCTTTCTTCTTCTGGTATATCTACCTTCTCTTGAACAACATCATCCACTTTGCTTGAAGAAATTACCTCAGATTTTTCTGTCACTTCTCCAGTTTTGGGTGCCTCCTTGCTGATCTCTGCAACTTCCTCTACTCCAAAGAATTCACTTTCCAGGCTTCCATGATCCTGAGTTGCAGTTTCAGGTTCATCAACTGTTTCAGTAGCTTCCTTGTTGCTTTCCACAACCTCTTCTTTCTTATCATCTTCTGGTAAATCTTGTGGAGTAAGAACAACGTTGCTTTCCTCGGAAGCTTCAATGATTGGTTTTTGTTCAGTCTCATGTACACTATGTCCTCCACTGCCTTCTTGGACCACTTCTGCATCCTCGGAATCAACCTGAGGAACCTCAATCGCCCTTTCAACAGTTTCTCCCTGTTCAGTCTTATTCTCCACTTCCTCTTCTGCAATTCCATCATTCTTTGTTTCTCCTTTCTCAGTCTCCTCTTCCTCCATCGGTAAAGCCTCGAGGTTTTCTCCTTCAGTAGAAGTCTGCAATGCAGCCTCAGGACATTTCTCATTTTGCTCTATCTGCACATTTATGTAATTAAGTTTTACTTGCAAACCAAGTTCTAGGTTGTATATGAAAACCAAGAAACCAAAAGAAAGCCATAAGCCATCTCCTTCCACAATAACTAACCTCTTTGCAAGAACTTGCATCATCAACTCCTAAGTCCGCAACTATGCCTTCTTTGACAGGCTCTTGCATTGGCTCCTCCACGGAATTTTCTGATTCATTTTTGGTTTCAGCATTCTGTTCTGTCTCATGGTTACTCACTGAAATTGGATCTTTTTCAATGGCAACAGCTTCACCATTCTGTTCTGTATCATCTGGAGTACTACTGCTGTCAACTTTTGCAGCAGTTTCAGACTGTTCCAATACCTGATTCAGACACTATATACCCTCAATACAAAAACACAAAGCTATGAGCGTAACTTTTTGAACTTTGAGGGACTACTAACCTCTCTATTTGAGTGTTCAACAGTCTCTTCACCTTTCTGAATGTCTTCAACTGGAATTTGCTCAGTGGTATCTGTTGCATGGCTTTCATTGGGGAGATCTCCCTTGTCATCTTCTTTAGGAATCGATGTCTTCTCTTCAGCAACATCATCATTCATTTTAGTTGAGGAATTCACCTCAGCTTCAGATGAAGATACTGGAATAACCAACTTTTCTACTTCTTCTGCCACCTTTGATGTCTCCTTATTGCTGATCTCTTCAACTTCTTCCAGTCCATTACTATTCACATTAGATTCAACTGACCGACCAAGGGTTTCACTGTCCACACTTCCTTCTTCCTTTTCCACAGAAATCTGAACAGTTGAGTCACAGCTTTCATGACCCTGACTTGGGGGGGAAGGTTCATCAACTGTTTCAGCTGTCTCCTTGTTGATTCCTTCAGCCTCTTCTTTCTTATCGTCTGGTGAAGCAACTCCTAACACAATTGTTTCCTCAGAAGCTTCAAAACTTTCATTCTTCTTTGGCACGTCCTCGTCTTCAACTCCTTCAGTATTCTGTTCTTCCTTCTCATTGTTTTCCTGACCTTCCTTTTCTCCATCAGGAGGAGTCTCTAATATTACTTCAGGGCTTTGCTCATTCTTCTCTGGCTCTTCCACACTAGAATCAACTCTTTCGGCCTCCTCAATGATCTGCAACATTTCAGTTATATTGGTTTACTTTTAAAGAGTCAGGCTTGATTAAAAGGACACCAAGCATCATCTCAGGACCAAGTAACTAACCTCTTTGCTGTCACTATGATCATCGATCTTGATTTCCTCAGCAGTGTCTTCTATGACAGGCTCTTCTATAACATCAACTGCATCATCTCCCTTCACATCTTCCTTAGAGATCTCTTCTTTCTGTATTTCTACCTCTTTTTCTACAATGTGAATAGTCGGGTCTTCACTCCTCACAGTCAGTTTTTCTGGTGCCTCATCAATACCAAGTGTTGGATTTGTTTTTATCTCCTTTCCAGTATCATCTTCATTACCTGCAGCAGATGTTCAAATCATTTAATTTCCAGATACAAAACCATGATAACTGAAATAACACATTTTAAAAACAAGATATGCTGTCAAGTGTTCTGCCAATCATTTCATTCCTGGCTTCCTTAACTAGCTCAAAATATGCTATCTTTTCTGTCTGAATGTACTGGAGAATAAGAACCCACTTACTCTTGGGTTCCAGCTCAGTTTTCTGTGCATCAGATGTTTCTTCTTTTGTCTGAACTTCCACTTCTTCTTTGCTTGCTTCAGCATCATGATGAACCTTTGGAGTTCCGCTAGACTCAGGTTGAACAATCTCTTCTTGTTTCTCAGCATCTGTTTCACCATTCTTTGTGACCAATTCTGCAGTTATTGGCTCTCCTGCAGATGACTCCCTGCCGATATGGTTTTCAGTTTCTGCAGGTGCTTCATTTTGTTGATAGGTTGCTTCTTCTTGAAACTCTGAATGTAGGGGTTTCTTCTCCACAGTTTCAGATTCCACTTTCTCGGCTTCATCAGGTTTATCATCAGAGATTTTGGCTTCTGCACTTTCAGCTGTCTCATTTACTTCTGTTACATTAGATGTCTACAATAAGAACAAAATAGACACTTTTAGTTAGAGCCTGATCCCATTTTTCAACCAGTACTTCTTTCTTACCATAATGAGATCAAATAACAATGTACTCGAATTGAAACTCAAACCTTTTCTTGCAGAACAACTTCATTATCTCTGACATCAGCAAAGTCTGCTGCTTTCTCTTCTTCCTGCACACCGATTTGTCCAGCATTTTCCTTCTCTGCCACGTCACTTTTCACTGGAGTAGCAATGTCTTCTTTGCTAGCACTCTGATCATCAATTTGCAAGTCCTCAACAGTGCTTTCTTTGACAGGCTCTTCTACTTTGTCATCATCAGATACTGTGGTCATTTCCTTGGAGCTCCCTTCCTTGTTCACAGTATCATCATGATTACCTGCAACAGATGTTCAAAAACACTTTACTTGGCAGAAAAGCAATCACCTGCCTAAAACACCATTTACATGCTACATATGCCACAAGTTTTATATCTCAATGTACTGGAGATCAGAACCCACTTACTCTTGGTTTCCAGTTCAGGTGTCTTTGCATCATATGCTTCTTCTGTTTGAACTACTTCTTTGCTTGCCCCACAATTATGGATCTCCAGAGCTTCTTTAGAATCTGGTTCATCAACCTGTTCTTGTTTCTCTGCCTCTGTTTCACTTTCAGCACTCTTTGTGACCAATTCTGCAACTGCTGGTTCTAACTCTCTAGTCTCACTCTCAATGTGCTTTTCAGTTTCTACAGCTGCTTCATTCTCATTATTTGATTCTTCATGAGACTCTGGATGCAAGGTTTTCTCCATCACAGTTTCAGCTTCCGCTGGCACTGCTTCATCAGGTTTATCATTGGAGATTTTAGATTCTTCTGCACTTTCAGCTATCTCAATGTGCTTTTCAGTTTCTACAGCTGCTTCATTCTGTTTATTTGCTTCTTCATGAGACTCTGAATGCAAAGTTTTCTCCACCGCAGTTTCAGCTTCCGCTGGCACTACTTCTTCATGTTTATCATTGGAGATTTTAGCTTCTACTGCACTTTCAGCTATCTCGTTTCCTTCTATTGCAATAGAGCTCTGCATTAAGAACATCATAGAAACTTTTTGGTTAGGGTCTGCTTCCATTTTTAACCACTTCTTTTTTATTACCTTAAGTAGATCAGAAGAAATATACGAAACTGAAACTCAAGGGTCAAACCTTTTCCTGCACTAAAACTCCTTCATCCTTGACATCATCAGGATGTGCTGGCTTCTCTTCATCCTGCAGACTAGCCTCCACTGCTACATTTCCTTTCTCAACCACTTCATTTTCCACTGACGAAGCCATGTCGCTTTTGGTGGCCTCTTCATTTTCAACCTCTAATTCCTTAACTTCAACTCCAGAGCTTAAGTCATGATCCTTGCTTCCATTTTCCAGGCACGTTTCTGGAGCTGCACCTTCATTTTGCACTAAACATATCTCAGGCGTGCTGATCTGTTCAGGGGCTTCTGTGCCAGGTGAAACCCGATCTTCCACCACAGCATCTGGACCAGCTTCTTCGATGCTGTCATGCTGAACCTGATGGCTTTTCGCTGCGATTGGCTCGTCAGCTTGACCTGTAATTACCTGTTCTTTTTCACAGGGATCCTGACCAGAAACTTTGATGCCATTTGAGGATGATTCCAAAAAATTCTCACCCTCAGGCACCTCCAGGATGCTGCTGCTGTTCCCTTCTGCTGCTGATTTCGCCAAGCTAACCACAGCAGCTTCTACTTCTGGTGTCAGATAACTCTTCACCCCTTGTACTTCCTGCCAGCAGCACAAAAATAATAATTAAAAACATAGAAGTCAGTTCCCTTTCTAGAAGATCTGTAGCTACCCATAGCTAAACTAAGGTTGACATTTAATCTACAAAAGATCAGATCCATCTAAGAGTACTATATACTAAACAATCAAAATCATCGTAAAACCTGGCAAAGAAAGTAAGCCTCTCACTCAATTTACATAATTCTCAAGCTTTATGTACTTCCACAAGCATGATCATGACAGTAACATGTACTGCATAACAAGTAAAACCAAAGAGGAAAGAGCTAGCAGGACTATAGAACAGACAATTTCTGCCAGAAAGCACTCTCAAGTTTTGATCTTTAATACATGGGTATTCTTCATCACCAGGCACAGCAAAATTCAAGTGAAAAGGGTGGTAAAAGAGTTGCCAAAGTTCTGATCTTTATTGACATACCTGTGTTATGGACACAGGCTCTATGATCTTCTCAACTTCACTACTTGCCATTTTTTCTCCAAACTAAAGTTTTCCTAGTTGATCCTCTCAAAGATGCTGACCCTTTTGATCTCTGGCAGCTGTTCTTCAACATGAAGAGTAAGGTAGGGAGAGATAGAGAGAGGCTGCTGAGCTATGAACCTGCAGAAAGTGGAAAGTGTGGGAAGAGAGAAGGTTTGGTTTAGTTGGCTGCACTAATGGCTCTATATTAACAAGTGAGAGGAGGGCAAGAGGGTGACAAAATTGCCACTTGGGATATCATGCTTGTTAATGCATTTGTGAGTTGGCAAGATATGGAAATTGGTCCCTACTCATTGACCCCCTCACATGGCCTCACAGTCCCCTTCCTTTTCCTTCTTGCCTTAGTGTATTCATCTTTGTGTGTGGCAAATCACAAACAACATAACCTTTTAGCAAGAGATCAATAATCATGAGGGATGATAAAGCTAGGTTCTTTCTTATACATGGGTATCTCACAAGGAAGAGTAATTTTGTAATCACCATTTAGTCAATTCATTTAATACTCAGTTATTTTATCAACCAAATATTATTATGGCGTATTGAGTTGTGTATTCGTCAATAATTTGAGTTTTCTAGAGATAATTTATCTTATGCAATAGGTACATGTTCTCGAAAAGCAAAACAAAGATACATGAGGTCGAGTTTATTTGACTATATCCCTTATCTTCTAGAGGATAATTTATCAATTTTGTAAGTTGACTCTTTCGCTAAATTTTTGTACGAAAAATTTGCTTTAACACTCACACCTCTCACATCTTGGTCAACCAAAGATCAATATAGCTTATACCATACTCTGGTTACTATTATATCATTCATCTTATTTAGTAAGAACTTGGAATGTAGCCTTTCACTACTAAGCATTGATTAATGGTTAATAGTGAAAAAGAAGTAGCCCATAATTACTCTTATGGCATGGTTATGCTCTTTGGCAGACAGAAAGGATGTCCCAAGAACTGTAGGGGTAAGGAAAGTTGTCGTGTGGGATTCTTTATCCTTTCTTCTTACTTTTTCCTCTTACAAGTCATTTTCTTAATGGGTCTATAGATTTTGATGCTTTTATAGGGAGAGTTTTGATTTTTCAAGGTATATTGATGGCTTTCTCCCAATTTAGAAGAAGCCATTGCCTTGTACCTTTCAAAACCTAAGTGTTTGGTATTCCTCATCAATGAGATTATAATTGGGGATGAGTGATTTAGTATGGTGGCAAGTGGTGTTTATTTGAACCCTAAGATTCTACTAGTAAGTAGGATCAGTGCTAGTAAGTTTCGTTATCAGTACGTCGATTTACTCAGGTTATTACTGTATATATAGTATAAGTTAACTACGTGTATTGCGAGTTTTGTCTCGCAATTAGACCAAAATGTGTATCATCGTTCTAGTATTTTGATAGTTATTTGATTAGAAAAATAAATTTACACAATACCTAACAAAATATGATGAAACTAAAGATTGGATAAACTAGTGAAAAATTTTAGCTTGTCACTAGATGGTGATGGATTAGGTAGAGGAAACATTCCAAATTGAAGATTAATTAGCCTAATAAATTAGTCTAAAAGCAATGAATCCCCATAAGAAAACTTGAAGCCATTCATATAATAACACTATGGATTTTGCCCTAAAGCTGACAAAACTTGTGATGATGATATATATATACCAGATAGCAATTTAGCACGCAGTTTTTCAGAAGAATCTTCTTGGCATGACATAATCCAACAGGACCATTAGCTGGCTGGCTGGCTGGCTGGCCACCGTGGGTTAGGTCACGCAATTAGGTGTTCTTAAGCTAGATTAATGTTCTAAGTATGATAGTTTAATTAAATGAGTCATCACAATGCTTAATTGGCAATATTTTTGTGTATTGTTGTGGTTAGTAAATGTTATTAGATTCATACTTAAATATCTTTCTAGAATTTCATTTCCAATTTTAGTGTTTGGTATAATTCTTACAACTATAGAAATGATTAGCACTTTTAACAATAATTAATAATATAATATATTTATTTTATCTTGGAAAATGGAATATGAATGATAGAGAAAAAGAGTAGGGTGATAGTTGGTTAATAAAATAATAATAAATAGTGATGGGACCCACTAATTCCATCTTCATAAACCCAATTCCTATCACTTTTGATAGGAAATGTAATTCCCAAAACTTAGCCCAAATGAAATTCATTTCTCAACCTTCTTATCCTTCCAAACATAAAATATGGAATTAAAATTGAAAATGGAATTCCAATTACTGAGTTTTTTTGTCTATCCAAACAGGTTGTAAATGAAGCTTCTAAATTGAAGAACTACCTTAATTTTTTACTAATACTAAGTTTTACACATATGCTATTCATCGGTATGCACTCCTTTATGTGCTCCATATTAATGATATTATAATTTATAACATCTCATTTATTATATTTCTCCATCATATTGCACAGTGGCAGATCCATGATAGGGTAGAGCACTGAGCCACATTTTAAGAAGTGGTGGAGAGGACTGGGCTGTAACCCGACAAGCACTGAAATGAATTTCTAAAATCAAAAAATTTACAATGACTATAATAGCTCTGGATCCAGGGAAGGGCTGGGCTGTGGCCCGAGAGCGGCCCCTTAGATCCGTCGCTTATATTGCATGTGCACCATATATATATATATGGTTATGTCTTCGATGCACTCACTTTTTTGGGTGCATTCAATGCACCCGCCTCATAATCGTCATTCTGAGCAGACGATTCATGTGAAAACGATGTCAATCATCCCTTGTAGTATGATGAACAAGAACCACATGAATTTGTACAAAAATCATTCAAGATTCACTTTAATTTGAATGATTCAGGGTTTAGGAATTTAGAGTTAGGGTTAGGGTTTACAATTTGGGATTTTGGGTTTAGATTCAAAATGAATGTTAATAGGTTAGGGTAATGGGTTGATTAGTTGTGATTTTGTGTTCTATCATCAAATGAGACTAATGCTACCCATTAAATTTCAAAATTTGGTGTATTATGACCACTTTTAGAGGTGGGTGCACTGAATGCACCCAAAAAAGCGAGTGCACCGAAGTAGCCACCATAATTTTATTTCAGGTGAAACACTTGTGTAGTGGATATATTATGAATTCTTGTAAAGTCTTTTTATCGTGATTTTGTTAGAGGGTTTGTGTTCCACTTCCTTGAATTCGTTTATTGTTTTCTGTATCTAGTATTTATCCAACTTTGTGTTAATAGCGACACAGTTTGATAATTGGTACGGAATTCGTTTATTGTTCTCTGTATCTAGTATTTATCCAACTTTGTGTTAATAGCGACACAGTTTGATAATTGGTACCAATTATCAAACTGTGTCGCTATTAACACAAAGTTGGATAAATACTAGATACAGAAAACAATAAACGAATTCAAGGAAGTGGAACACAAACCCTCTAACAAAATCACGATAAAAAGACTTTACAAGAATTCATAATATATCCACTACACAAGTGTTTCACCTGAAATAAAATTTATTCACTAAACTTATAATTTATACAAGGAAACGATTCTTCAAAGAATAATTTATTTAAAATAACTTTGTACACTATTGAATCCGATCATATCCTAATAGCCAATAGAGTTTGAATGAGGTATGACTTCTCCCGCTGAAAGAGAGCCATCCAAAGCTAGCTGACGTGGACGGTCGGTCCGCTTAGGTACAGCAAACTGATGATGTGGACGGTGGAAAGAGGACCCACCACCTGCTGATGTAATCACCCAGGCCAGCAAGGACCATGGCTGGTCCTTAAACAAATGAAAACTCTTATCACCAGCCGCCCAACTATGAAAAGTTGACGGGCGGAGACAGAAAATTGAAAGTTCAGAAATGGAGGCTCAAATAATTTATAAAAGCTTTCTCCGCTCTTTGCCAAACTGCAAATATGAAAGTGATGACGAGCTTTCCAGGTCCAATCCCTTGATAATCGAGATAATGTGAACTCTGAGTCTAATCGCACTTTGCTATCATGTTTAGAATCAATTGATTGCAGAAACTTGAGTTGTTGGGAAATAATTAAGTATCTTAATCTTATATTCATTTCTTACATTATATTGTGTCATTTATATGATTTAAGTTTATCCATTAAAATCGTCATCTGTACATTCATTATTACGTTGATAATTGGCTGGTATGAATTTTTCGTTAATGACTCATATGTATCGTCTCTAAAAAAAGACTTCTCCCTCCTTGATACCTATAGATTATGTTGCTAAGGGGATTTGCATGCATGATTCGATACGTGTAAATTTCCTCACCCAATTTGAAGAGCTCAAAAGTTACTCGGTCCCCTGAAAACTTCCGTCACTAATCAACGAAAACTTGAGAATATCCTAAACTAGCTCGGGGTTGTCATGCATTGTTGAAACATATTATCCAAATACCAAGTCGGCAAGAGGCGACTTAGTTAGTAAGCCTCATATAGGACCAAGCAAATTTACTTTTTGGTTTGATATACACAATCTAGCTAGTTATCGGTACGAAGGATAACTCCTTATTACATCATCTACATTTTAGTTTAATTTACAAATCTCAACTAGTTATCTTATGACTTTAAGATAATCCTATAGTAAGGCACTTATGGGGCTTGACTCGACATACTCTACTTTTGTGCTAGTTATTGGTATGAAGCTAACTTATTGAAGAACATTAACAAAACAGTATATAAAGTTAAACATCCACTCGTATGAATTTTTCCGATATGCATTGCAACCAAAAGAAACCTAGCTATACATTTAATATTTACCCAATTAATGTAACATCTCCCCCTAGGTTTGAATCAGAGAAATGACCTGTTTTTTTTTTTTCTCCCAATTATTTTCGTTTGGATTTAATGGTATTCTTTCTTTTATTCTTAATTTAGTGATATTCTATATGGAATACATTGTGTGTAAAGTTGGGCAATGTTGTACAACTCAAACTCATAGACAATCTCAATCAAACCGCCCAAACACACACATGGTTGTCTTTATTCGGCCAGCTTCGATCCCCACCGAAATTATATCGGATAACTGCTAGCTTCCAACTTGCCTTTGCCTCGCTCTCCAAAGTTTGTGTCATTTCAAGAGCTTTCGATGGAAATGAATGATTGGGGGAAGGAACAAAGCATACACATATGCAAAATTGTGAATTTGCCTATTCATGAATATTACGTTTGGTTTTGGTGATAGTTAAATCGATATATCGTTATCAATACATGCATAATAATATACATGTATATAAGAAAATTGGTCTATTATAGTTTACATTGTTTGCTTTCTGTGATAGTTATTGTAATATTTAAATAAATTATATTACTATATGGGCAAAATGTCATTTGTACCCTTTGTTTTTAGTATAAAAAAGCAACACATAAAAAGATAGGAACAAAGTTGGAAGAAGAAAAAAACACAACAATCTCAACCAAAACTTGAGATTTAACTATCACTCATTTTGAGTGATAGTTTGTGTCACATCAAGCAAACAATCCATGTATTGTTTATGCAAATAATTTAAAAAAATGATGCATTGTGGACATTGCATGCATTGTAACTATCTCAACCAAACTATTACCAAAACAAAATGACCCCTAGTAGATGTATTGATGTGATGCATATACATGGTAAAAAATATAAGATTTTGAATCTATGGATATATTTTGAATCTATGGATACCTCCATCGAGTTATTGGGGTGTTGTGGTAGTAAAGTATAACGAGCATGCAAACTTTTTATAGAATGACTTTCGTTTGACGGTGAATGATATAAGATCGTATTGTGGACATCTCCCAAAATTTCGACATGATGATGATTATAAGAAGAAGAAAAAAAGATATTGTTCGTTATTTGTCAATACAACGTGATACTATATATTATATGTTGAAGGTCTATAGGTACGTTGATTGATCAACCATATATTTGATCTCAAGATTCTCAACCATAATATATTGTTTATGTACCATGTCAAAACCAGTTGGTCTCAAATTTGAGTTTTGGGAGAGGCTCAATTATGAATCATATATCATTTACTAACACACTCCCTCAAACGAAAGTTGGCTCATATGAACTTGAAGTTTTGCAAGGTACGCATACCACATGTACTTAACAAAATAGATGTGGGCAATCGAGATTCGAACAGAATACCTCTCGATTACAGAAAAAGTACTCTGATATCATATAAAGAACCAATTAGTCTCAATTACTCGAATTATTAGAAGATGTTCCATTATTGATCCTATACTATTTATTAAGAGATCCCACAAATGCTTGATTCAACAACGGCATTACGCACATTAACCTTAGCCCCATGATCAACATGTGATAAAAAAAAAATCTTGCCAATAGTTACGTTGTTGTAGACAACAACCTATTGCAGGCCAATGTGGAGCCATGTCAGCATCCCTAGCTGCCGATTTGGATTCTTTCCAACATGGCTACGATCAGTCGTTTATGGGACCCATGAAAGAATCCCTTGGCGCTGGCGGCGACCGACCGCCCACCCCAAAATCCCACGTGGAATCTGACTCACTGCCACGCACCCAGGCTGGCTGGCTGGCTGCATGCATGACGCCATGGATCATGCCTTGGCTGGCTGGCTGTGGCTGGCTTCTTCTTTCTTTCTGGATCGTCATTCCGTTCGTTGATTCGAGCTGTCATTTGCGACTTATGATGAAATTTTTGAAAACTCAATTCATTCTCAGCTATAGCCATCATCATCATTACAGGATTGAAGATTCCATTCCATCCCCTTAATTATTTAATTATATATCTGCCCTTTTTTTCCTTCCCATTATCACCCAAGACAAAGTTCTTGATATGTTTGTCTGATCACATCGGCTTCAACTTTGGTAATGCTTTTTTCCAAGTTGCTAGTACGTACAACTCCAAGGAAAGTTTTGTGCGGGAAGTGACATGATATGGTGAAATTATATGTGTAGTACATTCTAATCTCCTTTTTATTTGAAAACTGATAGGTTATGTTCCATCACATCACTTATAAAATAAGGAGCAGACGTCCAAGGATCAAAGAATAAGGAGACAATTAGTTTGGGAATTGGGAAGATTTGAAGGAGAATAGAAGAAGAAACTGGGAGATAGAGAGAGGCCATCAGTCTAGAAGGAGAGGGAGAGAGAATTGAGGATTTTTGGAATTTGAATGTCATTCTTAGTTTAGTTATGGTGAAATAAAGAAAATGGAATATAAATTCAATATTGATATTTTGGGTTAGGTTTGAGAATTCGACTCACTCGTTATTTTGGTCCGGCTCGTCCAAGTCCTCATCAGTATACTTGAAATATTCTACTTTTTACTTGCTAGTTCTCAAGAAACAAAGTATAGGTATTAAGAAGCATTTGAAATTTGAACTTACCACTTTGATATTTCGTTGCTTCTTTTGGTACAACCTAAAGAAAAAATAACCAGTTAACTTATTTTCCTTTCAGTTAGTGACCGAACTGTCAAAATGGAAAAAGAAACAAAGCACCATAGAATCAAAGTGATCTATGAAAAAAAAAAAACAAGGTGTGATTAATTAGTGCAATGTGATTACTTTAAATTTGGGCCAAGAAACCCTAGTGGATCTATCAACAGTTCAACGTAGTAACCTCAGCCCAACGTCCAAGGCCCAATCTCTGAACTCCGTGACGACGCCGTTGCAATCACTTAGCCACAATTGGCATAAAAGCCATAAACCACGTGCCCGGCGACTGTTAGTGCTGCCGAGTACAAAATCTCGTCACTCCTCCCCAGATGAACCGATAATAATTGCGAAACCAGAGGGGCAGAACCGGAAATTCAAGCAAACCCGAAAAAAAGAGGAACAACTCCAGCGCGGGAAATAGAGCCGTTGCTCGGTTTCGCGCCAAAATTTTCAGGGTTTTCGGCTGCCCGTAACATATCCGGGCAGTTCCAACCAGCCGCCCGCCCGCCCTACCTTTTCTTTTTCCCCTTAAACCAATATAATATATATAAATTCACCGCCTTCATTATTTTCTCCGTTCTTCTTTCCCATTCTCTGTTTTCTCCCGTCAAAATTTTCCCTTTCGAAAGCCCACATTTTCTCCACAAATTTTCCCTCCCTTTCCCTCTCTCTCTCAAAGAAAGAAATTCGGCATCCAAAGTTCCCTTTTCTCTTATTCTTCCTCTCTTCTTCTTCCCGGTTTCGCATTTGGTTCCGATTCCTGAATCAAAACCATCTATTTCCCCTGTTTCCTTTCCTCTGTTTCTTCTGCCTTTTGAACACTGCCCATAGTTTTGATATTGCCCGGGAAAGATGGGGTTTCCGAAGAAGAAAGTGGTGGATTCCGGGTTGGAATATGACGGGAAGAAATGGGTCATCGCCGGAATCTCGATAAAGCCACTGAAGCCGGTCAACACGAAGCCCAGAGGCAGAGCAACCGCCACCGGCGGAGGAGGAGATAATAATACGGCCGCTTGTGCCGGCGGGGTCGAGGAAGAAGAGGAGCGTTCAACCACCCCGACAGCGAGGGAGGCAAGAATACCGGAGAAACTGCCGTGCCCGCCGGCCCCGAGGAAGAGAAGGCCGCTGCCGTCGAAGTGCAATTACGCCGTCGGGCCCAGAGACTTCTTCACCCCGCCTGACTTGGACTCGGTCTTCAAATGCTATGTCGAGAGAGCAAATTAGAGAAAATTACTCCACAACAACAAGAAAATCGCTTGGGCCGTTTTACTTTGTTTTGTCTGTTTTTGCTTGTTAGTAGCCTAGTAGGTAGGGATGAAAAGTTAGGAGATGGTGAAGAGTACAAGATGTACAAAGAACTATATATATAGTAGTAGTTATGAAAGAGGTAGTTTAGTTTTTCTTAGTTCCTTCTTCTTTGCCTTCTTGCTTCTAATATTTGTTGGGCTTTGTTTGAGAGACCTTGATGTTTGTGGTTGTTCAAGTTAAATGAGAAGGATTAGTTTCTCTTCTTCACATGAAAGTTCTCTCCTTTTGTGGGTTTGTAGGAAAGGTTGTCCCTTTCTTAATGGTTGAGATTGCTGAATCTTGTGGTTTGATAGTTTTAGTTTGGTTTGACATCTACCCTTGTCAATTTTTCAAGTGATAGTTCTCTTCTTTTGTGGGTTTGTTGGAAAGGTTGCTACTTTCTTTGTCCTGGCCAGTTTTGAAGCCTACCCTTCAGCATCAACCTACAAGGAGGATTAGAGTCATATTGCTACTTTCTTGCTTGGTGTTTCTCAAAGTGAGTATGAAATATGGAGCACTATGAAGTATGAAATGCAATATGACTCTAACTTGGAAGAGTTAAGGTGAAAGAGAGAGAGAGTGTGTGGGGTTCATGTATTGAAGTGGGTGAAGTTATTATTCTTGTACTATTTTAATAGACATATATAGCTAGCTCATGCCATTGAAGTCTGAGAAAGAGTTTTCTTCAATTTCTATGTTTGCAAATTTCTATGTGTTGCTATTGTTAGGGTATTTATCTTGTGACCCTATAGCTGAGGTAACAGTGTCACTGTACATCACTGGTATCTAGAGGCTATAGTAGTATATATGGAGTGGTAGGGTTTTGTGGGTAAGAGAAAAAGAGGGAGCAGAGTTTTTTTGTAGTTATGTGGAATTTTGGGGTTGAGTCTGGTCAGGACTCAGGAGTCAGGGGGGAGGACACAGGACAAGAGTGCTGGGCTTGAAGGCAGCCAGCCTTCTTGTGTTAAATTTATTTCATAATTCTATTATGATGTAGTACTGTTTCCTTACATGCATACAAATCTATCCATTCATCACAAAACCCTCCAAGGGTACAAATTTACTGGTTAAATCGCGTATTATTGACTTAAGTAACGATTTTATTTGTTGAACCGCTAATGTCATCGATTTGATATCCGGTAGGGTAGAGCGGGAACCTAGAGATAGAAGAGTGAGGGGGGCAGAGAATCCATTTGGATGCTTGTTCATTTTGGTTTTCTGCCTCTGGGTTCTGCTGCTACTGCCCTAAACCCTAATCATTCAGCCTTTGCTTATCCAATCCTCTTTCCCTCTCTCTCTTACCATATTATTGGGTTTCCTTCTGCAGTTGCAGTGGTATTTTTGAAGCCTTCAGTAAATCTATCTTAACTTTCTTGCTTCTTCTCCTCCTTCTTCACTCCCAAGTGGGAGACACATAACTCATTTCTCATGCTTATTTTTAAGCCCTTTTTATCAATTTCCTCACTGATCAACATTATTCTCATTAAATAACCAAACCCATTTGTTAAACATATATGTATACGTATGTGTCTATGTCATAATGGGTAAGCGTGTCCCTCTTTTCTTGTTGGTAAGGTAGGTGAGTGAGAGGATTGGTTTAAGAATTCCATTACCACCATTTCTCTCTGGGTCAAGATTGGATTAAAGAATGTTTTGAACTTGATTAGGTGAGAGAGGACTTAAACTTGAAGGACCAAAGCTAGGATAGTGTACATATACACACACACGTGTAGAAGTGGTATGGTGAGATAAAAAGGAATTCCTTTAAGGTTCTTTAGCATATGCCTTTGTATCAGTGGTATGGTATTGAAAGAAAAACGAAGGCATATATCCAAACCAAAAGTCTGCCCTAGCTACCAAGAAACCATACAGAATGGTAACAAATTTCAAGGCTGAGAACTGAGATGGAGCTTGGAAGGTGCATGGATGCTTCAAGATGTTTGTTGACTAAAGCGACCATTCCTTGGCCTAGCTAGACCCACAAACAAGAAAACATAATGGAACCAATGAGTAAAACAAAATAACATAAATATCGATACAAAGAAAAAGGAATATCCCAAGCACACTATGTCTACTACCCCATATCATACGTCTCTTGATCTCTTATGATGAGTTTTCACCATTATTATTGGTTTCAGATTGAGCCCTCTCCCTAGCTATAGTTATTGCCCTAGAGAGTGACATTTTTAACCTCATGTGGACATCTTTGGGGGTGAATTACATGAATGAGAACACTATAATTTTAGGTTGGTCGAAAAATGGATGATTGAAGTTTGAGTTCTGACGAACTTGTCATGAAAAAGTTCGATACAACTAGCACAAAACGCAGTAGTTTCATTTAAACTCAAAAGATTTGTTTGTTCGATTTGCTCATATAAACATGTTGGTTCATTCGAATGATTGATAATGAAAAGAAAAATATTATATCAAGCTCTATAACTAATTAGCTATCTTGTAAGACACATAACTCCATAAATGGATTAGAGTATTCTGGTTTAGGTCATGCATGACTTGAAATGAGTTAGGGATGGCAATGGGTCGGCTCGGGGGCGGATAGTGCATATCCGTTACCCTACCCAATGTAGTTCGGGTTTTACCCATACCCGTACCCACACGAGAAACGGGTAGAAAATCAAAACCATGCCCATACCCGTTCGGGTTTCGGATATCCACGGTTATCCATGGGTAATAATTTCTCCTTATAATTCCAACCAATATGTTAACATTCACACGTATATTCACATTACGTAAGAGGAAAAGTACGACAATAATTCACTAGAATGACGAAAATTAATTAAAACAACATAATTTCATGAAAATATTATATTTATATGCTAAATATAAAATATTATAGAAAAAATAATGATGATTTCTAGACAAAATACATATGCATGTGTATAATCGGGCGAGTTCGGGTTGGATAGTGAGATAACCAGGCCCACCCATTACCCGCAATATTCGGGTTCGGGTTTTACCCGTACCCACGAAAAATGCTTCGGGTTCGGGTTTTACCCTACCCGATTAGGTCGGATTCAGGTGGATATCCACGGTTACGGATATTTTTGCCATCCCTAAAATGAATCATACAAATTACATAATTAGGTCATGCATGACTTGAAATGAATCATACAAATTACATAATTAAATGGATTAGAGTGTTCTGGTTTAGGTCATGCATGACTTGAAATGAATCATACAAATTACATAATTAAAAATCTTCTCCTAATTTAATATATTAATTATCCCTAATTTCGGTAAAACTTGACCGACTTACTTATTATTGAACATGTATATCTTGCAACTTGAATATCGTAAAATGTGAAAACAAGCCCACATAGTTATTAATAACAAAATTTCACATAGGATACTTACAATCCTATATATGTGGGGTTCATTGAGAAGATTGTTTATGGTGTTAGGATTTCTCTTCCACAACCACAAAGCACTTTTGTGACAATGACTTGACATGACATAACTGGCCCTTTCAAGTTCTTGGTTCTTTGTGTGCTTGTTGATAGTAATATTCCACTTCTTTTGGTGAGACTCCTTTACCTATCTAAATGCATGATGTTTGTCTTTCACCTAACATAACCTCATGTCCATGCAAGCTCTTGTTTTTGTTTGAAAACGAATTTGAGCTTGCATGAGCTAAGGTTTGTAACTAGAATTTTTGTTTAGTTACTATCATACAATCTACACTTCTTACTATCTATAAAATTCTCCATATATGTTATGTTGTTGCCAGTTGCCACATATTAGCATAACCAAACTTTTATCTTTAATTGTACTATATGGAGATGCCTTCACTGCATGACACCATATCTACTCCATTCTTGCCACGACTTGATTGGATTACCTCGGGTGACCGCAACACAAGCTACTTCCATGCGCGAACAATCCAACGCCGACCACACTGCACGTGAACTTGTGTCACACTATGATCTACCATACGAAGAAAATATTGAAAAGTAATTCACTTGTGAAGCACAAACCATACGACTAGAAGACTTTATAAAAACTATTTGACAGACCACTAAAGAGGTAGGCCATTAATTAGAACTAAGTGAAGATATATGATAAGAATTGCATAGAATAATACTACAAGGTAACTAATCCATGTTTATTTTGAATTTTTTTTGTTTTTGTTTGAGTGAGAGAGGTGCTATCATCATGATAAAGAAGATAGGCAAAGGTTTCTAGGGATTAGGATGGCTTTAACAAAAGCACAGAATAATAGTAAAGTTGTACCATAAATTTGAATTTTGAGGTCTTTAACTTTGTCTGATTGTGGCCACCCCTTCTTGTATTGTTGCTTCCATCAATTAATTAATTAGTGATGATGAAAGGCTGGCTCTGATCCTTCACTTTCACTATATACAATCGTGTAGTTGAATAGTTTAGAGTTGTTATGTTTTTGTCTTTCTCTTAATCTATTTATTAGTGTACAGAGCACTTGCTCAAATTCTCAAGGGCTGCTTTGGCTTTTGTTGCTGCCAAGGAGACAAGGATCCGTGTCACTTGAGGAAAACGGAATTTCATTTGTGATAAGGACTCTTTTGGAGTGTTTCCTGTATGGATAAGTAACAAATGAATATGGACTATGGATTGGGTGTTAGAATGATATCCATATGAATCAAACATCTTATTAAAATGTCAAAATCGTGACTATGTCTATCAAACAAATTAATTTCACGTACCACTAGTATTTATTTGAACTCACTTATTATGATCATATCCGTTGATTCTAATTCTGAAAGCAAGTCATTATATCCCTACCAAATAACTAATTCGCATGTTGTTTGAAAAGTTCTCCATTCTGACATTTTCCTAAATTTACAATAAAATTTCTTACAATTCAAAATAGGATCTGATAAGCGGGGAGCATATCAATTAAGACGAGGGTATTCATGGATGTTGGATCTCACAAATATATTAAGCTTCGAGGGAGTTAAAAAGTTTCCAAAAAAATCTGAGATGTAGTACCACTTAATTATTAAATTTTTAATTCATGAATTTCAGTTATATTGTTATATGTTCCCAAAATTTAAGGTGAGATAATATTCCTGTTGTGGGATTGTGATTTTGCTTGAAGAAATAAATGAAAACTACATACTTTAATCGATTGGTTAGCCACAATTTTTTTAATTGGTTGATTCACCTTCATGCAATTGATCTTAGAGCCTTATCCAATTTTCTATTGGAGGGAGGGGGGCCTCAATTGTAATCGAGAGAGGAACCCTAACTAATAATGGGTTTGTTAGTATTTGTAAAACTCTTCCAATTATTGCCATCAAATTGTATATCCGGAGCTTTCATAGCTACTCGAACTAGCTAATTATGTTAAAGCTAAATCTAGGAGGGTAGAGCCCTCTCAATGTGTCACGGTGGTAAAATAATAGATTATGATCTCTTTCATATAAGATATAATTTTCTTCATTGGAAGTTATTTTAATATTCGGTTTCTCATCTCTTCTCGGTCACTTTGAATGGAGACTTTAAATGGGTACAAATGAAAGTTTGTTTCATCATTTCATGATTGAATCTAGTTCTTGAAAGTTTGTGTCATCGCTTCATGATAAAACTAATACTCCATATTCTAACACTTCACCTTATTTGCTCGACACAAGTATACAGATGTAATTACAACTTCACATCCAATATTAAAGAGGTCGCAGTCTCTTTAACCATATGTAGCACCCTCACGGCCAACTCCATTGTTTATTTATTAAATTTTTTCAATATTCAACTTGCATGGTTGTTGAAGTTTAAGTGAAAAAAATCGAGTGGGGTGTTTGTTATTGTTCTTCTTCGAGTTATTTTTTTGGGCCGTGAAGCCCATTCATATAGCAGAGGATCAGGATAGAGATTGTAAGAAGAAAAACAGAGCATAGAGAGAGAGAGAGAGAAAGAGAATCCAATGCATGAAACAAAGGCAAGAGTGTGAAAGTGAAACAGTATATACCGCTAATCCATCCGACAGAGGGGAAGGGATTGGCCTTCCGAAGGAATCCTAAGTTACATTTCAACAACCACTCATGTCATGGATGGAGAAGACTCTCATAAATTTGTGACGATCGAGGAAAATGTGCTAGGGCTTCAAACCTAGTTTTATCGGTGGCATGATTTATAATTGGACATACAGAGCTATTGACACCATCATGCTTCGACCCAAAAACAGTACAATATTAATCCTTAGGTATTGGGTTTCAGTATACACTTATATGTTGGTCGTCCTTCCTCTCTTTTAGTAATGTTGTAGTTATAAATTTATATGTAAGGTATAACTTAAGAACTTGCAGTTATGCAAAAAGAAATTGCAAGGAAAAATAGCAGTTTCATGTTGTCTATCTCTCATGATAGTGTCTCAACTCTCAACTTGTCTTGTTTTTGTATTTTGATGCAACTTTCACGTTATGGGATCTTCAACTCGTATGACCTCTTAGAAAAGTAATTGGTTGAAACTTCGGGTTGTTCCTTGCATTTATGATTACATTGGTTACATGCCACTCACAATGTTGAAGTAGTTGGAAGTAGGGATGTAAGTTTGAACCCGCTCCGTCGGGGAATATCCGACTTGACCCACCATGGGGTGATTATTACTCGACTCGCAGTAGCATGGGATGGAGCATGGTTATCTACTTTCAACCCGCCCCATTCTTAAAGCATTATATCTCAATTTCTTAAAATATTTATTTATATTTCTCCAATTCGGGCTTTTCTTCAATTAATTAGACTTGCTCTTTCAACTAGTTAGACTCAATTATCCATTCCATTATCACTATTTTTCATTCATAAAGTATTTTTCCTTTGTTTTATCATAAATTAATAAAATTTTACGTGTATTTTATCCAAATAACATGTAAAAGTGGGTCAACCCATCCTGCTCCGTACACGCAAGGTATACCCCCAACCCGTGCTTCGTATTGGACGGGTATGGGTATGGAGATACCTACTCGCCCCACCAGTTTATAATCAATAGTTGGAAATTTGAACAACAGCGTGTACATAATTTGAAGATTGCATACCATCTCAGCCAAATCATTTATTTGTGAGTTGTGCGTTTCACTAATGGAATCACTTGTAACAACGACATTTTCACTATATACCACGTTCACATAGAGCCTTCTAAAACTCATTCATCTGGGACCCAAGACTTTTCCCATCTAGCTCAACAAACCCCACATAGTAGTCTAGGGCAAGCCGACTATGTTAAATGAATATTCGTGAAAAATTTCACAATCGACTCAATCTCACATCGTAGTTTTTTTTTAGTTAATCAAAATTTTGTTTAAACTCATATGGTTTTCAAGATGAGAACCCAATCAAAAGTAACTACAAACTACAAAGCATACACTCATCAGAGGCACCCTCTATATAACTAAAATTACTATATACAACACTAATTAGTAATTATCTTCTTCTTCCTCTTAGTTCTTGTTGCTTGGAACTTGTGTGCGAAATTTTGAAGAGATAATCAATACATTGTTAAGCTTTACTTGTACAAGTTAATCACTTTTCCACATTCCAAAACGAGAGAGAAGTTAAAGACGAAATCATAGTACAATACATTCACGTGAGACATAACAAAATCATTAGGACAAATTTTGTTTCAAAAGCAACTACAAATAACGTCAAAATCCTCAATTAAGGTTCTTTCAGTTTTCCCCTACCCTTCCATTGATTTTCGTTCCCCATTCCCACGTCTCCCATTGGCTTAATCCCTTTTTACTTTTCTTTTAATAATTTCATCTCAACCAAACGCGGTTTTAGGTTTCTTCTCCATTAGCTTAGCCCGCAATCAGTGACCCAACCACAAATTGGGCCAGCCTGCCCGACCTGCCCGCGATTCTTTTTTCCCGTTCCTGGCGGGAAACGATAGCATTGGCCGCCATTTTTGAAATAATCAGGAAAAAATGGAAAAAATTTCGTACGCACATTGGGGACTGGGATTTGCGCGCCAAATAGAAACTCTCGCCCGGGAAATGCGGGGATTTGGCTTTGGCGGCTGCAAGTTGGACGAAGGGTTATGTCCTGGGAGACGCGTCGTTCTGGAACTTTCATCTGCAGCCGTTGGATTTGACGGGGGAGTGAATCTGTAGCGTGATCGGAGCCGTCGAGATTGTGGAATATCCGGTTGGGTTCGGTTGACCTTTTGATTGGCTTTGGATTCTGGCACTCACTACTACAATTTTGGGAAAACGGGGAATCCTATGTTTGTGTGCTGCTCATTTATTATTTTGGGATTTACTCAGGTAGAAATCCAGATTTAGTTAAGAATATGGCTGGTGGCCATACAACCATTAATATCAGATTGTCCGAAAAGAGAGTCAAAGATAGAGAAGGAAAACGATCAGAAACAATATACGGCGAAAGAAATACTTATGTAGTTGCGTTCTAAGTTGCGATTGCAGTATAAACAACTGATTTCTTGTAGTTCATTGTTTTGCTTGTCAGCAATTCATAGATTTATTCTTCAAGATTAGAGATGACGATTTCGACATGACCCGTTTTACCCGACCTGTTTGGACTTTTTTGGGGTGGGTCCGAGCCCCGTAGGCCGGGGTGGGGCTGGCATGGGTACTCTCATCGACCCGACCTACCCCATTCTCGACCCGTTCTTGACTAAATTACATGTAATCTTAGTCAAATTACTTATGAATTTTCTTTTATTACATCATATTTTAGCTATAATAAAGTTGTAAATTAGTGAAAACCTCATTTTCTCTAATAATTTAACTACATTTATCATAATATTATTTTTTTTCTTGGTCTTATAATAAAAATAACTAATATTTCTAAAGTTTTTCATATAAATTGCATGTTCATTGGGTCAACCTGCCCGACCTGCCACGAGCCGAGTCTGGATACCAAGAAACCTGCCCCCGACCTGCCCATTGCCATTCCTATTCAAGATAAGCGATGTTCCACTCCCCGTTCAACACCGTATCCACCACAGTGAGGTACCTTGCTTCCGACGGCAGATTAACTGCCAGTAGATTCATTGATTTGTTGGTCACGTTTTAGAGAGATTGATTCAATATATTCATCATCAAATTTTTGTAATTTTGTTTTGTCTTTGTACATTGGTCTTTGAATTAGCCTGAAAGAAGTCCAATGGCCTTCAGGACTTGACCAGTTCAGTTAGATGGGCTTTGGCCTCACAGCAAAAAATTGCCACAGACTAAGAGGCCCATTTCACGCCCTCTCGTTTTGTTATACCAGTGAGGTCTCATGACCCAAGAATATTGGGCCCCAATTCCACCTAGACCCCATAGCCCATAGGAACAAAGAGTATCCAAACTTGGCATTTGACAATCAGAATTCAGAACTCAGAAGCAAACCAGTACTCAGGTGTTGAAATCAAAGGACCAAGAAGACAAAAGAAATCAACTTTCCAACTGCCAATCTTTGAATTCTCAGTCTCTGTCTCAGGAATCCATGAATCATTCTATACAAAGTACATAGCATTATTCAGACATGGGCGTTTTCACCTCTCAAATAGACAGCAATCAAACAACATTTACAACAAACCAGTGGTATATATGAATAACAGCTTCTGCTTTCTTTTGTACATACATGTACATAAATCAATACAAATGCTTGAAATCCAGCAGCAGCCATGGTGAATCAAGCCGAAACCTCGACGAACCTCCTATTAGCCCATCCCCTCGCAACATCCGAAACCTTGGTCTCCTCGACTTGAACTCGTCTCAATCTCGAAGATTTCACCACCAAGGTCTCTACACCATCAGCTGTGATCCCATTGCAGTGCACAACATCAACACGCTCCAACTTCTTACAGCTCCTGGAGACAGCCACCATGGCCAAACCAGTCAACCCCCTGCAACCTCTTATCTTAAGATCAACCAAATTGCAGCAAGAGGCCAGCATGCCAATGAACTCCTTATCGAACAGGTACTCGTTATACGACAAATCCAGCTTCCTCAGCTGCTTCAAGTTCTGCCCCAATGTGGCAAGCAAACCGGATTCCCTCTCGACCACATCGCAGTTGATCAAGGCCAGTTCCTCGAGGCCCGAGCTCATGGCGATCCCTAGAGCTTTCAGGCCTTCACCTGAGACAAGGCAGCAACTCTGTAGTCTCAGAGATTTGAGACACTTGAAGTTTGTGGCCACTGCTGAGAGATGCTCGTTGCTTAGGTCCAGAGGAAGGCGGAAGTCAAGGTTCGAGATTTGGCATTTCGAGTTGGTGATGAAATGAAGCAATCCATCTCTGCTCCCACCATCATAAACGAGTAAGGAATTCAAAGAGGCGGAGTGTTCAGCTAGTCTTAAGAGGACTCCATCGGCTATATTTCTACAAGTTCTTAGCTCTAATTCTTGTAAATGAATCAAACAGTGGGTAAACGAGGAAAAGGAACCGCCATCCCCAATACCTTCGCAGCTTTTGAGGCTTAATTTCTTTAGCTTCTTGCAGCTCCTCCATAGAAACCCTAGCCCAGAATCGTCTCTTCCAATTCCTGCGAAAGAGACGCTCTCCAATCCCAATTCGGAATCTTTTCCTTCATCCAAAGAAAACCCAATTCCCCTTTCGTCGCCATCGCAGACAGAGACGGATAATTCCTTCAAGGAAGCAAACCAGGCGACCCAGTGGAGAAGCAGCGGTCTTGAGAGGGAAACTGTGAGGGAAGTGAGGAGGGTGCAGGAATTGGAGAGGGAACGAAGGGAAATTACAGAGACAGGGTAGGGGAGGAATTTGAGCTGCTTGAGCTTGAAGCAGAGAGAGGAAATTAGAAATAGAAGGCGATCGTTGAAGCTTGGAGAGCGAGGGCAAGAAAGGTCGTCGAGGAGGAGGGAGAGGGAAGAGAGGAAAGGGTAGTGGGAGAGAAAGGAAGAGAAGGACCGGAAGAGAGCGGTGGCGGCGGCGGAGGAATTGGAGGTCTGGTGCTGGTGGTGATCGAGAGTGATTCTTAGGGATAGGAAGGTTTTTGAAGCTCTGTAGAGGCAGAGCCACCGCTTTGAAACCAGAGGAATCGATGGAGGTGGGGCTGATGGAATTCTGGTGAAGATTTCTTGGAGCAGTTCGTCACAGAGCAGCTCATCCATGGCTTTTGATTGACCAAAAGGGAGAAAACAAAGGAAAGCCACAGAATTCTGGTATTTTCTGTGCCTCTACTCAGAAAATAGAGTTATGGCGATGGATGTGCTGATTTGGCCACTTGGGTACTGGGTTTTGTAGCATTTTTTGGGAGGACAGAAAGCCGGAGAGGATGAAGTTGAGCTGCCGCTACCATGAGAGAGAGAGAGATCAGAGATGTGAATGAAATTTTCAAAGGATTTGCCTTTCTTCTTCTTGAATCGTACCGCCTATGTCCTATGATGGGAAGATGGTGCGTGCAATCCACCCTCTTACAAAACGAGTGAAGCAAACGTTTATTCCTTCTCATTCTTCTCCGAGGCTTTTCACTGCGCGATAACGATAACTGTTGGAGGTAAAAACAGAAAATGTTTGTGTATTGTGCTGACGGCGGGCGGTGCTGTGTTTGTGGTGGTTGGAGACAAGTAGGTAGAACTATTTCCCTCGACTACCGTTGGCATGCAGATGGGTTTCGTTATCATCATTCACAAATCAGATGTGACAAATGGATTGGATTCATGGATTGGTGAATTGGATTGGTGGATTCATGGATCAAATGGAATGGTGGATTGGATCCAATCGAAAAAAGTTAAACTGTTCACAGGTTAAACTGTGAGTAGATACTCACAGACACATATATCCGCCGAGGAGAGAGGAGGGGGCGGTTTCCTTTTTTTGGCGAGCCGAACTTTTGGGCGGAGGAAGTGGGTAGTTTTTTGGGCGGCCCGAATTTTAGGGCGGGAGGTGGGCAGTGTTTTGGACGGCCCGGAATTTTGGGCGGGAACTTGAAAAAGGAAGGAAGATTTTGGGATGGTGGCTTGCAGCCTAGTAAGGGCCGCCCGCCGAGGGCCCATGGGCCGAAGGCTCATAAAATAGTTTTTTGGGCCGATATTGACATGGTCTGACAGGATGTGTTTTTGTAAAAGGATGAATATTGGTATGACATTATGAGATACTAGTCTGGGTTTTACAGATATTTGTTGACATGTGTTGGCATAATATCAATTCCTAATTCTTTTAAGTTTTTTCGACACTCGTTCAGTTATGCATTGTCATTAATAGTTGTCTTGTGCAGGGATGTTTGTAGGTTTTCATCGTCGATGGTGTTCCTTATGGTTGAGAGATCAATTCATAGTCGGGATAGTTTTTTGGGCCGATATTGACATGGCCTGACAGGATATGTTTTTGTAAAAGGACGAATATTGGTATGACATTATGAGATACTAGTATGAGTTTTACAGATATTTGTTGACATGTGTTGGCATAATATCAATTCCTAATTCCTTTAAGTTTTTTCGACACTCGTTCAGTTATGCATTGTCATTAATAGTTGTCTTGTGCAGGGATGTTTGTAGGTTTTCATCGTCGATGGTGTTCCTTATGGTTGAGAGATCAATTCATAGTCGGGATAGTTTTTTGGGCCGATATTGACATGGCCTGACAGGATATGTTTTTGTAAAAGGACGAATATTGGTATGACATTATGAGATACTAGTATGAGTTTTACAGATATTTGTTGACATGTGTTGGTATAATATCAATTCCTAATTCCCTTAAGTTTTTTCGACACTCGTTCAGTTATGCATTGTCATTAATAGTTGTCTTGTGCAGGGATGTTTGTAGGTTTTCGTCGTCGATGGTGTTCCTTATGGTTGAGAGATCAATTCATAGTCGGGATGTTAACTACGCAAGCCAGCGAGTCGTGCAATGCACAAGTGCGACTTTTCTTGAAAATGATTTGGACTTGTTTTTCATTCACTTTAGCAGGTACGCATAATATTTCTTTGCCTTTCTTTGATATTAGTCTACTTAAATTTTGGATATTTGTCAGCGTTGTCCGGATATTTATATGCTATTGTTAGATATTACTTTGTTTAGTTGGGATATTAGTATTGGTTTGAGTGGATATTAGTCTGGGCACTAAACTCTTTCTCGTGCTTTGTAAATGTAGTTTGTTGGCTGAAAAAAGACGCAAGGAGACTGAGTCAGACTACAATGGGAAACAATAAGTTCCTTATATTATGATGGAGGATAGCCCGTTCCTACAACATGCGGCAAAGGTCTTTACTCCTAACATCTTCAATCGGATACAAAATCAGTATTTGAAAACTGAACCCTATCTAAAGGTCTTTACTCCTTGTGCATGTACTTGCGCTGCGACTTCAGCATCTTCTTCTTCCTCATCCTCCTCTGGCTGTGGCGGTGGTGACGGCGGTGGATTTCGTCGCTGTCTCTTCACGTTCGTTTTTATCCCTGCACGTACAAATATCCAGATATATCAAACAATTATCCAAGCAATTCACAACAGATATCATGATGGTTAAAAACCAATATCCAGATATATCAAACAATTATCCAGGAAAATCACAACTGATATCATGCTGACCAAAAAGCAATATCCAGATATATCAAACAATTATCCAGGCAAGTCATAAATGATATCATGCTGATCAAAAACCAATATCCAGATATATCAAACAATTATCCAGGCAAGTCACAAATGATATCATTCTGATCAAAAACCAATATCCAGATATATCAAACAATTATCCAGGCAAGTGACAAATGATACCATGCTGATAAAAACCAATATCCATATATATCAAACAATTATCCAGGCAAGTCACAACTGATATCATGTTGATTAAAAACCAATATCCAGATATATCAAACAATTATCCAGGCAAGTCAGAACCCATATCATGCTGAGTAAAAACCAATATCCAGATATATCAAAGAAACAATCCAAGCAAAACACAATGGATATCCAGATATATCAAAAAAACAATCCAAGCAAAACACAATGGATATCCAGAATCAAAATAAATAATATCGGAACGCACACAAAACAGATTATAACATGTAGCAGAGATTTAGAGTGCACCGAAATCTGTACCTCGCCTTGCTTTGACCTCGAGCTGCTTCTTGTGCAGATCCTATCAAACAACTATCCAAGAAAGTCATAACTGATATCATGCTCAAACAAAACCAATATCAAGATACATCAAACAACAACCCAGGCAATAAACAACGGATATCCAGAAGGAACAGAATGCATATCTTGCCGAACAGAATAAATAAGACAGTTACCTTAGTCCACAAAGTAGTTCTTTCTCCAACGACCGCCGTCAAACCAACTGCCGCTACTTCGTCGCCGTGAAACCCCGCGCTTCGCCGCCGCCGATTAGTCTGCAAAGTCGCCGCCGTCAACACAAGCTTCGTCGACGTGAAACCCCGGCCTTCGTCGCCGCCGAAACCCTGCCCTTCGTCACCGCCGATTAGTCTGGACCCTCATCGCCGCCGCCGAAACCAACCACCGCTACGCTGCACCCTCGCCGCCGCTTCGCTCGTCGCCGCTTCGCAGGTCCATCGCCGCCGCTTCGCTGGTGGTCGCCGTGAAATCGCTGCTTCTTCGTCGTGTTCGTGAGAGGAGGAAAGTGAGAGAGAGGGGAAAAGGGGGAGAGAGGGGAAAGTGGTTCTGGCGGAGAAACTGATTTGGGGAAAGAATTTTTGGTTTTTGAATTTTTGGTTTTTGAATTTGTGGTGGGTTTTTGAATTTGTGGTTTTTGAATTTGTGGTGGGTCAGTCGTGGGTTTGGCCAGCCAACCCAAACCGACTCACCTTTCTCAACCCAAACCGGCACCATCTGAGTCTCGCCCTCGTGGACAATAGATCCACCGTGTGAGTATCTACTCACAATTTATGCTGTGAGCAGCATAACTAAGTTGGGATCCAATGGATTGGTGGATTGATCCATGAATCCAAATGACATTCAAGGCTTGGACCATAATGTAAATTTTGAAAAGTTTAGATACTAAAATGTTATAATAAAAAAATTTAGGCACTAAAATATAATTTTTCAATTATATTTTTCGTATAAAAAATAAAATTTAGGTACCAAATTGTAAAGTATAAATAATATAGGTACTAAATAGTAATTTGCCATTTGGATTCATGGATTGATCCATTAATCCACCAATCCAATTGGATTTGGATCAAATGGATTGGATTTAAATGGATTGGATTAGATGGATAATTTGGTGGATGGATTTGATTGGATTCATGGATTTGGATCCTACTTGTCACCTCTACACAAATGTATACTCTTCTGATTGGATAATTTGAATTTACTTTTTCCCCCTTGTCGCAGAAAGACGTCACTCGTGATTATAAAGACTAGGGGCCTCATGTCGGTTTCGGTTTTTCGGGTTAACCCAAAACCGAAACGATAAATGCACTTTCGGGTTTCGGGTTCTCAGTTCCAACCCGATTATGTGAAGCAGCGGTTTCGGTTTCATGGAAACTCGAGAACCGAGCTTAACCCGAAAAACCGAATGGCTTTATTGGATTGTCAGACGCAGCTTTGGAGAGATGGTGCCGTTTCGGTTTCGTTCCAACACATGCCCTGTACCCTAGCTTTTCGACGCTTCGCGTCGCCGGTCGGAGCCTCCCTTCTCGACTCTCTCGCCATAGCAACCTTGTGGGGACCTCCGACCGCCATCAACCCTCTCGCCGTCATCGTCCTCGCCGCCATAATCATACACATTGCCAGCGGCCTCATGAGAAACTCAGCTGCGGACGACCGAAACCCATCCACGGCGAAGTGGGTCGGCTACTCCCGTATTATTCGATTCTCCGACCTCGACTATGGCAACCTAGTAAGGCCTTCTTCTTTCCCCTCCCTTTCCCGTTCTGTTTGTGTCCCTTGTTAATTGAAGCGACCGATGGATTAAGGGGGAGAATATGAGTATTGTGGCATTTGGGTTCCTGGCTATGAGCCTGATGGATTCCTAGCGTTTGGGTCCCCTTTCAATCGAATTACAATAGAGCAAGTGAGCAACAACATGATAATTTGAGGAACAAAGAAAGGAATCGACACTAAAGAGGATCGGCGGGATTAATCTATGGCGGTTTACTTGTAATTGGAATGAATCGAAGGTGGAGTGTGGGTCTGAAAGTGCTTCTGCAATTCGGGTTCAAGCTAACAACCGAAACCGCAAGTATTTTTTCCGGGTTCAGGTACCCGGAACCCGCAAGCTGCAATTTCGGGTTCGGTTTCGGGTTGTGTAGTAATGGGTTCGGGTTGTCGGGATTTGCTGGGTTTCGGGTTCGGTTACCCGAACCGAATCGGCACCCCTAATAAAGACGTTACCAACATTATAACCAAAATTCGATTCGAACTTGGTTGAATCGATGGTCATTTTTAAGTATTATTGTCGACATATGAGACATCGTGAATATGCATTGTAAGCATTGACTTGAACCAATGCATAAAGAAGCTGACACTAATTTTTCGCACTTGCCTATCAGCCGACATGAAAACCTCCTTAATGCATATGGTTAATTTGATAGGATTTTTTCTTGATTCTTTCATTCTCTTAAAATTTGTATCTCTATTCTTTCGACCATACTAGAAATTTTATGGAAAAAAAGTACTTAAAATTTGTTTATCAGAGTGAGTAAAGGCAAATACAAAAGTAGTAGAAGGGTAGATTTATAAAAAAAAATATGAGTTTTTAGTTTTTTACTTTTTCGAGTTCAAGTGATAAGTTAAATTTTTCGAATTTCGATTAGTTCAGAATCTCGTCCATTAACATCCACCTAACTAATGGGACAAAGTCCAGTGAGAATAAACTTAATGCAAACTCCTTTAAAGAATATCATAGTAATAATCTTTTGCAAATTAGAAGGGGGGATCAACTTTGTATGTAGGTTCAACAATGGCAGGCTAGTATTATGCTACAAGCCAGTGAAGTCATCTTCTTGGCATCCTCACTTTGGCATAATGGCTTACTTTTTTCCTATCAATATTTATGTTTATGTTTATTATTTTCTAGTGGGGTTGGTTTGTGTCCATTTCGTCCTCTTAATTATTCTGGTGGCCTTGGTCTCTTGTTTGATGTGTTCTAATAGCCATTATTATTCCATCTCCTGTTTTGAAATTTTTTGTTATAAAAATGTCATCAAAGACCTTTGGGTCAGAGCCGGTTGGATTGAGCTTGCGACGTCCATAAAAAATCTAAATCAAGGACCAAACTTTCACACCCAAGTTCATACGTTTCACGCATCTCTCTAAACACTATTCTCTTTATTTTCCATACACAATATTCATTCAACAATGAAAACAAAGGACAGCCACAGAATTCTGGTATTTTCTGTGCCTCTACTCAGAAAATAGAGTTATGGTGAATTGGTGATGGATGTGCTGATTTGGCCACTTGGGTACTGGGTTTTGTAGCATTTTTTGGGAGGTGCTGATTCTGAAGAGATCGTATCAATGGTGGCACAATAAGAGTGAACCCACATTGTTATTTTTAATTGGATCTAATCCCTATAGAAACAAAAGTGTTAAACCTATGGATGAAAACGAGTCAGATTGAGAATAGATGGTGGATATTTGTTACCTTACCCACCTTGGTTTTTATTCATACTCATATTCACGTAAAGTTCTAGTAGTAAATACAAATCATGTCCACACCTGTTCGAATTTCAGGTAGCCGTGGATATCCACGAATGAGAGTTTTCTCTATATCATCCCAACTAGAGCGTTACCAATTACGCGTACAATGACATTACAGACATAAAAAAGATATATTTATAAAATTACCTATATAAAGAGAAAAAAAAGAGCACTAATTCATAAGCATATGTAATGCAAGTGTTGAATATACTAAGAGGACTGAGGAGGGAGTATGAAGAATTTTGGAAAAATACATATATAATCGAACTCATTCTGCCCATTACTTATAACTTTCGTGTTCATATCTTATTGATATCCACATATTATTTATTTAATTTGCATTTTATCTTATTCTATCGAGTCGGATTCGGCAGGTATCTACGCAATTTTGCCATCCTTAGTTAAACACATAATAAGCATAGGTGTTTTTGGCTAAATGACCAGTCTTACGGTTTACAGGGCTATTCAACTGTTTATTTTTGTGTCATTTCTCAGTATCGGTCACAATCTTTCTATCCCACTTTCAACGGACCTAAATGAGCAACACTTTAGCAACCAAAACCACAAAGGAGACAAGCAGATTAAACATCTCGAGTGGGGACAGTTGAAAGAAGAAGAAGAAGAAGAATCAACGTCAAGTAAGGCAGCTGGTCTCCATCAATCTTAACATAATTTAACATTAACCTTGATATGAATGATGAGAGCAAGCAAATGCCTAGCTTTAACACTTGACTTCAAGCGATCAAACAAAGCAACAGTACTTCATCAAGTAACTAAAGGGGAGCAAGATTCTTGCGCATTGCTCCTGTGGGAAAGACTTCTCATTATTTTCCTATAGGTCCTTCAATAGAAAGGATTCACTTCACTATCCTAGATGAAATCTCAACTAACAAGGAACAACATTACAACCATAACGTGGCTTCTCACCAGATGGAAAAACAAAGAGTTGAACAAGATTTTGCCAGCTCAAGTTTGTTGATGAAGTTCAGGTGGCCTTGTTTCGTGGGTTATGACTCGAGGTCACCATGTTGTCACTACTCACTACTACTGCTAGACCAATGATCATTTGATATCGTCCAATGATCAAGTTGGTTGCCCCACTCATTCATCACCAAATATACGAAAGGCAACTTTCCATTGTTCTAATCGGGAAGATTGTATTAAAATCAAGAAAAGAGAGTCAATGCATACATCATCATCACCAAACTACAGGAAGGCCGGTCCATGTTATCTATGTATCAGTTTTTGATCAACAGGAATGAAGCAAAATGTGCAAGCATAAAACCCAACACGGGAGATGAACCATACCTATGTAGATGTAGGTAGCACTGTTCCACGCCCAAAGGGACTCCAGCCAGGTCCAAAACTCCCCAACGTCCATATTACCAGAGCCTTCGTTGACACCTTTCAAGACGAAAAATCCCACAGGAGGGAAAGCGACGAAACTGATGAACACGTTGCAAGCAATCCTCAAGAAACTCTTCAAGCTCGCATCTCTTATGTCGAGCTTCAGAGGCTGGGCAAGCAAACAAGCAGGAACTAATACCAATGCCCCGATCTGTGCTGTGGCAAAGTTGACAACAGACATGAGAAGCAAGCCAATGAACACCACTGATATGGTCACTGATTTCAGGTTCTCCCATTCACCCTTCTGAGGTTTAAAAGGAGATTTTGTGATGAGATATAGGACCAGGAGTCCAAATGTTGAGAGAGAGAACCAGATGATGGAGTGAGCTGCTGGAGTGGAATTGGGTATTTGAGAGATGAAATAGGGTAGGAGTGAGACAAATACACCCCATGCATGAACAGTGAATACTTGTTTTGCTGCACTCAGCCATTTCCATGGTTTGAAATTAATTTGAAGCTTATGTTTGGGACCTTGGGAGCTAGGGTCCGGCTTATTGGCATCAACATACAGGGAAGCAGCAACAAGTGGCAGTGGTGCCACAAGGAGAGCAAAGCCAATCATGTAGACTCCAACTGAGACAAATTTAGCAGGAGAGGTCAAGAGGTAGAGGAAGAATGATTGATGGAACTTCTCGAGAAGATTGTTGACCGAACGCACAACTCCTTCAATCAACCTGCATTGCGAAATAAAGGCCTAAGCAAAAACATGCTATTCAAAGATATAACTAACTCAACAACACAATTAATCATTTGAATAACAGAATATACAATTTGCAGACAGCAGTTTTGTGCTTGAAAGAGTCACAATTGCTGAAGTGAAATGAATACCGTGCACTACGCAGAATAAACTCATTACGTCTGCCCTGGTTTGTGTAAACAACCTTGGGTGAAATCTCCAAAGTTATGGCATCAACCTGGAAATCACGGAAAGCTCCATGTGGACCTGTCGGGATCCCAAGTGCCTGGAACCAGAAGTTACTCCAAAAAGTTAACATAAGTATCTGGAAGAAGATGAGAAGACCGTTAAGATGAATGTTACAGAATTAAGTGAAGAAAAGCACCTGGCGATATAATAAATTTGCAAGTGTAGCGGTGCCCTCAACGTAGTCCGGTGTTGAAATACCAAATTTCCATTCTGGATTTAAGCTTCCAGCGACTTTACCGATAAAGTTAAGCGTATCTCCCAACACCCAAATCCATTCCCATCTAAGAACAGAGATAAATTTCTCAACTTTGACGCGCAATCCTTGTCTATGTACAGCTAAATAATTCACAACATTGATAAGATCTAGGTTTGGCATCTGCCCATTGGAAGCCTCAGCATAGACACTGAGAGTGTCCTCCAACTGCCCTTTTACATCAGTGACCTTTAAAACTAAGGCAGCAGCCATAGTCCCAGCACGCCTAAACCCACTAGATATCTCCGTTTGATCAAGAGATTCTTCTCTTAATAAATTAATGTTGTTTCCTTCAAAACATGAATCAGCATTGTCCGAAGATGAAGCAGAAAATACGGGTATGTGATAGTCTCTCAGCCAAGAAGCAACAGAGGCATATTCTCCATACTGTGAGTCTGCAACAAGCCAAATGATATCCTTGGCCAGCCATGTAACTCGACTTAGCAATGAGAAGACTGCATATCCAATGCTAATGGATAAAGCTTCAGATGAACTGTTCTTTCTGAAATTGAAAGGTGTTACCAATACAATAGCTTCTTTGCCATCAGCTTGTGGTGCCCTTATGATTCCGACAACATTTATACCATACGATGAACAACTACCGTTCTCCCGTGATAGCCCAGAATCAGGACTGGAGAAGAAGTGCAGAGGATGAAACTGATTCTGGTGCGGCTCGAACTTATGATAACCTACTTCAACTCCCAAGTCCGATAAATATTTTGCTAGTACCCTTCTCCTTTCTCTAAAGTAAAGTTCAGTGCAAGGGAAAATCAAACAAGAAATCAGAATTCTACTCTTATGCCAGATTATAGGGTGCATACAGATGAACAATGACATGGAAGTAAGCCTATCACATACATGCCTGCATCCGCAGCTCCAGAATTTAAGCTAGTTAGATCCTTAGCCAATCGTTCTGCTTCGGAAATGTCGTCGTTAGAGAGCATACTACTCGCAGAACCTTCAATTTCACCAGGAAGATAGAATTGCAGACGAATTAGAACAATGGAAACCAAACAATCAAACCGGTTCAAGCTAAATTGAGCAAAGGTAAGTTCAGGGCAGACCTGGCATGAGCGCATTTTCGGAAATGTACGTGTTCTTGGCGAGCATAGGCAGCAAGAATAGCGCTACAACCCCAGCAGTACAGCAAACAACACTGGAATTCCATCAACCAACAAGAACAAAGGAACAAATTTCAAATTCAAAATGATTCAGCAGTGATCCATTGAGTAGGGGATGAATAGCTCAGTGGTGAAATACCTAACCAGAAGGCTATGCGAGATGAGGACGATCCCTAGGCGCACAATTGGTCTCGGTTTCGGCTTCCATGGAGGAGTCGCGGCGGCAACCTCCTTCTTCTCAACCTCCGCCATTAGAAAAATCTTCGAAGTCTCAAGTAATGCAAAACTTAGGCACCGATCTCCGCCGCCATCGACGATGATATTCCGGCTTAGAGCTTAGAGTGAGAACTGAGAAGCGCGAGAAGCGACGAGGGCGCAACGACGATCCAGTACTCAAAACAAGGAGACGAGCCAGAGTTACCCACAGCCGTTGGATTGTTTTAAATTGTGTTACTCGAAGTTTGACTTTCATACGTGCCAGCATCCTGTGAGGCTTTCTTTCTCTATTTCTACCTTTTCTTTATCTTTCCTTTTCGCGGGATTCTTTCTCAAAACAACTGACAAGTGAGGATCGTTGGCTTCAATGGCGGCCTCTCGCCTGAATCTTCAACTGATATTTCTTCCCTCCAATTCTGCTCGGAGAACTGTAACCGTCGCTGCCAGTACCGAGTCTCATTTCAAGGTTCATTTCCCTTCAACATCTCGTCGAATTACTCGATATCGCGGCTTGGAATTCCGGCGACGGGCATTTAGTTCGCTAACCTGCGAAGACACGAAATATGAAGAGAATTTCTCGAATAATTCGCGGAATCCGTTTGAATTGCTGCTTTCGATTCTTCCCGGGGGCAGTTGGTGGAGTCTGCCGGATAACGAAGAAGGCAGCCCGGCGGCGAATGAAGTTACCGTGTTGGCTGTGCTTCAGAGAATGTGGGAGCTTCTAGGGAAGGAGCAATGGATTGTTGTCGTTGCCTTCGGAGCTTTAGTCACTGCTGCTGTGAGATTCTTAAGAATCTCCTGTTTCTTTTTTCTTCTTGACCTCATGGTGTTCGTAAGAATGCCGCTTTGACGTTCTTTTTTCCCGCGATGCAGGCATCCGAGATAACAATGCCGAGTATCTTGGCATCTTCCATCTTCTCTGCACAGCATGGAGATAAGGCGGTCTTCTACAGTAAATCACGTTTCTTGCTTGTTTTGTGCTTCACTTCAGGAATAAGCAGGTTCACTGAGCTAGTTTTCTTCCTTGTAGTCCTTTTCATGGTTTCAAGTTCCATCTCCATTACAGCGCACAGCCTTGTTTATTGTCTCTCTACCTTTTGTTTTTGGTGATTGAAGTGGCTTGCGAAGTGGCCTTTTTGCAATGGCAAATGTTATCCTGGTAAGGAGCTTGAGCTTCAAGTTTCCTCTTGTAGAGCTTCTGCTTATGCCAAAGCTTCATTTTGCAGGTCAAACGCCTCAGACAAGCTCTATATTCAGCTCTAATATTCCAGGTCTATATTCGGATTAACTCCTGAAAACCGTGACATTGTATCCTTGGCAAATGTTTTACTAGTCTATTTTATGAAGTAGGACATGCCATTTTTCGATAGAGAGAAAGTTGGTGGATTGACAAGCAGGCTAGGGGCAGATTGTCAACAGCTTTCTAATGTCATTGGGAATAATATCCACTTGATAGTTCGCAATACATTTCAGGTTGGGTTTTGGCATTGGATTCTTCTCCCTTACTTCCAAATGTAGAATGATTTATATAATGTCTTCTTTTGATTATGAAGGGGGTAGGTGCATTGATCAATTTGCTGATTCTAGCTTGGCCCCTTGCATTGTCATCAATTATCACATGTTTAGTTCTCGCCACTATCTTTCTACTTTATGGCCGGTTGGTATTCCTATACCTTACAATGTAACAAGTGGAGATGTGTTGAAGAAGGCTGTCTATCACCCTTTCTACTTGAACTCCTCTCTCTACGTTCAAACTTGAACAAATCTGTTCTGTCATAGGTACCAGAAGGAAGCTGCCAAGCTAACTCAAGATCTCGCTTCCTCTGCCAGTAAGGTAAAAAGCTCATTCTTACTAATTCAGGAAAAAATGTCAAAGCTTATGATGATTTCTTAGCGAAATTTCTACCCTTGGTATAGGCAGCAGACGAAACCCTGTCTTCAATTCGAACTATTCGAGTCTACGGAACAGAATGCGAAGAACTAGGAAGGCAATCATAAGTCAATGAGTATATCCGTAGTTGTTAATTGTCATTTCATTCCGATTTTTGCACAGATAGATGATTAGATCCTACTTCTCACATTTTTCCCCTGTTTTTAGATGGCTGCAGGTACAGGCATTGGCTGGAAAAGTTAGCTTCTCTAAGTCTAAGAGAAAGTGTGGCTTATGGATTCTGGAATATGAGTTTCAGCACCCTTTTCCGTGCAACACAGGTCAGATCAATTTCAACTCAAAAAAGATTTTTGTAGCCATCAAAATGGATCCTATCATTAGCTGTTTTTCTCTCGTTTAGCCCCTTCTACTTTCTTCCTTGCATGAAAGCAATTGTTCCATCATCACTTGAAGGAGGCGTTTTGTTAAATAAATACATTCTGTAAGGAATCAATGAGATACTGTTTTGTATTCTGTTATTGACGAACAGTCTCTTTCAGTCTATGCTTCAAGCATGGAAAACTAATTTATATTATTTAGGCGCTGATGCACACAGTAAGTGTGAAGATGTCTGTATTATCTTTTTCTGACCCATCTTGTTGGTTGTACTGACAGGTGTTTGCACTGATGTTGGGAGGGATGTCCATTATGGCTGGCCGTGTTTCAACTGAGCAACTAACCAAGTATGTGTTGTATTGCGAGTGGTTGATATATGCAACTTGGAGGGTTGTAGATAATACAACCGCATTGTTACGGGCGGTTGGATCAAGTGAAAGAGTGTTCCATTTGATGCAACTATCACAAAGTGACCAATTGGAGTCCAAAGGTAAAGTGATCAACCATTTGAATACTTGTTTTGAGATCCATTCATCCAAGAACTTGATACAAAGTTGATTGTCCCATGGTTGCTACAAGTTGAATAAAAGAACTCAACTGTGAATTTTGTTTGACAAACTTATTGATAAACGAACGGAAACTGTATTCTGGCATGGATTGTCAGAAATCTAGGATTTTTATATTCATTTGATCTTTGCTAGTTTAGGAACATCACATGCGCTCAATGCTCACCGATAATCACTCTATGCATTGTATACAACTTCCTAAGGGAAACCATACTTTTTGTCCAGTTTCTTGGTTCTGATATCACCACCGTTGCTTGATTTCATTCAACTGATGTTGCAGGGGAAAGATTGGAAAGGCTGATTGGACAAGTCCAGTTTGTTGATGTCTCCTTCGTCTATCCTTCAAGGCCAACAGTAAGTCTGGTCCAGTAACGTGATGTTAATTCTCGTCTTAGTTATCAACAAATGTGGAAAAGATATGGGTTGTCAACAGTGATTAGTCCATTAGTTCTTCAGCCTTGAGTCTCTATTTTAATCTCTTGGTGAATAGAAGATGTAAAGCAGTCCAACATAACTCACATGTCTGCTCCGGAAGAGCACATTCGGTGCTCATATGATGCGTTTTTTATTCTTGAACAGATACCAATTTTGGAAAATTTCCTCCTCTCTGTAAAAGCTAATGAAGTCATTGCATTGGTAAGTAATCGTTCTTTTTGTATCCTTTATCCTTCCCCAAATCCATAGCTACGAAGCAAGGCATCTTGAAAAAGAAAAAAAAAACTAATAGTTTGCATCCGTGGTTTGGCAAGGTTGGACCAAGTGGTAGCGGAAAAACCACTCTGGTCAATCTCTTGCTTCGTCTCTATGAACCAAGTAACGGTCAGATCTACATTGATGAGTTTCCACTCACCGAACTGGACATCAGATGGCTTAGAGAAAACATTGGATATGTTGGACAGGTAAAGTCCTAGCTTATACATGCTGCATTTTCAAAATTCGAACAACCAAAAAAGGGATTCAGCAGAGTGTTACGAAACTGATTAACATTTTGTGAGAAAAAGTTACTGAAAGCCATAAATGTTAATTGTGGGCAGGAGCCAAAGCTTTTCCACATGGATGTGAAGTCAAACATCACATATGGTAGCTGCGGTCGGGAAATTAAAGAAGAAGAAGTCGAACGGGCTTAGCCTAAGCTTGCGTGTGCCCATGACTTCATTCTGTCTCTTCCAAATGGTTATGAGACCATGGTGAATGACAATAGCCTGAGTGGGGGACAGAAGCAGCGCATTGCCATTGCCAGGGCTATTATCAGGAAGCCTTCCATTCTCATCCTGGATGAAGCCACCAGTGCTTTAGACTCACAAACCGAAAATTTCGTGAAAGGAATCGTTGATGCCTGTAAAAATGACGGAGTTATGTCGGAAACAACAGTAATTGTGATAGCACACAGGTCTGTCTCTAATCAACTCTCTGCCATTATCACCATATGGATGTAGTTCAGTTAACTCATGTTTGAACACTGCTTAAAGTTCTTGAGACCCTGAAAACATGCAGGCTTTCTACAGTGGAATCTGCAGACAGGATTGTTGTGATGGATGATGGTCGAATCGTAGAGGTAATTTGATTTAACTCAATTACCATTAATTAAACTCAATATGTACCATTGTCGATTAATGTAGTCTGGCCTCTAGTTTATCTACTAAATTTATAATCATGTGCACTATTGATAGTTAATCTCTCATGTTGCCAGATGGGTGGCCACAAGGAACTCCTGCTGAAGAATGGCACATACTCTCGCCTTGTGAAATTACAGTCCTGCTTCATCACTTGATCGCTTCCATCACTTCATCACTAATCCTAATTTTAATCATTGGCCAAACCGATCGATACTCAATCAAAGATCAATCCATATAATTAGAGGTTAGCTCATATGCCTTCCTTTTCTGTTTCCTGATTAAATGTGATTAGTTGATGGCGTATAAAGCGATCCTACTATCAGTATCTAGTCGATATCAGAGCTCGACTAGGTGGCTCAATGGAGAAAACTGCAGGTTTAGGAAGCCCTTGTCACTGCTCCAAACAGTTCCTATGCTGTTGGTCTCGGTGCTTTTCTTTTGGCCAGGAAATGTTTTTATGTATAACATTTTCTAATTCTCCTTCCACTTGTTTTGATTAATCACATATATTTATGTTCTCTATTTTAATGTGTGTGTTTTTTCCCTATTTCTTTTGTACATTTTGGTACAATTTTCTGCATTTTCGCTTTTATTTATGGGTCCTTATTCCTTATTCACATTTCAGACAGTATATCGCGAGCAGGATATATTGCAATTTTACTTATATCACCATCTCGCCTGTCTATTTCTCGACAATTTCTCACATTCGTTTTTAGTTTTGACACCTCGAAACGTTTCGAAATGCTAGCCACCACTGGGTTCTCATTCTTACTAGAGCCTATGTTCTCTCCTCTTCTCTTTTGTTGCAAACGTAAGGCAGAGATCAAAGCAGACAAATTTTATTTTTTCTCTCCGTTTTCTGCTGAAGCTAAGCCATAAAATACAGGTGGATTGATTGAATCCGTATCATGTTACAAGAAAGCCCTCTCATTTCATCTCTCTCAACTTCTCCACAATCTAAACACTTCATAGAACCGTGGCCTTCAGGGTATCTGCAACCATGTCAATGAGAAAGGTCCGAATTTCCATAGGCAGCAACTCCACCTCCAGCTTCGTATAATCGATCGGCCTGCCCCTTCTCGCAGTTCCATCTGATGATGATGCCTCCGCTTTCCACACAAGCCTCCTCTTCTCCATCTCCGACCTTTCTTGGTTGGCAGACAAGCTCGTTTCGACCACCTGCCCTATCTGGAACCACACATGATACAATATATAATGCAAGATAGAGAACAGAAGACGGAAAATGGTACATGATGCATGCAGCTAGCTGGGCTCACCTTCTTTCCCGGGAATAATTTCATTAGTTCTACATTTGTCTTGACTGAAAGATCCTTGTCCTCTCCAACCTTTTTTACAGGTGAAACCAACACAAACATTAGACAGTGAATCATGTTGGTATATTCTATTCAATCGCTTCATGAAAGGAAAAGCGTATGCAAATGTCAGCATAGGAGTGGCAAACCTCGTATAGATGGGCTAATCGAAGAAGCACCTTCCCATCATCTAGTTCCTGCACATTGTCGAAAGATGCAAAAAGATGACAAATTGGTCAGCTTAAATATCAGAAAGAAACAGGAAATGGTGCTTTTTCAATTACCGGTTACCTGGAGGGTTATGACAGCAACATTATCAGGTAAACTGTAGGAGGGCGCAAAGCCCGAAAAGGTGGCTACGTGAGAGTTTGTGGACTTATCTCCATCCTGGAACGAGAAAAGGGAAATGTCTCAGGTTACTAACTTATTCATATTCATTCATATGCTAGTCATAGTTTCATTAAATATCCACCTCTTCTGCAAAGGCTAGCAGCAAAGGTGAATATATCTGCTGGCCAAATGATCGGCGCCACTTAGCACCTTCTCCTAGGGGGTCGATTCGGTAATAGTATTTTCCTTGGATCTGCAACACCACAAAAGGATGACTGATTCTTTCGTCACATTAAGAGTGAAAACTAACCGTTGCCACAGAGCAGAATTGGCTTTTCATGAAAATAGTCAGGAGCTCTGTTGCTTATATTGGATATCGTTACTAGAAACCGAGATCAAGTCAGCAACAAGCTTCATACAAGGCTTTGAACTGAAAGTTTTACCGTTAATCCCATGCACTTGTTATGAACACAAACTGTTTCATTAAGTGCCTCATCAACACCTCTGGAATCATCGAGTAGAAGTCTCCTGCATGGTCATAAAAATACCAAATATCATCAACCATTGATGTAGTAGAGTTGAAGGTTCAAATTTCATGACCCTAATGGTAGAATTATAGAGGGATAACATCCATGAAAGAGTGAAAGGAGCCATGGAAACTAAACCTATGGAGTAGCAGTTCTATTTGTCCATCCTTTATGCTACCTCCTCCAAGAGCTCGATCCACAAGAACTGAAAGTTCTTTTTTGTCGTCTTTGGCATAAATTCCAAGATTAAGCTGAATGAATGGACAAATTGGAAAGGAAGTAAATTAGTCTGGGTGCAATTAACTGAAAGCATGTCTTTCTTCTATAAGTGAAACATACCGGATAATAATTTCCAGCAACTGGTTCAGTCACTTCCAGGTTCCAATCTGTTCTATAATCACGAATCTGTGGAGGAAATTCATTCAGTTTGCTTGATGCTTAGATAAAGATCGCAACAATGAACCAGTCTCGATTCTCAACTTCAGAAGGTGATGATCTGAGTTAGATAAAGATTCTCATTACCCTTTTGATAAAGTCACGTCCATTTGAGTCTGTGTAGAATGTTCCATTGGTTTTCATGGAAGTTGTTATCTGAGTTACAACTTCTTTCCCGATTCCATCATCAATGGGTACCGGGCCGACCTAGCATTGTAGTTGTGGTATGATTAGAAGGATAAAGTGATGTGGCAGAAAGATCTAACTCTTGTTCCCAAATAGATTCAAAATGTGAGATGCAATCCAGTAAACTTACTATAAACTCCACTTCAACATGCTCACTTCCTTTGTATAGTCTCGTAACCTGAAGCCATGGTCATCACATACAACTTCAATGAGTAAGAGCAGAGGGATTCTCAAATGAAGTTTAATGAGAACCCAATTTACTAGAAATTAGAACTTGATTCATTTTTGATTGACATACTTTTTAAAAGTTGTCATATCATTGTTCTTTTTCTCTCCTGGGGAACAATTTCATTGTTTTTTTGGTGAATGAATTTCATTGTTGAACAGAAGTAAACCAGGTACTTAAGCATAGAACAACGCGTTGCAAGTAGTTGGCAAGAAAACCATCCAACAAGAAGGCAACCTGATATATCCATTGATTGATCTGTTCGTGAATTTCCTCTACCACCGGCCCACGAATGACGGCCAACGGAACCTGAAAGTTTGGATAAAAATTCAGGATTGGTCATTGGCAGGATTGTATATTTCACAGAAACCCAAAATATCAGAAGGACCTGCAAACCTGCTTTTCAGGTTCTAAGGGATATGTCCCATTTGGTCGAAAGATGTATGCCCCGCCATTCTGAGAGAAAGTGAAAGAAAAACAGAGAAAAAGTACAAAATACATAAGATGTTCGCTTCAAAATGAGTATGGTCTGATGCTCTGAGTCAAAGTTCATGGAATTTGTAGACATATGGCTCAAAAGTATGTATACTTGAGGGCTTTTGTCGTTGGTTCCATTATATCCACCGTAGAAACAAAAGGTCTGATAGACCTGCTCCTTCACCTTCATCATTTAGAAAGAAATGCATTCGATTAGATGCATAAATTATCTCATATCGCCACACTAAGATAAATTTGAATAAAAACTAAGAAGGGCAACATGATTCATGACAATAAAGATTAAACAGACTCGTCAGGTGAAATACTTACTGAGTTCCTACTATTAGTGTAACTAGTTGGCTTCCCACCAAAAGCTGAACGACTGAGTTTCAAATTTCCCTGCCCCACTTCAGTTGCAGATTTCAGGCTTCTTTTGGATTTGTATACAGATGGATTAGTTGAGTGAGCACCTGACATTTCAATTGACTTGGTTCAGGCGGCAATTAGAGTCAACAAAAAGAAAATGAATGTCCATATGTTCTGTCCACCTCCTTTGTCTTGAAAATGCTAGATGGTTGCCTAAACTGACCTGCAATTTTGGCGTCGGAGATTGTGTATGTGCTGAAACCAAAAGGTGGGACAGAGACCCTGAATGCAAGCCAATATTTAGGTGTTTTTGCTGGCTTTGTACCAAGGTATGCCTGAACATGGAAGTTCCTCAAGCTTAGATAGGCATCCACCACAGGAATGAGTTGAGCTTCCACTTCTTTTCCCTCGGGATTACGCACAATTACGTTATCGCTAGTAACCTACAAAAAAATTTAAAATCTTTTAGGTGACAATTGAATTGCTATACTTATTAGGAGAAGTACAAAATAATAGTGTCATTGATAACGTAAGTATATGTTGAATTTGTCGTAGGCTCTATCAGCTAAGGGTTGTTTAAAGCCAGTACAAAGCACTGGTGACAGTATCAGAAGAATTCAGACTTGTGTTCATTTCTGTAGTTTTCATGTGTCAAAAAACTCGAGCAAAAAACACCAACTTGATACCACGGCAACTCCATTTTCAAACTTGACCAACCAAAATAACACGAGTCTAAACGTCGTTTGTATGACATAAGTTCTGTAGGCATCCCAGAATATTCCTAGAATAATTAGGACCAATGTTTATCCCATTTCATAGGATACTGCATTTGTTGGTCGCAATGAACATATCTTATTGTATACCATTTCGTTACGCATGAACAAATTCAAACACAAACAACAGCTCAAGGAAACAAGGAACAGATGAGTAGGAATTACACACCGGTATGTTGATCACTTCATCTCTTAACCAACCAAGAGAATTGTAGACAACAACCACCTTCAATCAGAGCAACAGTATAAGATTCCAATGTGGAATAAGAAATAGCAGGTCGATTCCGGATATATAACAGTGGGATAAGAAGTCCTTACCAACTTCTTTCCAAGAGGGGTGTTCTCGGACGCAGGGCAGTAACTTATATTCAGAAGGGGGCACTGCATGGAGGATGAGGGAGGAATGAAAAAAGGAACATAAGACTGTAGTATAGCAAGTGTATCAACTATCAAGCATGCAGATTTTTTATTTTTTAAGTCAAGTGTTAGGATCAAAATTTGAACCTCATAATCAATGTTATGTAAGGATCATCGAGAACAGCTTGAAGATTGTAGCTACAAGATGAAGATGAAATATACTAGTCTGATATATCCCTCAAAGAATAAGAATAACGCAGAATTGGTAAGTATAACAGTGAAAAATAACTATTTTTGTCCGGTCCATCATATAAAATTATAAAGGATGACGGGAAATGAACACTATGACTCATTCCAGCTAGTAAGTAGCAGCTGGAATTTAAGCGGCTCAAGCTTACCAATGAAGAATTACCTCTTCAAATTTAATGGTTGGGCTCTGACATCCTGTACGAGACTGGGATTCGAACAAGCAACTGAGTGAAGTTGCAACTACCTTTTCTGCCTGCATAAGAAAAAGAACAAATGGGTGTCAACTAAATAGAATGAAGATTAAGTGAAAAATGACAGCTGCAATTTAAACATTTCCTGGGGCGTAAATCAAAACACCATTTAAGAAATCAAAACTTTACCTCTTTGTACCCAATTGCAAGCCGTGTGGCATAATCATTAGCTACATGTTGCTTTTCTGTCCCAGCAACAGCATCATGATGCTGGGCAATTGCCAGTGCATCTGCCAACAAGTCGGTCTTAGGACCAAGCTTACTCTTTCCATTGAAAAACTCTAGTTGCCTTGCAGCCTGATTCGAAGTAGAAGCATGAGCTTATGACTTGGATAAAATTTATCCTAACAATTTAAAGGATTCTGTTGAGGTACCAAGTAATAGCCACTCATCACTCTGACATAGCGTTTCAAGGCTGGTCGACTCGTAAAGTATCCTGTCCAGAAACCATTTGCACGGTCTGCATAGCTGTAATGATTTAATTTTTATTATTATTAGAGATGCTCTAAGTTAGGAAGCATCATTATAATGTGATTTGAGTCAAGTTTGTACTCACGGGAAAAAGTCTTCGGTCTTTAGTGGCCATGCCTCATTTGCAGAATGCTTGGCATCAGTATATATGGATGGGGTAGAGTAGAGAGCATTTACACGTCCATCCTATTAGTAGAAAAACCAAAAATGAACAGCATGAGTAATGTAATATTATAAAGCAGAGATGCAAAATCCCTCAACATTATATACTGATGGAAGATTTCCATAAAAGTAAGTCCTCAAAGGAGAGGAATTACACGAGACATGGATAGCATGAATTAAAACAGTGATTAAACTGACATCACTTCCACATAGATAATATCACCTACCAATTTCCATCAATCAAACCGTTCATAAGTTAACACTTAAAAGGAAATTATATAAAGATTACCATGTTCACATAGTGAATCAGCTTGTCCATCTGGCGAAACCAAGAGTTTGCATACTGATACTTGAAATCTGTTCCCATAGTAAACATAACATGGTTTCCTCGAGTAATGTTCGCCTGAATGGCAGAAACTTTACTCATGTCAGTCCTCGAGGCAAAGTACCATTAGGAACAGAGTACTAACTTCTAATTTTGATTGTGGAAAGGAAAATTATATAATATCCTTCATTTGACAAAGGGAAAACCTCATTTTTGCACCTAAAAGCTAGTGTAGCAGTATGAAGCGTCAGAAAAATGAAGACACTAGAAATTACCTGCCATATGGCAGCAGCAACGAAGTCATTTACTCGATCCGGAACATTATAATCAAACAAATTGATGTCATCCTTCAACGCATAAGATACACAATTAGCATTATGTTATTATAACCTCAGGAATCCTAGCAAATTATCACTTCACGATGTGTTACCTGAACTACAGGGGAGGGATCATTAACTTCAAAGTAGAAATCACCAGGTGGAGGCTCATAGTTTGTTGGGAATGCACCAGCAAAAATCTACAGACGAAAGAAAGTGAAATGCATACTAGTCCACAGTGATACTAACTAGAATTGAAAGAAACACGAACTTTCATCACCTTTGATGCAGGAAGACTCTTGGAACCCTGCCACACCGTTTCGAGACTCTTCTCACCCTTACGTTTTTCCCTGTCCTGGTAATCTATCCGGCCAAAGAAAAAGGAGTCGAAACCAACCTACAAGTACATTTAACAAACATTAATCAGCAGTATGAAACAGGACATATGCAAGTAGCAATAGATGAGTTTACCTCAGCTCCCAGCAAGTATGCCTGGACTGCAGAATGTCCAAAAGGGTCGATTTGCCAACCAATCCTTGGTGTCACACCAAATTCCCTTTTGATGAACCTGTGTCCAAGAGTCGTTTGGTCAACCATGTCAATGTAATGGGTCACCGCCTCATCATGCATGCACATTCCCCCATTTCTGCAGCAAACATTAGAAGAGAATAAGGTCTAAAAGCAATATTCTCTTCCATTTTCGACAACTTATACCAAACAAGCACAAGGGAAATAACTAGCTAGTGCCAACCGATGATATGTTTTACATGAATTCTAGCTGCCCTGATGACACAAGCTGCTTGACTACGTGCTTCATTGTTTCACTCTGCTCGTTCCACCATCTTTCGAAAAATGCCTACATTGTCAAGGAAAACCAGTCAACACAAAGAGGGGGAACAACTTGATGAGTTAAGGTAGTTTGGCATTCAATTGCATTGCACAGCATTTCTATTATCAGCATTAAGGTCTAGGCGAAGTATCCCAAATGGGTATAAGTTCCATAACCTTTGGTCGTTTCAGAAAACAGGACAGTGAATGAATGCAAAGAAGCAATCAAGAAATGGAAAGTGTAGCTACAAACATCCAAAGGCTGTTTCGTATTTCCTTTCATAATCCCATCAGTAGCAGACTGAAATGGAAACTAAATACACTCGTCGAGAACCCATAAGAGAGAGGCTTACGATTTCAACGTAGATGAACTTGCGATTCTTGTCAGCCAGCAATGCCGGAATCAGAGAATCCAAAACGTTCTGCACGCAGGCACCCTACAGCCCAAAGCGAACAAAATTGGTCTCAACATTCTTACAGTCAGGCTGGTCCAACAAACATCTGCGAGATCAAGATTAAGCCTATAGAAAGAAACCGAGCAAGGGGGAATCAATTACCTGGATGGAATTGTTGGAGCCAACATAGTACTGGTCAACGGTCTTCAACCACCCAACATCGTCGTGGGTATGGGGAACCAGGTGGACATTAAGCTTCCCAGGAACTATTCCTTGTGAAGTGTTGTAAACCATGAATTTGGATTCCCCGCATGGAATCGATAGCAGAATCGTGCAAAAAAGAGCAGCGGAGAACAACCATGGGCTCATTCTAAGCTCAGTCTTCTTCTCCATCGAGAAATACAGAGAGAGAGAGAGGGGGCTGCAGTAGAAGAAGTAGACTGACGGAGGTATATATAGGAATTCACGCCATGGAAATAGGTTTCAGTGAGGGAATAAAAGAGTCCAGTGAGTCACTGTCTATTATTGGAATAGAAAATTGCCATTCTTTTGATGGATAAGGCCGATGACTCGAGATTTTGTCAACTTGTGCTTCTTTTGCAGGGGATGCTGGAGAGGGAGCAACCTTCGATGCATGGTTTCAACCGGGCAACCCGCCGGGTTTTAACGGGCTAACGGAGCATCCGGCCGGGCCAGACAGAAAAGGGCAAAGCCGCAAAGGGAAACCAGGCCGTTGGCTTGCGGCGATCAGAAAAGCTCACTTACTTCCCCAGCCAAGTATAACTGGCGAGTAAGGAAATGGTGGCGAAAGCACGGAGGAGGTGGTATCAGAGATATTGGAGATATGAGTAAAATATCGCATTATTGCGTGATATTTTGGCGAGTTATTAGTACCTTTGTAGTTCTCTTTTCCCCTCCTTTTCCTTCTTCCCTTTTTCTCCGACTTTCAATGAGGGAAATTAAAAATGCTAAAACCCAGGCCTTAGGTTTTAGTATCCCGCCATGTCTTCCTTCTTCCCTCCACCTTCGTTGCTCCACCTTCCGTTCACTGCTTCACTCTCCGGCACACCTTCTAGTAGATGCGACAGCGTCATGCCCTTGAAGATGCTCGGAACTTCACTCTGGATAGTTTCCTTGCTTCTCATGGCGGCTGAGATGGCGTCGTCCTGGTCGCCGTCGCCGATGGCCAGTTCCGGCCCTCACATTGGTGATGTCAACATACTGCTCCCTCCTAAGATGACGTACTCTGTGGATTACCGGCTTCAAGGATATGATGGCTGCTTCAAATGGTGAGTTTATTGATGTTCGAACTGCTTGCTAGTTGTACTTCCATATATTGTTCTTCATTCTTCCACCGGCGAGCATTGCTTGATTGCTCGGATTTTAGTAGTTGACGTCCGGGTTTAGGTGAATACAAAATTGATGGTTTGATTGGATGTGACGGCATTGTGAGAAGGAAGAACGTGGGCTAGAAACGCTCTCTGTTAAAGACAGTTAGGAATTAGGATGTTGTTGCTTGATGAGACCTATGCTGAGAAATTTTGGTTAGGCCATTGCGGAATGGCAGTATAATAATAGGTTTAGATCCCAGATTTTGCTGTTGATTACTTAGTAGTGACTGTGGCCACAATGTTTAGTAACCCAAATCTTGAAGGTCTTCATAGCCTGCCAACTCTCAAAATGTAAAACCATGGTTGATGTCAAGTCGAGTTACGGAGGAGAGGATAATGTTGTTTGGCATATTAAATATCTGCTGATGTCAATTTTCTAATATTTACAGGTCATGGGATCATCGTGATATACTCTCTGTTGTACCTGAATATAATGCAAGTAGCCACTGCTCAACAAGCGCGATGTTGAGCTCCATTGCCCCCTTTAGTGGTCGGAAGGAGACTGCAGTTTATGCTACTGATATACAAACTGGGGTTGTAATTCGCTGCAAAGTTTTTATTGACAAAATCTCCAGGATTCAGATCTTTCATAATTCCATTAAACTGGATCTAGATGGACTTGCCACTCTTCGAGTTCACGCATTTGATAGTGAAGGTATGGTCATTCTACTCGATTCACATATATCTAGAGCTTTAAAGTCCCATTTGGGTAATGGATAGGGTCGGAGTTTATGGTTTTTCGCTTGTCTGAGGTAAGCTGCTGTAGATAGTGTCCAATGCTTCTAGCATTTTTTTTTATAGTCAATCTTTGTTTGCCACAGATAAAACATTCCAAATCACTACTTTAAGTGCAGTGTCTTAGCTCTTTTCTGGAACAATTGCTTGTTTTATGCATTATGTGGGAGCTCTTCTGTTTTGATTCTTTCCTTTTTCAAGTTTTCACCATTTCACCTGTGAATTATTTGTTGCAGATAATGTGTTTTCATCCTTAGTTGGCTTACAATTCATGTGGCAACTAGTACCTGAAGGTCCGGGGCCTCATCACCTAGTTCATGTTCCTCTCAAGCATTCTCCTTTGAGCGACTGTGGTGGATTATGTGCAGCCTTAAACTTCAGGATAAAGCTTGAAGATGATGTATGGATGCTAGAATTGGATTTTATTTCAGTTGCTCTATTTTGTCCTCTATGTATCTGATAGTATTTTATGGTACGTTGAGCAGGGTGTATTCTCAGATCTGTGCGTTGTCAAAGGGACTGGGATTGGACGTGAGACTGTATCTGTACAGATGCGTGAACCACAATTTGAGCGCATGAGTGATAGGATAGTACTAACTGTTGCAGAAGCCATGTCAGTCGAGCCCCCTTCTCCTGTCTATGTCCTGGTTGGTGCTGCTTTACAATACACTCTTAAAGTCATCAGAGGAAATGTTCCACAAGGTTTGTTTCCCCTATCGTCCCATTCCTTTTCTTTTTGGCAGGATTCTGATCTCCTGCATGGGAACCCTAGGAAAGTTGCATGCGATACCTATGTGTGTGCTGAGTTTTCCTAAAGTATGCTCATTATTGGCTTTTGCAGTTGTAGCATTACCATCTCCACATCATCACTGGTCTGTCTCAAACTCCTCAGTTGCTGAAGTAGATCCAATGCAGGGTTCTGCTCATGCTCTGAATTTGGGAATAACGGCTGTTGCTGTTAAAGATACTAGAGTTGCTTGCCATGTACAGATTTCCTCACTGTATGTGGTGGTACCAGAAAGCTTACATCTGTATATAGTGCCACTCTCTATTTCTGGCGACCCGATGGAAGGAGTTCAACCTGTTGCTTCTGGGGCTACATGGTACGTGGTTATTGGCCATTGTTACCTTATCAAAGTCAAAGTTTTCTCTGGCGGGCCTGATGTACAAGAGATCTACATCACAGAGGTAAGTCATAGAACCCAACATGTCTTATATACTTCTATTCTTTTTTGCATGTCTTCGGTTAAGTGACCTACTGTGGCAACTGGCAAGACATAGCTAAGTTAACTCATTATTTTTATCTGCAGATTGAACTTTTGAATTAGCTTAATAGGTTTTTTTAGTCAGAATTAGCTTAAAAGGTTTTAAAAAGAAGAAATTAGATTGATTGGTTAGGTTGGATATGGTTCTTAACTTCACTTATGCGTAGCAGTCAAAAAATAAGGATAAGATTGAGGATGATTGTTTCAGATTCAAGAGATTGCCTCCTGCACAACATAATTTGATATCAATATGCTATAGTAATGCTTTTGTCAAAAGGAACAATGTTGTCCATGACATACTTAGATATACACTTTTATCTTGTAACTGTTAGCATGTGAGCAGATGATGTAAAAAAACCATACTATTTTTTTGCTGAGCAGTTTGCTTCATTTCATTTTCCCCCAGTGTTTGCTCTGTTATTCTACCTTCTTTCTTGTTTGAGTTTGTGGTTGAAGTATGATAATGATTTTCAATCTAACTGTCTTAAAAGATTTGTGCCTCCCAACTGATTCAGTAATTCTGAACTTCCCCTCTTGGATTGCAGAAAGATAATGTTAGACTGTTGGATGAACCAACTGATTACTGGAAATCATTGCCGCCATCAGCTGCTAATGTTGTCGAACATGGCTGGTGGAATTATAGAGTCATCAACGTAACCTCTCTGGGTCTTGGAAAATTAGCAGCATCTTTGATTTATTTCCATGGGCATAAGGAAAGAGAGCAGGTGAATATGACATTCTTTCGTTGAACTTTATTATCCTTTTTGCACTTTGCTAGAATCATGCAAAAGTATCCTTTGTTGGGCCGCTAACCATGTTTGCTACAATCTGCTAATAGGTTCTGAAAGTTGAGCAAGAAATTGTCGTTTGTGATCACGTAAAATTTCTTCTGGATGGTAACACAACATCTCAAGTTGTCCACCTTCCATGGGCTCCTGCAGTTTACCAAGAGGTGGAGCTGAAGGCTGTGGGAGGTTGAATCCTTTGCGATTCCTTATCTACCTTAGGTTAAAAGTTACCTGTAGTCATCTAACGGTCGATGGATTTTTTGAAACCCTGTAGGTTGTGCAAAAGCATCAGCTGACTACAAATGGTACTCATCAGATGCTTCTACTGTGTCAATTTCAACTTCAGGGATCATCCTGGCTATGAAGCCTGGTAAAGCTACTGTGAAAGTAGTTTCTGGATTTGATCCCTTCAATTATGATGAGGTACTTATAGAACTGCAGCTGTTTAAATCTCTGTTCTCATGCATATGCTTGCCTTGATGTAGACAATTTGATCAGTGTGATTGGAAACTCCATTGACAACATGTCTTGATCTGGCCGTTTTTTTATCATCATAGAGTGAAGTAGAAGGAATCCGGTTATTTTTTAGTTTTGAATTGCCAACATGTACGTAGCTGAATTGTTCTGTTTATTTGTCCTTTTTTGTTCTTTTTACAATTCTGATGTTCCTAGAAATCCGATTATTGTAGGCCTATCTGTATCAAATTTTGGCAGTGGAGATATCCTCCCTGTACCATGGTATTCTTTGATGTTATTATCCAGCTATTTACTGGTTCATCTATTTGTGCTTGCACTTTTTTGTGTTTGGCCCACAAGTTAAGATTTATTAATAATGCTATCTCAAGTTGCTATTCCTCTACTTTTATAGGTGTTGATCGAAGTTTCTTTGCCTTCATCTATGATTATGCTGCCAAACTTCCCTGTGGAGACTGTTGTGGGGTCACATCTTCAAGCTGCAGTGACATTAAAATCGTCAAATGGTTAGCTGTTCTCTGGAAATTTCTTGAAAATGCGTTCATTGCAGCTGGTACCTCTATTTTTCTCTTTACAAAAGTCAGGCTTACAATTTGCAGGTGCCTATTTCTACAAATGCGATGCTTTTCGTACTTTTGTGAATTGGAGAACTGGAAGCGAGTCTTTTGTTGCCCTAAATGCTACAGAGGAATCACTTGCTCTCCATAAGCTAGCAAAAGCTGGCCATGGGTATGTGAGTGGTCCACCTTGTTCATGGACTAAGGTTTATGCATCTGGTTCTGGTCAGACGCTGCTTCAGGCTATTCTATCCAAGGAATACCACAGCTTTGATCATCACTTCCATGGACCTATTGTCTTGAAGGCCTCATCACGAATTGCATCATATCCACCACTTATCCTGGGTCAGTTAGGTGATGGGAACCAATATGGAGGTTATTCTTATGAAGGAACAGATGATGAAATAGAAAATTTGGAGAAGTTATATCTTGTTACAGGAACAAGTTTGGATGTCATGCTTCTTGGAGGTCCCAAACAGTGGGGCACTAGTGTTGAGTTCATTGAAACTGTTGAACTGCTGGATGACGAGACTGTTAAGAATAAAGTTGGCCTTCAAGTGCATCAACTTACTGGCAGCTACAGGAGTACGTACCGAATTTTGTGCTCAAGTCATGAGGC